AGGATATGCAGAAAGTATCCACTTCAACAGGAACTAATCTCGTCAGCAAAAAGAAAACATGCAGGTGGGAAATCGACCCAAAATTTCCTAATATATTCTTGTTGCACAGCCTCACAGCCTGGTGCATTGTAGCTAGCCATAATTTCATAATTCATAATACCTACCTCCCTAACTTTTAGCCCTGAAAAATGCATCTTTGGTATAGGGCTGAGTAATTGACCAATTGATCGTCCTGCATGCTTTTCGGTCATCACCGCCATTGGTACTCTCGCTCTCTCCACCACTTGTTAGAGGGTTTCGTACTGTAGCCAATCGCGCCTTCTGTCGTCACAGTGACGCCTGACATTTTGGAAGCGATAGTCGGTGCAGATTTCAGTGCAGAAACAGTGCAGAGATTACCACCGATATGGGTGTGGTTGATCAGAAAAATTATAACCAACGGTTCTACGCAATTGAACTTGCGAATGTAACTTCAATCTGCAGTGAGCTGCCACTGAGGAGCAACGTTTCAATCAAAAAGAGTTCTTCAGCTTCCATACGATGGCTGGCGTCGCCCACTTGGTCGTTGTTTACCTTAGTTGTCCATCCATTGTGTCTATCACTGCAACGACGATGACATGTTTGCCTCCCAGAAGATCTCGATCATTGGAGATGGATGGACCTCGGGTTAAAAGGTAGAGTGAAAATCGATATGTTTTCGAGCGGTGTATCCTATGGATATTAATTATATTATGCAAACAATATTGAATTATGCTGATTATCCTGCCAGCGAGCACGAGCAGCAGCTTTGTGCAAGTGGAATATTTCCATGGCGATAATAATGACTGCTTGGAAAAATGGTCAAAATCATGTGGGTGTTTGTTTGGGTGAGATGAGACAAGAAGGAAGTGCGGACCCATCCAAGGAGGGTTCGTCCGAAACTTTACGATACCGAAATCTATAGAGAGCCTTTCGAGTTCGACAGCGGGGGATGAATTCCAGCCACATCTATTTGTTAAGTTCCAAAACTCCCGCAAGGTTGTCCTGATTAATAAAATCTTTCGAATGAGGGGTTTATGTACCACGCCCGAATAAGTCTATTGATCTAAACTTACGACAACAATTTGCTTTTGTGAAGAGATTGCCAAGCTTAAAGGAGGTGCGGTTGCACCAATGTGTCCTGGTACGTACACGGATATCTTATCCAATAGGGTAAATTGGAAGTGATAAGACTAGTTGACTAGACAGTAACCCTACTGCAGGCAGATGCTTAAGCTTCGAAATTGGCTTCCGCTCACAGTGCCGCGTCCTTGTTTCCATGAATTGGGTCCAGAACAAAGTAGTTCGGTTGGGATCTCGTTCCTCCAAGATATCAACGTGCATTAACATACTCTTTTAGGCTTTCTTGTTACCAAGTGAACTGTTAAAGTGATTACCTCGCGTGGGTTCTGCCCCGGTTGGGCTTTTCAACCCTGTCAGATTTTGAGGATCTTTATGCTATACGTCCCTTGCTATACATCGTGTCATATAACCCCAAAATTCCTCAGGGGTTGGTATTTTTGGATATCCAAGTGTGATCATGAGGCTCTGCTTGCAATTCAAACAGGCTTCTGATCGTAATGGTGTCCAATAGCATCCTCGTAAAATTGCCTCCCCTGTACAATACCATTTATTCATAACCATACAAGCATTCAGTCCAAGCGGGATTGCAAAATAACCCCAGTTTAATGATCTGTGCTACCCACTTCCTCGGGCTCAGAAAGTAGATTTGATAGACAGTTTGATTTGCAGCTAGAAGCGGAGCGGGAGATCCAGAATTAGATTGGCCTTCAATGTCGTTATCCGTCTCGCATTGGAAAGTTTCTTAAAACCAAACCCATGGTTCAAAGCTACAACCTCCTTGGTGAATTAATTTGTTATCCGCAGGAGCCACGTGAAAAGTGTACAGCAGCACGATCTTCTTTTTTGTGACCCCCTATGCATCTTGATGCACTCAATCTTGGGAAGTTCCGCCAAGTCGCCGACTTGGAGATCAAGTGTAAATCAGGAACTATCATTAATCCGATTCCGTATCCAATCAAGTCTGCTACCGGTCAGCAATATCATCATGGTTGAAAGTACATATATGGTTGAGGTTTCGGACACTCACAGTTCAAAGACTTTTATGTTCCAGGTTCCAATTCCTCCACTGGTAACTCCGGAGTCCGTGGGACTTGGAGTTGGGTTGGACTTGGTCACTTTCAACGGCACATCGTGGATAGTAATTCGCATCTTAGCATCTTTTTAGCAATAAAACTAGACGAGCCGGGGCAGTATCCTAGCCTCTGAGGTTATCCCAAAAGGTCTCTAATCAAATACTCGATATCCACCCCAATACCTCTGTAATTCTCAAACAGGAAACTATTCGCTAAATTCATCTTGATTGTGTTTGGTGTATATAATTTCACGCCCCGGGCGCCATTCCGTTGTTGGATCTACTGAGAAAACGTGGCATGCTTGCTCGCCAACAAGGGAGCTCATAGTTACCCATTGGCTGATTTTCGAAAGGCAGCGAAGTTTGGTACACTTTAAAAGCGCCATAGAGTTGCAGTTTTGTACCATGGAAGGAGGTTAATTGTCTCGAAAGTCGTATGAGTAGGGTTACAGAGAGTAGAGTTCCTGGGAATGATGGTGCGTTAAAGATTCCAACTTGGCGATATCAGTGTGTGTATACATTTATGTGGTAGGAGTCTGGACATGGCCAGAAATTTGTGGTGTGTTGGGGCTTGAGGCTTTTCTTTCCTCAGTCGCGAATCGAAATCGAAATGCAACGGCAGGTCATTTGTAACTATAAATGGCAACATACTGTACTGTGGCTCTCTTTCGTGCAACGTCAACAGTCTTAAACTCTAGGCTCCAGCATTTCTAACACTCCTACCAGCATGAAATGATCAGAATTGTTTCGATTTTTGAGTCTTGAACGCATTGGTGAGATTCACATCAACGATTCCTTAAGCTTCCTTTCATTGTAAGAAGCAATTTCCCCTGCAGAATTCTATGTCATGGCTTTGGATCTAAGAAATCTGGTCGCATTGCCGGTCGCTTTTGTTTGTGGCCGGTCCAATTCATAGATCAACAGAATATTGCAAGGTCTTTCTTATGTTGATGCATGCAAATCCGAACAGGGAAGAGAGGTAGGGGAGTGAGATTCTTGGGTTTTTTTGGGGTACGAAAAAGAAAGAATTGAAACTTCGAGAAGAGAAGGATCCGTGAAGAAAAGGAGAGATTGATGCTATCTTGATATTACTGGGTGGCAATTATCGAATAGATTTGTTTTGTTTTGTTGTTTCCTTTTTTAATTTGGTAAGGGGAGAAGGATTTCGATGGAGCGTGGCAAAGAAGGGTATATCCATCCATCCATCAATTCATCAAAGCGAATGGACTCTCTTTTCGCCATCAAGGCTTCTACCATGATGCATTTCGCAAGCTTTTACTCATTCTGTACTCTGCCTTGTAGGATGTGTCGAAGTTGTCGGCACTTCACAGGCGGGGCCGATCACCGCAATGGGACACCGAGTGGTGATTGTTGTACTGCGATTGCATTGTGAGAGCGATTATAACTTTGGTCGGTGTTTAATGTCTCTGAATATGACATGAATTTTCGTACATGATGTGAGTCCCATGTTGATGCTCATCAAGCAGGTAAATAAATTTAATGGCCAGTGAAGGAAGGTGTTTGTAAATTGTGTTCTAGAGAAATACCCCACATTCGCATCTGCTCCTTCCTTTTGATATCTCTTGTCAGAAACTACACATACTCTCTTGCGAACCAGACTTAACAAATATCTGTTGTAAGTTCAAAAGCTGGCAAATGGAACTTATATGTAGTTCGAGGATGATTATTCATATCATATCTCCTTGAGTAGCCTTCGTCCCATCACGCCCAGCTTTATTCACTATACGTCAATTTTAAAATCTACCTCTCGATATACTTAGTTTTCTCCTCTTGTAATCTCTGTCTACTCCGTACAATTCATCCAATTCTCTTCATAGCCAGCTTTATACTCGTGTCCCTTTCTCTTCCAATACAAAACATATCTACGAGAAAGGAAGGTCACTCCATGTGTAGATGTATGCAGTTGCCACGGAATATCTGTTTTTCTTTCTCGTCAACTAGATACATTACCGACTCTCGAATTTGGAAACATGTCCAAGCTTTCATGATTTTTAATCTCACAATCTCACAACCAGTCATCTACTTATACAGTCATCATTTGTATTCTACATTATATACCCCAGTCTCATGTAGACTTGTTTTCGCGAGAATGGCCACCTACCCTTTACTCTCCCTCCTCACTCTCCCTCCTCACTCTCCCTCCTCACTCTCCCTCTTCACTCTCCCTCCTCACTCCTCCTCTTCACTCCCCTTCAACTTTTGCCCTCACTCTTCCCATATCCAGCAACTCGTCAACTTGAATAAATCAATATAGAGATAACTCCCGATCACTATAAGTGTTAGACTTTTCCATACACAAGATCTTGCCTTTAATACAGAATAGGATAAATCAAGCCCAATCATCAATACGATAGATCAAAGTATTTTACTCTTCAATACTACCAAATTGATACCAATAGTCACTTTCCTCCTAGATATCCACAAATGCACATCTCAAATTTCTCAGAACCACTCACTATCCAAAAACACATCACTTTCCATCCATCCACCCATCCATCCATCCATCCATCCATCCATCTTTTTACAGTCGAGGGAGGCATCGATCTTGAATATCACCAGAACCTATCATCTCAATCTTAAAATCCCATTCCTGAACAACCCGTGCAAATAACAAAAGTATAGCTATAAAATAAGAACATCAAACAAGCCCAGGACATGAGCAAAGAAAGAAAGATAGAGGCAGCAAAGTGAATGAATAATGAAAGTAAAACAAATAGTAAACCTCATAATTGTAATAGTTTCCTTCCTACTCACTCACCTACTTACTTACCAACCAACTCTTCTTGAACGAACAAAAAGTAAACATTTCATGCAATGATATCCACATCAATACCACCATCTATATAAGATCTTGCAAAAATTGAATGATCACCCACCAAACACGTGCATGCAGTGCACCCTTCAAAACAAATCCTGATATATCATTTTCATCATCGCCGCCTCAGCAGGCTAATCATCTACCGCTTCCACTACCCTACTACACCAATCATCACTCCAATAAAACGCGAAAAATGCAGCAACATGTTCCCACCAAACCGGATACCAACCCGCCGACTCCCAGTCAACAACTGATACACCAAACTCTTCACCACATGTGTTTCCCGTAAGTCTCTCCACTAAAATGTTCTTTCGCTGAATATCAGAATGTGTGAACACGGGTTTTCGATTCATAACGGTAAGGACGCCTAATAACTGTTCTTCGAAGAAGTCTGCCAAATAAGAATGTTTTTGATTTTTTTCGGCTTCCCATCGCGATCGTGCAATCAATCCTCGAACAAAAGCGCGCTCTGTCTTAAAAGGACCCGATACTTGAGCGTCGTTCACGGACGAGTAGAAGAGATGGTGAGGGACAGGCCCTCCATCAACTGATCCGAAAATATTCCGATGTGGTATTTTTCTGGTTCGAGAAAGGATATCCTTAAGCTTCGACAGAATAACTGTTTTTTCCGAGGGCCCAAGAGCTGGCCAGATGGACTCGAGCGCTTCCCCACGTAGCCTTTCCATCACAAGAAATAGCTGGCCATTGTCGCCCTTCCACATGGCATATATGCGAGGCACACAACCTCTGATACCATTGTTCTCGAGTAAGAGTAGATTGTCCTTCAACTTGGCGATTATATTGACTATATTTCACAAAAGAATGCTCTCCAACACCAACAACCTTCTTGAATGCCCATGCGTCAGCTCCTTTCAGAATTTCTTTCGAGGCAAGAATTTCCTCTGTGGTTGGAAGTGGTGCAGGTAATTCATTCGCGTTCCGAAAGTACGGAATCTGTAACGGCGCCATAATGCCAGGGTCTTCTACCTCAGTTGATGTTTAAATTTCAGGTTAAGTGTTGTTGAGCTTGTTGCAGTAAGGTTGCGCGGTTGTTATACGTCTGCTGAATGCTGACTAATTACTCCCCAGAGATGCATCAAACTTCGCTTCGTCATATTCAACCCCCTACCCCCCTACCCCTCTTCCCTCAATCTACCGATATACACTAAAACCCCATCCAATCTATTCAAGAGATAATATCCTCACAGAAACCCCTATCCCAAGCTAACCACTCACATCTAGCAGAGAACCATCATAGCCATCGAAACTTGCAAGTGACACCTCCCATACAGTATCCACCTCCTATACAGTATCTATCAAACCACCCATCAAGTCATAATGAAAGCGATATATAAACAACCTCAGCACACGCGTATAGCCCAAAATGCACATACTGTAGTACTCATTTTGGGACACCTCAAGCCTCGCATATTATATCTCAATTTAATATTTAACATATTTATACAAATCATCTCTCCTCTCTCCTCTCTCTCCTCTCTCCTCTCTCCTCTCTCCTCTTTCCTCCCTTCCTCTCTAAACCATCAGCAAAATTCCCTCTTCCCTCCTTCCCTCCTTCCCTCCTTCCTCCCTTCCCCCCTCCCTTCCCAGTAATTCTCCTCAACTTCTCAAGAATCGCGCACATACTAACCTTACAATCTACAACACCAAGCTGATGGATTCACAGCATCTTAACAAGCAACTTATCCTAGCCTAGACAAATCACCACACCACACCACACTACACGATATAAAATTACCCACCTATCATTTCCGCAGCGAAAAACTAACTATAACCATAACTATAATCATATACCATCCTCTTCCGAATTCAAGAATGAATATTATCTAGATAAATAAATAAATAAATAAATAAATAAATAAATAAATAAATAAATAAATAAATAAATAAATAAATAAATAAATAAATAAATAAATAAATAAACACATAAATAAACACATAAATAAACACATAAACAAACAACTCAATCACAACAAAACCAATCCCCAAATTCAAACCTACATCTCCACCTTTCCACCTTTCCACCTTTCCACCCTCTCCCAAATCCCAAATCCCAAATCCCAAATCCCAAATCCCAAATCCCAAATCCCAAATTCCCAAATCCCAAAATCCCAAATTCCCAAATCCCAATTCCCCATAACATCCAAAAAAAACCTTGACATTCAAGGAACCAGCCAGCCAGCCAGCCACATAAGATAGATAGCACCAGATATTCATTAGTAATCAAACACTCACACTCACACTCACACGCGCTCCCACTCCCGCCTGAGCAAGATGATCGATCTAATCTGAAAGAGTCTCCAAACTAGCGAACTTATTTATACATGGAAATTGAAACTCGAGCTAGCTGATTATTAAAAAATCATGAAAAGACGGCTGTCTATATCGTATCAATAGTATATATCAATACATGTATAGATATCTAGATAGTAGAACATTCTCCGCCGATAAATCCTACACTTCTCTTTCATTTCCATTTCCATTTCCACCTGCACCTCCACTCCACCTCTTTATACACCCGTATACTCACATCATCAAATCAAGTTAGCCAATCTATATAAAACCAAACCAAATCAAATCAAATCAAACCACAAAAATTCCCTTTCAATTCATCTATCTATACTATCCTAAACTATCCTAAATCTCTTTATTTTCCACCCTCTCTTCCACTCTCCCTTTCACCCTCTTCTCTTCTCTTCTCCTCCCTTCCCCCCTTCTTCTTTCTTTTCCTTTCTTTCTCCTTCCTTCTTTTCTTCCTATATTTCCCCCCCTTTTCCTTCTCCTAGCTCCCAACTCCCAACTCCCCCAAAAAAATTCAAGAATCCCATTACTCTCCCAAGAAAACGCCTGCCAACCAATTAACCAGTCAAAAAACGAAAACAAATCAAAACAAAATCAGACAACTAAGCTCCGTTCTCCATGCTTCATGCTTCATTCATGCTTTACTCACATCAAATCGACAATTTTTTTAACAAGCAAATGAAGAAACAAACAATCAAACAATAAACAAAACTGAGTAGGTATACAACAACTATGCCGCTTGCTCCTATACCCACGCCCACGCCTACACTTATGCTTTTGCTTATGCCTGTGCCTATGCTTCAAGTGTAAAGCAAGAAATAGGAAAGAGATATGAAACATATGCATACCAACAACGCCTTTTACCCAGGAAAAAAAAATAACAATCCTTCCTACTCTTTCTTCATCGCGACTTCATCATTTCATATCGAATCCAATCATATCAAATCAAACCCCCTACAATCCCTCCAACCACTCAAACCCCAAATCCAATCCCCTTCCCCCTCCCCTTTCTAATAGCCTCCATCGCCCTCCCCACTGCATTCAGATCCCCCAACAAAGTAACATGACCCCTATCACTCCTAACCTTCCCACCCCTAACCAACTGATACCCCTCAGGCAACATCGCCTCCCTCGCCAAACAAACCCCATCACCACTCGCAAACGCCAAATTATCATAAACATCCGCGCAAGGGATTCCTTCTCTACCCGCCACCTTTGCTCCATAAACCGTAGGTATAGATTTACCATAGATAACAGCTAATGGAGGATAACGATTCGCATCCGAGATTTCGGGTTTGAAATGGAGTTCTTTTTTGAATTGGAGTGTTTCGGCGAGGGTGCGACGGAGATATTCTATTGCTTTATCGCGGGGAAGAGTGACGAGAGTAGAGACCGAAGGAGAAGGATTGTAGCTTTTGTTCAGGGAGTTACTCATCTGAGGGGCTAGAGTGCGATCGGTACCATCCACTCCACGAAGTACTTCTGCCGCTCGACTGGTTTTGGATTGATCTATTGATTGGTTACGATTGTCGTTTTCGCTTCGAGAATTAGATCCAAGGTATGGTGAAGAGGGCTGTGGAGTATTCGAACCGGAGCCCGAGCCCGAGCCGGAATTTGAACCTGATAAAGGTTTCTTCCCAGTTATCGTTAGACTTGATAAACTGTTTGGTAATTGAAGATTAAGAATACCACCAATTCCACTACCAGATTGAGATATTGGAGGCAATGGTGGATCCGTGACAGGAGACCAACGATATTTGATCCAATCATCTAAATTGAAAAAGTCGACAGGATATTTCTCTCTCGTATGAAGATCGAAGAAGCATTCTCCATTTTCAGGAAGAAGCAAAAAGCTAGTTCGTAATGTGAAATTTACTTGAGCCGTTAATACTCTTGAGCTTAGTAGGACAGCATCTCCATTTCTGAAGGGACCTAAAATGTTCACACATGAGTGTGGAACACCAGCATATATAACCCCACTGAACAACTCAGGTTTTTGATTCACGACATGTCGCGTGATCAAACCTCCTAATGAATGTGCAATCACCAAAGCACCAGTGGGCTTTTCTCCATTAGGACCTGGTCGATTAGAAGGTAATTTCTCCAGGAAGGCTTTGAGCTTTCGACTTAATAGATGTGGACTTAACCTCCAATCATAACCATAATCCCATACTCTCAATTTACCATTTTGCGCATTTTCGCAACTTTTAAGTCGCTTGAATAACCGCCTGGATATGTCTACTGGTCCAATATTCTTCAGCATCCCGGATGGGATAATACTTTCTTCCATTCTCTCCTCATCCTCTGGATTCAAACCAACTTCTAGGTCCACTTTACGTATATTGAGTCCTACCTTAACGGGTACCCAAAGTTGATGATTTGGTGCTTTAGCGGATCGAAGTATCGATCCTCGGTATCCACCCATAATTACAACATCCCCGGTCAAATTCTCCATGGCCTTATCTAAGGCATTGGCAGGTTTCGTTGATGACCGAGTATTATCTTTACCGAAGGAATCATATTTCGAGAATGAGGGACTCGGCTCAAGTGGCTTCTTTTTTGTAACAACTGGTAATATGTCTGAATGTGCATCAGTAATTGACTTTGATTTGTGTGACGTTGTGCTGGGATTCAAAAAGTTCATGCTAAAGCCAAAACTGGGTACGCGGGGCATACTTGGCATACTGGGCAATTGTGGCATTCGAAAGGTTGATCGATCTTGAAAAGAATCTCTAATAGCTTTAACTCGAGAGTTGACTTGTTCGCGGTGATTTTCAAACCGTGAATCATCACCTAGTGATGAGGTTCGAGATAAGCTATGATATAGTAATGAATCATCAGATGTTGTTCTGCGAATAGTTCTTGGACGTTCCGCTGAACTATTATTACCCGCTACAAGTTCATTCTGAAGATGTGAATTACTATGACGTTGTGATGATCGAGATTGAGCTGGAAGGTGCTCCTTTACCTGACGGTTGTTTGTAGATGATGAACCCTCATCTTTGGAACGACTAGGCGATAGAGAAAAGGAGTGGAACGTGGCGTTTCTTGGAGCATGAAAAGATGACCGAGACTTATGATTTGAGCTTGTTGATGTACCAAATAAGTTTCCCACCTGAGACATTGAAGGTAACCCTTTCGGCAGAAGCTTTTTGAGTGCATCGGCACCACTAGATAATGAACTCTGACGTTTCCTTCCAGGATGAAATACACTAGCCATGGCTGATGTGCGAGCTTCATTCGGTGGTTCTATAACCACCGTTGACTTTGATTCTGCCCGCGATTGAGGAGGGGGAGGTTTCACAGCGGCATCGAGTTTTGGGGAAAGCTTCGGTGATGGTAGTTTTCCCAATGTCGGCTCCTCCCCTTTTGTATTCCTTGATTCCTCATCGAACGGTAGTTTAGTTGTGGGTTCCAATGTTGGAGTCTCAGGGTCGCTATCAAAATAACCTCCTTCCAAATTATCCATGGCTGCAGCCTTTTCTGCGGCAGGTGTTTTTGAAGACTTCAAACGTGAAGCTGCATGACTGAGAGATACACCGATGATGGATTGTGCATCCTCATCTGATATATGAGGGGCCATAATGGTTTCCGCTTCGTCCGAGAGGTCATCGCTGAATTCATTCTGATCTGCCGCAATAGTATTTGATGTTGAAGCATTTAATGGATCGAGAGCAATTTGAGGGGGAATATTCGAAGCCATTTTCCGGATTCGTCTTTGTTCCCGATTATTTCCTTCTTTTCAAGCCGTTTACATCAATCCTTTCTAATCCATCATCATCATTCCATTCGAAATGTATTTATAAAATGTGGTAGGGAAGAAAAGAGGGAAAAGATGAAGACGTATTCCGCTGTTTCCGGATGCGATAAGCCTTATGAAATATCCAACACGATAACAACCTTGACAATAAAGGTATAGATTAGTTGGTAATTTCCCATTTAAGAAGGTTGATGGTATCGTGAGCTTATGAATTTTTGGTTACAGTTGAAGTCGAGTTTTCCGTCTCGGTAGGTATTTTCATGTACCGTAAACAACAATAAGGGTCCTCCATAGTCCATAATGCATAGTCCGTAGCCTCGAACGTCGGTTGTCCATTATGCCAGCAAAGTTAATTCCTTGCAATTGACGTAATCCAAGTGGCAGTGTGTATCACGGAAAGGTGGAGTTGATGTGCCCGTAAATCGTATATCGTATATCGTATATCGTATATCTCTCGGATATCGAGTATAAAAACTTTCATTAATAATTAGTATGAAGTACCTATTTGTGTATGTCTTTGGAGTAAAAGCGATGGATGCTTCCATTCATATCTTTCATAGGAGATATGAAGGGTTGTAAGTGTATAGCAAGAAGTTGAGAGATAGATAGGAATCTTGATTAGAAGAGAAAGATAAAAATCACATGTGAAGCCTTACATGCTGTGTATAGCCGTTGCCGTTGTGCCAATTGGTGGTTTGAACGATATCTGTCAATAATAAGACAGCATTGATGATTCACCACACTCCAAACCCTACCGTACTACCGAAAAACATATGATATGCATAATAACACAAAGGAGAATTAAATTTCATCCCAAGAACAAACGGACGAACGACAATCATTTGCAGCGACAAACCGCAGGAATAACAATCCTGCATCCGAAAATACCGAGCTTAAAAAACAATAAGGTCTTACAATACCTGATAAAATTTCCCGCGCTTTTCTTCCATTCTCCTTTTCCGAAGACCTGGCTGAGCGGAAAGTTGTTTTCATATCTACTCCACTCCTCACTGTAGGTAGGTTACGGAGCATATGAAAATATCCATGAAAGCTCCACCACCCAACCAAACCAAACCAAAAGCAAAGCACCAATAAATTTCAGCCACCGGTCTCCTCCATATAAGTGTATGCCGTATGCCGTATATCGTATAAACTCACCTATTCCGTTCTAGGATATACAAGTCCTCGAGTATAATTTCAACCAACGCACGCATTCGAACATCCCCTCAATTTTATTCCAATCACCCAATCACCAACCCATAATTCCACGAAAATAAACCAAACCAATAAAGTTTCCCACTCAACTACCCTCACTACCCTACTTACTCATACCCAAAACAACCCAATTCAATCAATTCAATCCCGAAAAACACAGCCCCCAAAAACCAACCCAAACCAACCCAAATCCCTCCCTCCCTCCCTCCTTCGTTTTCAGGGGCAAGTCAAGACAAGACCAAATTCCAATTTCCAGTTTCCGCTTGCCTGCCGGGGGCTGGTTTATGCTATGCTTGAAACGATGAAACATACCGTACCATACCTACAATACCTAGTACTCTTAGCGATCCGGGGAAAGTTTGGTTTGGTTTTGGTTTTTGGTTTTGGTTTTTGGTTTTGGTTTTTGGTTTTTGGTTTTTGGTTTTGGTTTCTGATTCCTCCCTCGTATTTTTAATTTATTTCACTGATTTATTTCATTTCGAAATTTAATGGGGAGATACGTACTCGAGTAATCCAATTTATTAAATGAATCGTTCCTTTACAAAATTAGAAATAATGCAAGGTAAGTAGGTAAGTAATTAATCAATCAATCAACCAATCAATCAAATGGATCAAGCAAGTAGAATTATCTAGAGAATTAAAAAAGGGCAAAACCCCAAAAAGGTTAAATCAAAGAATTTCAAAATTCTGGCTATTTAATTAGGTATACTTGAAGACAAAATTGGAGGAATGGCCTGCTATCCAACTCTGTGTCAATAGTTTCCAGGTAAAACCTGTATTTATTCAGAAATGTATCCCCCCATTCCACGATCCATACATGCCATGCGTATATAACCAGAACTTAAAAAAATCAACAATGATGAGTAAGAAAAATGCGCGCGAAGAAAAAACTTCTGATCCAAACTGTCGTTGCCGAGACCAGACTCTAAGAATTAACAAAGTAAACATCAACATCCCTAAGGTATCTATCTATCCCCTTTTCGTAGACCCGAGCCATGATAGCTTTGTTATCGGAGCCCCGAAATTCCATTATAATGTAATAGCGTGAAAATTGTCGACTCGAGGTTACGCAGATGCTTACAAGAAGAAGGCAGCGAAACCGAAAACGGCAGCGACGGCAGCGCCTCCAACTTGAACGTTGCTAGCAGCACCGGTGAAGACAGCTGGGGTGGAGGTGGTTGGGCTAGAAACGTTGTGTGGGACGGTGATGTATCCAGTGGAAGATGGCTTGGCTGGGGAACCTGGAGATCCTGGGGAACCTGGGGAGCTTGGGGAGCTTGGGGAGCTTGGAGAACTTGGGCTACCTGGGACACCTGCGGTGGCGGTCTCAACTCCGCCAGTGACGGTAGAGTAGATGACGGTTGGGATACAGGTGGTGATGGCAATGACGGAGACCGAACCAGCTGGGACGGAAGGAATACCGACAGCAGAGCTGACAGAGGCGGATGGGGTAGCGTAGATGGGGGTTAAGGTGTTAACTGGTGTTCCGGTAGAAGTGCTGAAGTAAGAGCTTGGGCAAGATCCAGGGTGAGCTGGGTTGCATCCACCTGGAATACCGGCAACGCTGCTTGGGACGCTGCCAGCTGGGGAGGAAGGAGCACCTGGTGTTGCGGTGGAGGTGCTGAAGTAAGAACTTGGGCAAGATCCTGGGTGAGCTGGGTTGCATCCGCCTGGAATACCGGCAACGCTGGTTGGGACGCTGCCAGCTGGGGAGGAAGGAGCACCTGGTGTTGCGGTGGAGGTGCTGAAGTAAGAACTTGGGCAAGATCCTGGGTGAGCTGGGTTGCATCCGCCTGGAATACCGGCAATGCTAGTTGGAACACTGCCAGCTGGGGAGGAAGGAGCCCCTGAAGATGGGACAGAGCCTCCTGGAACGGTGGAAACTCCTTCAGCACTGGATGGGGAGGAACCCGCTGGTGCACTTGCGGATGGAACTGAACCTCCTGGAACACTGGAGGCTGCTGGGGCACTGTTGGATGGCTGGCTGCCTGGGGTGACGGAGGAACCGGAAGCATCAGTGGTAGATGGCCTTGGGTAAACGGTGGTGGAAACCTGGGTGCTGCGAGCCGGGCAGTTGGTGACGGTGGCAGCGCAAGAGGTGATGGTGACTTCCTCAGTGACCTAGTGTGCATTAGCGCCATGAACTCACACCTTTCGAATCATGTAGAGTCCAACTTACGTAGTCAGTAGAGGTGGCAGCCATAGCGGCACCAGCAAACATGGAAACGGCGATAACGGAGAAACGCATTTTGAATATTATTTTGATTTTTGGGTTGGTTTAAAGGTGCTGAAGAGCGGTAATAGAAGGATTTACTGAGGGCTTAAATCTGTAAAGTTGTTCTGTAAAGAATGGACGACCTAGGTCAAAAGAAAGATATGTACGAATCTGAAGATTTGACTTTTGTTTGGATGAAGAGAAGAGTGAATGTAGGAGGGGAGGGGCAAGTCAACCCCATATAAGCTTGGGAGATTACACCAAGATGGGAGATGGGGCGTGATTGACAGGGAAGAGCTTCTTTTTCCGCGGTCCCATGTGGAGAAGGCTTTTTACAGTTTACTTTCGCATTTTCTTTCGCACCACTAAAAGGGGTTCGTTGATTGGAAAGGAACTAGAAAAGAATACCCAATTTCGTTGATTCCGTCCTGGGATTTACAGGGGAACATCCTTCAAACCGGTAGTCATGCATGCGAACCTTGGCTAAAGCGAGTAGGGTGTAGCCATTTAGTGAGCAGTGTACACCGACACCGACTGACAAGAATGTAAATGCAGGCTAGGGCTAAAGGCTCGATCCAATCGATCATCGACATCCACTTTGAGCCGTTGATTAACAGGAGAAGTGTGAAGTGTGAAGTGTGAAGTGTTTTCTTTTCCCATTTCTCATATCTTGGATTCAGATGACTGGAGAGTCAGTAGTTCATCCGTACCTTGCGGATTTCATGTTTCACGACTTGGGTTTTCATGTCCACCGAAGGAAGGCCGGGCCATAGAGAATGCATGGCTTGAAGCCTTGGAGGCTGTACCTGCGTGAGCAATCGGTGATATGCTTGTTTAAAAGTTTATTCGACAGGGATTGGCCATGAATTGATGGAGTGATGAATTCATTATTTTATTACTTCGTCATTCAACAAGACAAGTTGAGAACCCCTATATAATTGACTTTAACATAATTCTGAATTTGACAGCTAGGTGGTAGATATTATGTAAGAATTTTAGGAGTATTAATTATCCATCCCGTTTGCTTTCTATTGTTTGATCATTTTAGGAATATTAGGATTCTACTAGGTATTCAAAGGCACATTTAACGGTTCAAAGGTTCTATTTCTAGACCACTCATCATTTCATTTTCCTGGAGTAGTGGCTGTTCTCTTATGGCTGATGCTGTTTACAGGTTGGTTTAAATGTTTCAGGTAATGAGTGAACATTTGGTAAGTCTTACAATCCATCAATCCATCAATCCAATTCAATTCAATTCAATTCAATAATCATCATCCAATGCCATCCATCCATCCACACTCAAATACTCCGTACTCTCTCTGCTCTATCGAATTAAACGCTCAATATTCTTTCCCTCCTTCCCACTCGGGCCAGTCATGATTCAAATCCCAATTAAAAAAGAAGTTGGCCCATAAACCGTGCCTCGCCTGTTTTTTATTTAAGCATCTTTTTTGAACCTAGAAGAAAATCGTCGTCTCAATTTCCAAATATATTCAATGCAATGCTTAATCCTCATCGGGATGAAAGGACTCCAAATATTTGGTTGATCATAATTTTGAATCGGCCAAAAACAATTCATGATTCACGCACTTTCCTGAGATTTTGGTCACCGTTTATTATTGGGACGTTTCTATTTTGGTTTGAATTTTTGAATCCGCAAAATGATGCCATTTGATTAAGCTACCTACCTACCCTCCCTCCCGACTTCGTAAATTTACTATGGCTGGTACACCAGGAAGTGGTAAGGATATCTTTAAGATTTGTCTTGTAAATTGCTGAATTTACAATACGAGCTTCATCGTTGTCAAGTTAGCAACTACGCCCACGGAGTAAGATCACATTGCCGTATTCACTTGATTCATTAAACGGTTCTCCCGAATTCATATTTACTCCATATTTCCGACCATCAAAATGCTGGCCCGTTTTACTATCGATTTCGAAGACATGTATGGATGTTACGGCTTTTACTGGCTTACTGGCTTACTGGCTCGACTGGCTAGACTGGCTCGACTAACTTGATACACCGGCGTCTCCTGTGCGGATATTTTCCTCCACAATTAGCGCCCACCTTATCGATAAATGCCAAGATATCGAAGATTTGCCGTTAATAAATATCCGTGAAAAAGGGGCATGATGGATGAAGAATTGAAGGACTGAAGAACGTGTGACTTGTCATACGTACTTCGCACTTTGAAAACTCAAAAACATGGAAAGAGTTCATGCAATTGTACAGGTTCATCCTCATCATCTACGATTTATCGACATTGATTTCTTTCATCTCTAGGATATCCTCATCGTATACCTACCTCGTCGTATATAACCAGCCATTCACTTTCATCTTCAAGAGTCGTTGAATGTTACAATCCTGTATATTGATTGATCTTACTCAATATTACTACTGGAGTATACATTTACAAACACCAATTCATGCTCAATCCGATTCATTTTACCACTGACATGCAAAGCGTCTACACGGATTCAATCAACAGCTAATCCTTCATTCCCATCTAATTGTTGAGAATCCAACAGAGCCCTACGCAGACACCCGGAAATCTCGAAAATTCATAGACGAAATGTCCATACATGCTACATACGATACCAATCTATTCCTATACCAAAAGTTACCAATTCATAGCTACAAGAGTTCTATTAGTATCCCCATCGTCGCAAACCCTCCCTCATACACAACACCACCACTCGTCAACAGAAAACCCCACCGGCAGAGCACAAATAAGAGTATATAAATTCCAACGACGTCAAATCCGTCACATACGACCATAGACTGAAGAGAATTGGGCATCCCGTCCGCTCTGCCATACACAAGCTTCAGATCGGTGGATTAGTAGTTGGGTGGGTGACCACCAGCGAATCCCCACTGTTGTATGTTTTTTTTCCTGTTCTTTTTTGAGTGCTGCATCTTCTTTTGCTGCTTTTTGAAAGATATATTGAGATGGAAGTTATTGATACACAGAATGGAAAGAAGGAGGGATTAAACGTCACCCCTATTCATGCAATATCATTGCGAGAACATGTCTGTCATACACCAAGATTGCCATGCCTGGGCTGAATAGTTTCTACCAGGTTTCCCAACGTCGACTCTTGTGATTCATTTTCTTGACCAGATTTCATATTCAAATGAACGCTTGCTTTTTTGTTCAACTGAAGAAGCAGCTTTAATTCCACATCAAATTATCTAAAATCCATCTAATACATCTATCTGTACCGTGATTAAGGATAGGTAACCTTGCTTTCAACACAAAACCACACTACCAAAATCAGGACCACAGTAGGATCCTACAATTAATTAAGTCTGGATAGGAACAATACAAAACCATCGAGAAGTATTCTTCTTCTTTTAGTATACATACATCCATCCAATCAATTATCCAAACCGTTTTTAGTTTCTAGATTGCAGAAGCACTAAATAAAACTAATGCATTTTATTGATTTATCTACCTATCTAGTGGGAACAATATACCGAAGACCTAGAACGTCTTGCGCTTGCCCTTGCTATAAATATATATATATCTATCTACTAGGCAACTACTAGATAAGATTACTATCGAATCTATAATTAAGATGTTATATAGGAGATTTCTTTCAATAGTATATCCCCTCTACTATTTAATTATTATATTCTTTTGACTCTTTATAATTAGATTTCTTACACTTTCTTTAGATTTGATAGTCTGATCTGATTTAAGAATATTAGTTAAAGAAAGAATCTTTTTTTCTTTTTTGTTTATTTATCTCTTTTGTTGCGATCTAGATCACGTGGAAGTGGCCTGGATCCTCGAATGGTTTCTAACTAGTAGAGTATACTAAATGATTGATCTTGAGTACGAAGCTCTACAAAAGGAATCTTTTCCTAACTATATAGCTCTTCGTATTCCGTATCTCACTCTTTCTACTGAATAGAATCGATAAGATTGATGGGAATCCTTTTCTACTATTCCCATCAATTTAAATCAATAGGATTAATAGGAATAGTATCATATGATCACTTGATCATACGATTCTATTGTTGTTATTGTAATGGATTCAATAGTAACAATTCTGATGTTTACTAGATCTTTATACTACTTTAATTCTATAACTAAATTGATCAAATCGTATCTTGTAAGCACAGGAACAGTTATTGTAAGATCTGTGACCGTAACATCTTTGTAAAGTTTTTTTTATCTTGAAAATGATTAATCTATTTTTCAAAGAAGAGTGAGTATATATATATATACAAAGGAAGCTTTGAGTTATATTTATATAAAAATGATAGAATGAGATGAAACAAAATGAAATATTAATAAAGAGTGATTATATATATGAAATAGATAATTAATTATCCAAAAGATTGATATCTCTATACCATATCAAATTTCATAAGACTTAATATAGAATTATCAATTCAAGAAATGAGATACCTACCTATCTAGTCTACTAGTTAATCATAATATATACAGCTGTTATACTGTCATCTTTCTTACATTCAAAAACACAAAGTCATTATTCATTATCCATTTTCAATATTCATTACCCATCCATGTAGCTAGGCCCTAGGATATGAATTGACGACACGACTCCACCCATAGCCATAGCTATAGCTATAACATTAGCATGACCGCTGGAATAATAATTATTGAGCGTTTCATCTATCGGATAGTTAAGGTGGTGCGGTGCGGTGCGGTGCATCCCATTATGTATGTAATTAAGACTTACTTACCTGACTACTATTCTTCTTCTTCTTTAGAGGATTGATGATTGATGATTGATAATGATTAATGAATTTCAGACTTAACTCCACTTCAAGATTAATGTGTCGTTCGTTGGTGGTTAGTTAGAACTTAGATATTTGAGTACCTATTACTTAATAAGTGTTAGTTTTTATTTAATTTTATTTTTAATTTTATTTTATTTTTGCACATTCATAGTTGATATTGGGGTTGGGATTGTTGATAAGATGTCACTTGGATAGATATTTTTCAATTTATAGATTTATAAGATAGCATTCATAAAATAAATAGGAAAAAATATATTAAAGTTTTTTGAATATATATTTTCAATTCATAGATTCATTTATAATAATCTTAATCTTGATTATAAGAAAAACATATTAAGAAATCTTTTTATACATTTTTCAATTCATTTATTCATAATATAAGAAAAATATAATAAGAAATCTTTTATATAATTATAAATATAGATATATTAAAAATATAATAACCAAGGAAAAAGTGATTATCAGAGTCCAGCTCCGATAATCTTCAGATATGAGTGATGTAAAGAAACAACACTTACCGATTCTTCTCCTTATGAAATGAGATAAGATACTCACTTACCTCTGCTATGAGTGTTTAAAGTGAACAGATGACTTACCTTGCTTGATCTTTCTCGGTCCTCGTCCCTTCACTACTTCTACTTCACTCATTTGCCTAATCGGCTGAGTCTCTTTGCTGGCCCATTCAGTGGTTTCTTCGCTGGTTCCCAATCCGAAGCGTCGCTGTCCTCGGAAGATTCGTTATCGCTATTGCTGTTATCCATTTCCATGGATTTTCTGGATCTCTTCCTCACAAGACGAGTTCTCTTGGCTGGATTGCCTTGTGTGCTCGATGATTGTGTTTGTTCTTGGGTGTCAATAATGATGGTGTCACCGTCTACATCGAATATACTTCCATCAATGTCAAACTCTGCGTCATTGTCCTGATCCATCTCAGCTGCCTTTCTCTTGTTGCTCTTTGCATCTGTGGTTTCGGATGTCGAACTTCCGCTACTAGATACCTTCTTGTCAGGTTGCAAACGTGCTTGTTTTTGAATGACTTTGCCAGCGACGTACTTGTCAAGGTTGTTCATGTGTTTGTCCAAGGAGTTTGAATTGGGACGGCGGTCGCGGACACTTTGTCGATTAGCGGGTTCGAGCTCCAAGTGCTTGACGGTCAACTTATAGCAAAGGGTGTCCTCGTACTTATAGTCCTTAGCAAGATTAACGAAATTTGGGTTGGCGTACTCTCTCTCTGCGTTGCGGACGAAAATCCGGACGACTCTTTTCATCTCGACGTGATCTCGTGTGATCGCCATCTTGTTTCGTCCCTCGGCGAGGATACGATCGTCAGGCCGAACATTGAAATTGGCGCAGATGAAGCGAAAGTCGAGGAACTTCTCTAGACAGTAGAGATGAACGTGGCCGGCGTTGTGGAAAGGGTCAGTGAGAACCGGATCGGACGATTGCTCATCGAAAGCGACTCGATATTGGCCTTTGAGGATGGTGCCGTTCCGGGCTGGGCAGTCTTCAAAGCGACATTTGTCGGAATTTGGGTGTGCGTAGCGTGCGGCAGAGTCGGATGGGACGCTTTGAACCCAGAGTGTGAGTCCAGAGGCTTTGGTGTGTCTCTGTCCTCCCATGCTGTGACCTGGATGGTTGAAGATGAACTCTTTGATCTGGCTGGCGGTGTACTTGACGTACGGGCTCAATTCTCCGTCTGGGGTGTACCGGAAAGGAACGACACCGGCACGATTTGGATTTCCCCAGCTTTGAGGTTGTTTTGCAAGGGGAGCGTAGTATGACGATGGATTAAGCGACTGGATGTTCCTGCTGCGCTTGTTCTTACCTTGTGTTGACATATTGGGCTTAATCCAACTCTTTCCAGGTACCTTGGTAGGCCTGACATTGACTTCTGGTTCCTTTGGTTCAAATTCTTCTTCTGTCTCCGAGATTGCGAAGTCCTCTGGATCCCAGTGTGATGCAACAGACTCTGATGCGACGGGGACGGCGATACCTTTACCCTTGGAGACGACTCGCTTCTTGGCTGGTGATTGATTAGGATTAAATGGTTCAATAATGTCGATGCCATCGACGACGAATTGATTGAGCTCGTCGTCAACCTCTCTGCATCGTTTCAACCCTTGTTGAAGTGCTTCCATAACGCTTCCGGGCAAGCTTCCAAAGGAATCGATGATGTGCAATGGATAGCTTGGGCTAGGGAATGCATTCAAGATGGTGTGCCGGTAATCGTTGGAGAACTCGAAAGGAGCAGGGAATTTTTGGATTGGTGGCATGCTTGGAACCGTGAAACTGACTGCCGGAGCCGTGAAACCGACTGTCGGAAGCGGGTTCATGTTGCTAGTGAAACGCTTGTTCAAGAAGCTGGGGTTGACTGTTGCGTTGTCAGTAATGAGAGGAACGGGTAACTCAACTCGGGTGTTGTTTCCTTGCGAGATGCTAGTCATCCCTTGACTGGCTTGCGTGTCAATCATCTCCACATCCGTGTTGCTGAGGAAGTCTCCAAAGTCGAAGGTTGAAGGATTAGGAAGATTTTCATAGCCTTCGACTGGAAATTCAGGAGAATGGAGGTCTACTTGATCCAATGATTGATATTGGTCGTCAAAAGTGAATTGATCAAGGTTGAATTCAGACATGTTGTTTAATTTAGCAGCTCAGCTGTACTAAATTGTATGAACGGCTTGTTACGTGGATTGAATGTAGTAAATGAGAAATGATTGGTTTATACAATCGTAATAACAATGCTAGTGGATTGGATCCTAAGATTGGAAAATTGGTGGATTGGTGTGAGTGAGGCAAGAAGAGAAGAGACAATAGGGATTGTCAGGAAACCTATATACTGAATTCATGCTTTGTTTCCTAAAGTGTTGTTCATTTTATTGTATTTGTACGCACAAAGGATCCTTTGAAGAGTTCGACTATTCGAACAAGCAGGGCACATTATTCCTGCTATTCGCTAGAAAATAACAATGGAATTGAGAAAGTCAACAAAGGTAGCTGATGTCCTCTTTGTACCTCAACACCAACAATAGAGATGAGATGATTTCCTCCCATTTCCAGCAGTGAAGAAAAAAGATCATCTGCATCCCAACCATGCCCTTGTCCTCCAACCTACCTGCGTAACATAGTAGAACCGAGAGACTCAATCATCTTGAATCCAACCCACATTGGCTAGGCCAGTTGAACATTCGACTGGAATTAGAGGCATGTGCCAGCCAATTAACACTAAGGTAGATTTGGTAACCCTTGATAAAAATGATGGGTGCCTGTTATACAGAAAACTTTTTAAGAATTAGCTGAGATTCTCACAATGCTTTGAAGTAATTAAAAATTAGGCATGAACAACAATATCAGAAGGTCTCCAAGATAATCAACAACCAGCATGAAGCTGTTCAGAACAGGTCTGTGTATCTTGTTTGTAACATCATGTTGTTGTGCCCAAGTAGGGAATAGTAGTGATTGTAGACAAAAGAAAAGGTGTGATAAAAATAGGACATACCAATGATAAAGAAGCTGCGAGCATGAAAGAATAAGTCATGAAAATAGCACCATAGCATAATAGATTGAACCATCACAAACCTAAGTTAGGTTCACAAGCTCTCCAATTCAAGATTGAGTTAAGGTCTTTTGTTGTATACCAGTATGGTAAATCAGGAATCAGATATACGCAAAGGTAATGCAGGAATTCCCCGCTCATTTAGGATAGAATGAATTAATTTCGAACATGGTAAGAGGAAAGGAAGTAAATAATTTAGAGATTGAATGGGTTGAATAATTTAAAGTAATAAATAGTATAAACTGAAGATTGTTGAAGATATTGATGTTGATGAAGGGTTGAAAGAGAGGTGGATGTTTCTGAGCCATCGAAAATTTATAGATGAAAAAAAAAAAACCTTTCAAACGTTTATGGTCCGTGCAGCATTAGCTTGATAACCTTCCAATCACATGATAATGAAAGCTTGCGGAGCTTCATTGGTTCATTCTGATAAGCAAGACTTGGTGGATTAGTTTGGTGGGACATTTTTGGTGGGACATTTTGGTGGTACAAACGTCTTTTGGTTGGCTTCAGCAAAAAGAGACCTCGGGGATCCCGTGTTACCATTTCTTTGTTTTGGAGACATCTCGAAGTGGGTAAGATACATTCTTCGACGCATCTACGGAGTACATCTATATCTTATCCAATTGGTTATCACTAGTAATTTTATTGCTTCGAGAAATAGGAAGCCATAAATAAACTAGAATCAAAAATGCACTCCCCACTCTCTTTTAAGAATATTTCCTACTTCACTCCATACAATACTCCGTATTCTATCTAACCTTAGATATGTTGAATATTAATGAATCGCTGAACTTGACTTGGCTGGCAACCTGATCGGCTATTCGTTACTCCGTATTTTCGTCCGATACCCCCATTATACGAATGCAAACGTCGGCAGGCCGACCTACCAAGGGCATGACGAATGTTGAACATCTAATAGATTTCCCATCCAGTATGCTTTTGTTGGAAAAGTAAGAAAGAGTCTTAACACTGATTTGCATTTAGAGTAACCAACCATCGTTTGCCTTTTGCATCTTCTACCTACCTACTTTCCATCCTTCTTTTGCTCAAGCTTCCGGCTTCCAGCTTCATGTTTTTACCCACTTACCATACTTTAATCGCCCCTTGAAAACATTAATTTGCGACTTCCTTAAGAAAGTGTGTCTTCGTTTGCTCCTAATCCCTCATACCGAGTCGCACCGAACATGGAGGAGAATAATCCGGAGTTGCAGGCAAAGCTGCAGGAATTAGAACATGAGCTGGAGGTTAGTTATGGCGTTCCCAATGACGGGGAATTTGTTTTAGCTGCGTCGCGTGTGCTCTTGTGCCAAATGCATGCAGGATGACATTGTCCGGGGTAGATTAGATGTTTTCCAGTACCAAATTGCTGATACAACCTTTGCTTTAGGAAGGGGATATTACTGAGAAGGGGTACGTTTGCTCAATGCTATGCTAAAAGCATTTAACATCTCATATGATATATCAGTCTGATTTCTCGAACACAGATATCAAAAGCGCCGCACATTTTTACTTTCACAATACCTGGGCGCCGCACCGATTGCCGCAGAGCTGACAGGGTTGCGCATACATGCTCCTGATGACAGCATACATCCCTCGAATGATGGTTCACGCTCTGCATCTCTTGCAGCCCTGAATTCGAACTCAAGAACTGCAAGCGGAAGTTACCTATCGCAAAACTACGGCGCATCTCAAATTTCCGGTCGAACCGCTACAATGGCTAGTGATACAGAAAGTTTCGGGGCAAATAGAGCACAAGATGGGCGAACATTTTCATATGCCGGCAGACCTCAGGATTTAAGGCTGGCGGTACATAATCCCACCACCCAGCGTCATAGCTCTTATAGTCAGGCCTCATCATATCAACCTGGCTCCCCAGGAACTGGAGACTATCAGCAAGATCGTCCAAATGAGCCAAGTATGAGATTGGAGTCGATGGCTTCTAGTACAAATTATGCTTTCAATCCGGCACATCAAAGTGGCTATATGGAACATCAGGGGGACGTCTACGATCAGAATCATGCAGAAATGATGATGGACTCGCACGGCACCATGCTTGGTGAATCGCAGCAAGGATATTTCTCAGACTTTGCCGGACAACAAGGGTATGAGAATAATGGACCAAATTCATATGGTGGTGGGCCACATCGATATTCTTCCAGTGACGCATTCTCTCCAACAGCGGCAATGGCGCCGCCAATGCTGACCACCAGTGACTTACCTCCTCCCGCCGCCCTAGAGTATCAAATGCCTCTGGAGCCTAGAGATGTCCCATTCGCTGTCTACGATCCACATGATAAAAATACCCCCATGTCTAAATTTGATAATATCGCGGCTGTTTTGAGGCATCGGGGTAGTGCAAGAGCGAAGATGCCAGCATACTGGGTATTAGACAATAAAGGAAAAGAAATTGCTTCTATTACCTGGGAGAAACTTACTAGTCGAGCTGAGAAGGTTGCGCAAGTAATTAGAGATAAAAGTTCTCTCTATAGAGGTGATCGAGTGGCTTTGATATATCGCGAATCCGAAATCATTGAATTCGCCATCGCTTTACTTGGATGTTTCATTGCTGGAGTGGTGGCCGTCCCTATTAATGATCTCGACGATTACGCAAAACTTAATACGATTTTGACCTCTACACAAGCACATCTTGCACTGACCACCGACAACAATTTGAAAACTTTCCAGCGAGATATCACAAGCCAGAAGCTGAATTGGCCAAGGGGAGTAGAATGGTGGAAGACAAATGAGTTTGGTAGTTGGCATCCAAAGAAAAAGGATGATGTACCACCTTTGACGGTACCAGATTTAGCTTATATTGAATTTTCACGAGCTCCTACAGGCGATCTCCGTGGTGTAGTAATGAGCCACCGAACAATCATGCATCAAATGGCATGTCTCAGTGCTATCATATCTACAGTGCCGTCTGGTGGACGTGGTGATACTTTCAATACTGAACTAAGAGATAAAAGCGGAAGATTGATGGCTGGGGGTAGCAGTCGTGGCGAGATCTTGCTCTCTTATTTAGACCCACGGCAGGGAATTGGTATGATTTTGGGAGTCCTATTAACAGTATATGGTGGCCACACAACTGTCTGGCTCGAAAGTAAGGCTGTTGAAACACCTGGTCTTTATGCCCACCTCATTACAAAATACAGGGCCACCCTCATGGTTGCCGATTACCCGGGCTTGAAGAGGGCAGCCTATAACTACCAGCAAGATCCAATGACTACGCGCAATTTCAAAAAGGGAATGGAACCAAACTTTCAAAATGTTAGACTGTGCCTAATAGATACACTGACAGTCGATAGCGAGTTCCACGAGGTTTTAGCAGATCGATGGTTACGGCCCATGCGAAATCCTCGTGCGCGAGAATTGGTTGCCCCTATGTTATGTCTACCGGAACATGGTGGTATGGTGATTAGTATGCGAGATTGGTTGGGTGGTGAAGAGCGTATGGGATGTCCCTTGAAACTGGACATTGGATCAGACGGCAATTCCATCGAGGAGAAGTCCGAAGAAAAGGAGAAGTCATCTGGTAATGGGTTTGGAAGTCTCATAGGAGGCGGAACAGTAGCCCCAGCTGAACAGAAAGGAAGAACAGAACTAAGTGAAGTTCTCCTGGATCGAGAAGCGCTCAAAACCAATGAAGTTGTTGTGGTCGCTATTGGTGAGGAAGCGCGTAAGAAAGCCAGTAGCGAACCAGGAACGGTACGTTGTGGTGCTTTTGGTTTTCCAATACCCGATGCTACTTTAGCGGTAGTGGATCCAGAAACTGGTCTTCTAGCGTCCCCACATTCTGTAGGTGAAATCTGGGTAGACTCCCCGTCTCTATCAGGGGGTTTCTGGGCCTTGCCGAAACATACTGAGCAAATTTTCCATGCTCGACCATATAAATTTGAGCAAGGAGACCCGACTCCAATGATGGTGGAGCCAGAGTTCCTTCGTACAGGTCTTCTCGGAACAGTGATCGAGGGCAAGATTTTCGTCCTTGGCCTGTATGAAGATCGTCTCCGGCAAAAGGTTGAATGGGTCGAGCATGGCCACGAAGTCGCAGAACATCGATACTTCTTTGTACAACACATAATAGTGAGTATCATGAAGAACGTACCCAAGATTTATGACTGCTCCGCGTTCGATGTTTTTGTCAATGATGAGCATCTTCCGATAGTTCTGTTGGAATCACCTTCCGCATCAACAGCACCTGCTGCCTCTGGTGGACCTCCACGCCAACTGGATACTGCGCTTCTAGATTCACTGTCAGAGCGATGTATGGAAGTATTGATGCAAGAACATCATCTAAGGGTCTATTGTGTGATGATTACAGCACCAAATACTCTCCCGAAGGTCCTAAAGTGTGGCCGAAGAGAGATCGGTAATATGCTTTGCCGCCGCGAATTTGATCTTGGAAACCTTCCTTGTGTGCATGTAAAATTCGGTGTCGAACGAGCTGTCCTTAACTTACCTATTGGTGTGGATCCTATTGGTGGTATATGGTCACCGCTTGCCGCCCAAGCTCGTGAAGATATATTATCTCCTGGCGACAAGCAATATTCCGGAATCGATCGTCGCGAAGTGGTAATTGATGATCGAACTTCCACACCTCTAAATAACTTCCTAAGCATAGTTGACTTGCTACAATGGCGCGTGGCACGACAAGCTGACGAACTATCCTACTGCACTATAGACGGCCGAGGTAAAGAAGGAAAAGGGATCACCTGGAAGAAATTCGACACGAAGGTTGCTGCTGTGGCTATGTATCTCAAAAATAAGGTCAAGATAAGGCATGGCGACCATCTGATTCTCATGTATACGCATTCTGAAGACTTTGTGTATGCAACGCACGCATGTTTTTGTTTAGGAGCAACGGCTATACCCATGGCTCCTCTTGATCAGAATCGCCTGAACGAAGATTCACCCGCATTCCTACATATGGTTTCTGATTACCATGTGAAGGCTGTTTTGGTTAATCAAGACGTTGACAACTTAATGAAACAAAAAACAGTCTCACAACACCTTAAACAATCGGCACAAATTCTGAAGGTACAGGTGCCGAGCATATATAATACTTCGAAGCCACCCAAGCAAAACAATGGTTGCAGAGATCTTGGCCTTACGATGCTACCAAACTGGGTTCAGCCAGGATACCCTGCTCTTGTTTGGACATATTGGACACCTGATCAACGTAGGATCGCTGTACAACTAGGTCATGATACCATCATGGGTATGTGCAAGGTGCAGAAAGAGACTTGTCAAATGACAAGCTCGAGGCCTGTTCTAGGTTGCGTGAGAAGTACCACTGGTCTGGGTTTCATCCACAGTGTTCTTATGGGTATATTCGTTGGGGCCCCAACTTACCTGGTTTCCCCCGTCGAATTCGCACAAAATCCAGTATCACTTTTCTTAACTTTATCGAGGTACAAGATTAAGGATACCTATGCCACACCTCAAATGCTCGATCATGCAATGGCCGTCATGCCAGGCAAGGGTTTCACTCTTCACGAGTTGAAAAACCTGATGATTTCAGCCGAAGGAAGACCTAGAGTTGATGTTTTCCAAAAAGTACGTCTTCATTTTGCTGCGACTGGTCTTGATCGTACTGCTATCAATACGGTATATTCGCACGTTTTGAATCCAATGATTGCATCTCGCTCATATATGTGTATTGAACCAATTGAGCTGTGGCTAGATACTCAAGCTTTACGCCGGGGTATGGTATATCCTGTCGATCCCGAATCGAACCCCAAAGCACTCATGGTTCAAGATTCTGGCATGGTTCCCGTGTCAACTCAAATAGCTATTGTTAATCCAGAAAGCCGTTGTCTTTGCCACGAAGGTGAATATGGTGAAATTTGGGTCGAGTCAGAGGCATGCGTCAGAGCATTCTATGGATCGAAGGATGCTTTCGATTTCGAAAGATTTGACGGGCGTACTGTTGATGGTGATCCAAATGTACAATACGTCCGAACAGGAGATTTAGGGTTTCTACATACCGTGAGCCGACCTATAGGGCCAGGTGGTGCGCTCGTCGAGATGCAAGTACTGTTCGTTCTCGGAAGTGTTGGGGAGACATTCGAAATAAACGGCCTTAGTCATTTCCCAATGGATATTGAAAGTTCAATAGAGAAATGTCATCGTAACATTGTCCCTGGAGGATCGTAAGTTTTTCCCTTTTGATTTCTTGGAGCCATTGAAGCTAATAATATTTAGTGCCGTATTTCAGGCCGGCGGACTTATCGTTGTATTGGTGGAAGTAGGAAGGAAATCATACCTTGCTTCCATTGTACCAGTCATAGTGAACGCCATTCTAAATGAACATCAAATCATCGTTGACATCGTTGCCTTTGTCAATAAGGGTGATTTTCCCAGGTCCCGACTTGGGGAAAAGCAACGGGGTAAAATTCTAGCTACTTGGGTCACGCGCAAAATGCGTACCATGGCACAATTTGGTATCCGAGACGCCGAAGGAGGTCTTTCAGACGTTACAGAGACCATGGAGCCACGCAGTGGTATCCCTAGTGTTCGTAATGGTAGCGTCATCGCGAGCAGCCTCCGCAATGTTGAGCCTGCTCCTCAAATCGTTGAGGAACAGGAACGCGAGCGTCAGCGTGCGGTTTCGCAACATAGTTTCGCACCCATCCCGGTTGGCATATCTGAAATGCCAGCAGATAATTATGATGCACCTTCAATGCGATCATCGAATGAAGCAAATTTCAGCATGAGATACAATGATGACACACCTCCTGCAAATTCACAACATGATCATTTCGAACCAAGCAGCAATTTCTATGGTGGGCAAATCAATTTCGATAATCCATATTCTGATTTTGTAGTTCCGGGGTTCGGTCCCAATCCAGGTGATACCCGGATGACGGGGCCGCCACCCGGAATGGACATGGATATGGGTACTCGGCATGGCGTCCACAACGTCCATGGAGGTGATCAGGGGAATTTACCGGGTCAGCAGCAGCAACACCAAGAGGGACCTAGGATTGGAGGAGGGCTGAGAGTGCATAATATGGATGATGATGACGATTGGAAGGAAACTCTGATGCACTATAATCGAGCTAATCAATGAAGACATTGGGAGCGGACGCTGGTCGTGCTGTATGTGGGTTTATATAGGGAGTGGAGGGAGTAAGGGAGATAGAGGCGAGGAGGAAGGGGTGGAAGGCATGTGTGATTTTGCAGGGAGAGAGAGAGAGAAGTTGGGGGTGGGGATTGGAGGAGAGAGAGATAGGGAGGAAAGAAGAGCGAGGGAGAGAGAGAAATGAAAGATGGATATTAGGGATTTAACACCCTCAAGAAAGATTTTCTTTTATTGGTAATATCCCAGACTTGGAGTGTATTGCATGAATTGATAGGCATTTGGGAACGGCGTAATCGTCGATGGAGCGCAGCGCGTGGCGCGTTGTTTATGATATAAATAAAAGTATTGTTATCACGGCACTTAGCAAGGATTTGTAGATAAGGTGAGACAAGACTATTATGATTTTAATACAGAGTATTCGGTGATGACATCTTGCATATTACCTATCAAGTAGCTGCAGTAGTGTATTTACGGTGATCCCGAGGCCAGGTTCTCGGGTTTCCCGAATGATCTTTGAATGGAATGAACTTTCGACACCCCACCGACAAATATTATAAAATAGAACCCTCATTTCCTACAACATATATGATCTGGTCATAAAATATATAAGACGCAGAATAAAAGATCCAAACATATAATGTAATCAGTTCCCCCCTCCCCAAAAACCGCCCGACCGATACCAAAACCGACATCACGTGGAACCTGCCGCTCGCAACTCGAGGTATCCGTTTTTGGAGAACAAAGAATCGATTCCTTTAGGGATAAAACATAAAAAAGCACACAATTGGTCCGAAGGTCTCAGCGAAGAAAGACATAGCATAACAAACAAACAAACAACAAAATATTGGCATGTTCCGATGCAGCGAAAGTATTTCATGCGAGTGGAAAGGTCCGTTCATTTCATTTGGGGACAAAGAGGAGACTTCGGCGGCAGGAAGGGAGAAAAGGAAGAAAGAAAGGTGAGAGAGGGGAAGAGAAGGAGAAAGGAAAGGGCAAAAGGGTTAAAAAGGTGTGCGAGAGTGCGAGACTGCGAGACTGCGAGACTGAGAGACACCCACCACCATTGGAACTCCTGTGCACAACATATATACAATACATACATACATACATACGGTTGTTTCTTTTGCTGTACTTACCTACTGTACGCTGAGAACACGACGGACGGCTAGAGCTTGGTAGGCGTACGAAACGGTACGATTGATATCTTACGGGGATAGTTTGCTGGGTTTATATATATACTATTATTTTTATTTTTATTTTCATTTATTTTGGTTTGTGTTGTTTTATGTTGATTTATGTTTTGTTGATTTGTTCTACTGAGGGATTGAAAAGTGGGAATTGAAATTGGAACTGAGATTCAGATTCAGATTGAAACTAAAATTGAATGTGCATCTAGAAGTAGCCTTTCTAGATTTTTCGTGAAGGAAAGTTTTATATATTAAAAAATTCAAGGGAAAGGAAGAAGTAAGGTATACAACAGATAAGTGGAAAAGATGGTTGATGATACACCAAGTGAGGATGGGAAGGGAAAGGGCGATTCTTTACAGGTTATTGTTTTGGTGAGTGTGCTTCTTTTGCTTTTGCTTTTGCTTTCTTGAATGTCCATCTATGTATTATGTTTCGTGCGATATTCAATATGTTTGCTGCTTGTCGTTTGCCTTTTATTTCTTTGGTGCTGTGTCTGTGAAGCGGGAAAGTCCATGGAGAGATTGCCACTGCGCATGAGGGGTCGTACGTCATTATACGCAGTCAGTTGGTGCTTCGTGTGGATTTCTCTTTGCGTTGGATTTATGGATATCAATGATCGATTGCATGACGCCGGTTAAATGGCTTTGTTTGGATGCGCTTGCTCAAGTCTGGGTATTTTGCGCTTAGGGAAATCCGGGAAATGTCACGTGTGAATGGAAACGATGTCTTCGTGAATGTGAGGAGGATAAATGTTTATTTTGTTTTTCGAACTGGAAATTCGCACTTACTCTCAATAATGCACTTTAAAGTCTCTCCACTCATTTTGTCGATATGAAGCATCTGCGGGAAAATTTCTAACAACTATTCTATAGGGATCCGGTGGAGGACCTTTGGAAGACAACTGTACTGCGTTCTTAGTACGATCAATAGCACAAGGATGGACTAGAGGCTCTGTCCTCGCTGTAGATGCCGGAGTACATCTATCAGCCATCCAAAATCTTCTCCAACAATATCAACCACTACCATCCGAACGACCACACGTACTCCAAGATGGACTTTTAGCAGGATTAGAACTGCCTTATAATTCCGCCGGCGCAAATACTGCTCACATAGCACGAAACCTAATCGGAGCTCATCTCATCACCCATCCACACATCGATCATATCGCGGGTGGGGTGGTCAGCACCGCAAGTCCTAGTTCTAAGCCGAGGAGAATTGCCGGGTTGGCTAGTACGATTGAGGCGTTGAAAGATCATGTTTTTAACGATGTTATTTGGCCGAATTTGACGGATGAGAATGGTGGTGTGGGATTGGTGACTTTTATGAGGTTGATGTCTGGGGGTTCGTCGCTCTTGGGTGATGGCGTCACGAAGGGGTATATGGAGGTTGTGGAGGGACTTGGTGTGAAGTCTTGGGCTGTTAGTCATGGACTTTGTTCTAAGCCTTTTCCCTGTATGTATTTTCCCGTTTTATATATGTTTTTATCTTGCAGAGGTGTGGAGTTGGGATTGGATCCTGGTCTTCCGAAGCAGATATCTATCTGGAACACTTCCCCCTCTCCCTTTTCATCTATATCGTACTAACAAACCTCTCAATTTCTAGATCAAACATTAAATAACCCCACGAAGGATACTGACCTTGGCCGATCTCAATCCCGAGCACTCGACCACATCCCCGCACCCCTCATCGCAAACGCAATCGACAGCGTAAACAAAAGCCTAGGCATGAACCTCACCGCCCCAGCCCCCGACCGCTTCCGCGTCTACACCAGCTCAGCATTCTTCATCCACGACGTAGCCAGCAGCCACGAAATCCTCATTTGGGGGGACGTAGAACCGGATTCTCTCTCTGCCTCTCCACGCAACGCCCAAGTCTGGCAAGACGCCGCTCCGAAGGTCGCAGCCGGAAACCTCAAAGGCATCTTCATCGAATGTTCCTACGACGACAGTCGCAGCCCCGAAATGTTATTCGGACATCTAACCCCCCGCTACCTCATGGAAGAGCTCAAAGTCCTCGCAGCAGAAGTCGAAAAATTCCGCGGGGATTCTTCACCCCGTCGCCGCACGCGCGACCGCTATATCACACAAGGACGTGTTTCCAGCCTCGAGGCAAGTAGTCGCTTAGAATATCTCCGCAAATCAATCGCCAAGCGCGAGAAAGATAGGATTCAGGGTATGCGACCATCGTTGGCGACGGCGCCGAATTTCTTCTATTCCCATAGGAGGGGCTCGCTTGTTGGACCGCTGGAGGGTGTCAAGGTCGTTATTATTCATGTGAAGGATACCTTGGATGATAAGGAGGATGTGAAGGAGGTTATTTTAAGGGAGTTAGGGAATCATGAGGAGGAGCTTAATTTGGGGTGTGAGTTTGTGGTTAGTGAGAGGGGGATGAGTGTTTGCTTGTAAATTGTTCTTTTTCTTTTTTTTTGGTTTTTGGTTTTGGTGCTGTGGTTTTTGTTAAAGGGGTGGGAGTTTCCTTTATCTAAGCTGGCGTTTATTTGATTGTGTGGATGGATAGTTATATATTGGTATAGGTATATTTTATATGGTTTGGGAGGAGGGGTTACGGGTTACGAGATTTGTATCTTGGTGGAAGACCCTCATTGGGAATATATAACATAGGAGGATCGCTGGCTGGCTATATTTGGCAAAAGTCTCACGACATGGTGTATAGGTAAATGTTGGTATGAGAGGTAACAGGTTTTGCAATGGGTTAGTTTATGTATTTGCACGTGGTATTATATATAGTAGTAGCTCTGATATATATCTACAATCTTTTTCTATCTCATCTGAAATTCTAAGGTTTTCATGAAAACCATCTAAAACTCTATAACTCCCTCAATCAACATCAATGTATCACCACTTCATTGATTCTCAAGCTTAGCCTTCACCAACTTCTTCGCCTCCTCATCCTTCTCAACCACAGTCTCATAATCCGGTCTCGGAAGCTCTACTCCCTCTGTCGTCCTCCCATAAGTAATACCTCCCAATCTAGAGATTGGTTTCAGAACCGCAGGATCGACAATATTCTTCTCCTCATTAATAGCATTTTCCCTGACCCAAAATCTCGTCCCCTCAATAACAGCCAAAACCCCCGTCTTCTTCCCAGGCGTCGCTCTACTCTCAAATTCCTTCAAACTCTCCACCTTTCCCTCCACACTAAAATGTGCTTCTTGGACTCTACTCGCCTTAACCGTCGTACACGGCGCAGGAGTCAAGCCACTAAACGCCCACTCCGACTCTCCATACGGCGCATTAATACTCGTTGCATTCGCCGCCTCGAGAAAATGCTCCGAGATAATATTAATAGTACATTCACCCGTCTCCTTCAAATTCCTCAACGAATCCTTCGCATTATCCAAACCCCCCGCATATCCCAGGACAAAAAGTGGAGGATCGTGATTAATCATATTGAAGTAAGAAAACGGAGCCAGATTCGTCGATGTTCCGTCCGCACTGCGCGTACTCACGAAACCAATCGGACGCGGGATGATCGATGAGATGAGGAGCTTGTAGTTGTATACTGCGGGACGTCCTTCTTCGTAAGGATCGATTTCAATGTGTGGGATTTGTAATGAGGAGCCGTCGTCGTTGGCGCCCGAGCCGAGTTTCCATGAGGGTGATACTGTTTGGGTGACGGTCCAGGATTTGCTGTGGTCCCAGGGTGAGCGGCTGGCTTCCACGGATTTGAAATCGCGGTGCGGGTTGCGGTTTATGAGCTTTTCGGCGTCGGCGCGTTGTTGGGCTGTGGAGGACATGGTGGGTGAGGTGGTGTGGAGTTTGGAGCTGGGGGTTGTGCTTGGGGAATAGAGGGACTGTTGGAGGCTGTTGATGTGTGAATTAGTAAGTATTTGGCGGGGCAAGTGAGTATGTAGGGAGGGTAGGTAGCCATCTTACGCACCGAATTGAACTCTTGAATAATCCCACTTGTCTGAATCTTGAACTTCTAATTAACATTGGCATAGGTAGAGGAAGATTTATAAGAGGGAGTGCAATATATATATTTACAACACAGAAATGGAAAATACCCGCTATGAATTCGCAATCCCGATGGCAATACCATAAGTAGATGTTCTTCAAAATACCGACGTTACCGTTCCGCCACTCAATTTCGTCACAGCGGATTTCATTCCGTCATAGGAAGAAGCTGTGAAGACAGGGGTTGGATTATTGATCATTGGAATTTTATACGATAAGATTGACCCCGCAGTGATAAGTGAAGTAGGGGGGAACAATGGAAGCTCGGACTTCTAAGCTCATCTACGGGAAATAGAGGGAAAAGAATATGGTTAGGTAGCTGGTTAGAAGCGGGTGAATGTTTTGTATGTTTGAGCAGGTGTTGGATGGGGGATTGCGTCAATGACTACATCAATGCTGTCCAATCAAGGCAAGGGAAGTTATTCTTGAAGCTATTCAGAGGATTGTATTATACTCCCAAGGACTACAATAGTCAGTAACCGTAGATTGGTCATGATAATTCACTTGGTGACAAATTGAGATAAGCTTAAGATTTGCCTAGGGATCTATTATTATATCTCTACTTGGTATGTATTTCTGTCAACAGAAAAACATATCACATCAATACCCATAACTCAACAAGTAAACACTCACCCCCGACTTGGAAGTTTAAGCAACGAAACACCAAGAGAGGACAGAGGATTCATAAACAACACAACAACCATCACGGAAATGGATTCCCTCCCGTCTCAAACCTCCTCCCTAAACCCAGTGCCCGGTGTTCAAAGATATTCTCTCGGAAGCTGGAAACTTCAATCTGGTCAGGAAATTCCAGATGCACATATCGCATATAAAACATTTGGAGATCCAAGTTCCCCTGCTATTGTCTATCCTTCTTGGTTTTCCGGAGGTGAGTTCCTTATAATGTTCATCCAGATCTGACACTATATCCATCAATATGAGAGTATTGCAGTGGTAGAAAAGTCACGTTTGAAGATGAAAATAAACATTCGATATTATATTGATACTACGACCATTGATACTGACGACAACAACCAACAACAGCAATCGCAGACAATGAATGGCTCATCGGAGAAACCCAAGCATTAAACCCCCAAAAATACTTCATAATAATCACCGCACTTTTCGGAAATGGAGAATCGACTGTGCGTTCCATCCTCCTCTCCATCTCCCACCCATACACAATCAACAGCCACAAATTAACACTAACCAACAAAAAACCAGTCACCATCCAACAGTCCCTCTCCCCTTCCCCAAAATAACCTTCTACGACAACGTCCGCGCACAACACAAACTCCTAACCGCCCATCTCCAAATAACCCACGCGCGCGCCGTAATCGGTTGGTCTATGGGCGCAGCCCAAACGTACCAATGGGCTACTATGTATCCATCGTTTATGGATATATGTATACCGTTTTGTGGATCTGCAAAAACGGCTTTGCATAATCAGGTGTTTTTGGAAGGGGTGAAAGCTGCTTTGTTGGCTGGGAAGGGTTTGATGAGTGCGGGGTCTAATGAGGGCGTTGTTGTGAAGGAAGGAAAGGGCGAGAAGGGGGAGGAAGTGAGGGTTTGGAGTGATGAGGAGAGGGAGGTGGGGTTGAAGGCTTTGGAAGGGGTATGCGGGGTGGGGATTTAGTCAGGTGAGTTGAGTTGAGTTGAGGTTGGAGATGGTGGATGTTGTATTGTGTGGTAGTATGATACTTATGATATTGCAGGCGTTTTACAGGGAAGAACTATTCAGAACTGTCCTCGGATATAAAGATCTTGAAGATTTCATGAAAAATTTCTGGGAGAAATGGGCTCTTTCGAAGGGTACTCCCCCATTCCCTTCATCGCCTCCTTCCATCTTTTCTTTCCTCCAACCCTCCTCCACCACCCACCCCCTACCCTTTTCACTCAAACCCAAATACTAACACCCACCCCCCAAAACCAGACCCCGAAAACCTCCTCACAATGCTTCACACCTGGTCCTCAGGCGACGTCTCGAATCAACCACCATATAACGGAGATTTTGCCGCCGCAATGAGCGCTATAAAGCAAAATGCTTGTTTTACCTGGGAAGACGGATTTGTATTTTCCGTATGTGTTTTTTCTCGTTGTTTCTGTTTTGATTTCTCCCCCGTCTAATCCCTCTCTTATCCTCATTCTAACCCCACTCCCAATCCCCTCCATCCTTCCGCTCCATCCCCGTATTCATCATCCCACAATCCCACAAACACCCCCTTCCCCATTCCCCCACCAAACAACCCACACACCCCACTAACCCTCTCTCCCAACCCAAACCACAGACCCGAAGACTCCGAAATCGAAATATCTCTCATGCGTCCCGGGATCGGTACTCTGGAGATCATACCCAGTATATGGGGACATTGGGCCGGGGGACCCGGTGATTCAAAGGATGATGTGAAGTGGCTTAATGAGAGGTTGGTTGCGGTTGGTCTTTAGATTTTTTGGTATGGTGTGGTGTGGTGTGGTATGGTGTGGTATGATATGGTATGTGTGGGGGGAAGCGAGAAAAGGGAGGATAGTAAGGGAACGGAGAGGAGGGAAGGGGATGGGGTGGAAAATTGATTTCTATTCGGGAAGTAAAATTTACTCCGTAAGCCTTAAGTACCTAGGCGAGAAGTTTATAATTGAGCGATGCAATGCACTTGATTTTTCAATGGTAAGCATTTTATTTAAACGCGAATGGAATGGATGTGTTTGTTGTGATGAGAAAGAAAGTTATTAATCGTATTAAATTTCGTCGGTATTTAAATGCTCATTGCTGAATGATTGTTGTAAGTCCTATGTAGGATCATATGTACTTATGTAATCTTATATGTATTTGTAAATAGATAAATAAATAAACAAATAGATGTGTGAGAAGATTAACCACTAGAAGTATGTACTATTGGTCTGTGTACCGACCAAACCTCCTAACTTCCCAGTTCCAAATTCCGAATTTGAAATTCCAATGTCCAAGTATCGAGCGCCAGATATTTACCCATCCATCCATCCATCCATCCAATACAGATACGATATATCAGCATCGGCACCTATGTATCCCCCTCACTCTCCACCCCCTTCCACCTTCCCCACTCCTTTCCCCACCTTCCTCCCACCATTCTCCGCATACACTTCCCCACCCTTCCCTTCTGAATCCCCACTCAGCTCCCTTCACACCCTCAACATTTCCTCACCTGGGACTCCTAGTCTCCCCAACCTCCCCATATTTTCCCTCTGAACACTCCACCTGATCCCTCAAACCTGTTTCTCCCTCCTTAAAACCTCAATTTCCGCTCATTTAGCATTCACCTGTTAATCCTCTCCTTTTCCTTTTCTCCTTCTTCCTCTTTCTCTCCTCTTGTTTCTGCTCTTCTCTTATCCTCTTCTTCTCCAATTTTTCCATTTCCTTTCTATATTTTTCTTCTCTTTTCCTCACTTCTCTCTCATGTTTTCCTCTGCTTTCGAATCCTTCTTTTCTTTCTCTCCATCTTCACTCTTTTTATCCGCTTCTCTTTGCTTTGCTCTCTCTAGCTTCTCTTGGAGTTTTCGTTTCTTGTCTTCTAATTTCTGTAGCTCTTTATCTTGTTGCAGATGCACTTTTTGAACAGCTGCTGAATCTTGTGATGATATTTTTCGGAATGAAAGGGCTGATTCAAAACTATTCACAGTGGACTCGCTGGTGATGGATGCATCAGATACTGATCGAGACCGAGGAATAGGGGCGGGAAATTGAGTCGGAACGGGTTCACTGGCAAGAGGAAAAGGCTCACTTTCTTGAGCTGGAAGAGCTTCGCTAGCATGAGGTAGACGATCCGCAATAATTGCTGGTGCATATGGAGCGATAAAAGCTCCAGCACTAGTTGCTACACCTGCCACTAAATCATATATTCCACCACCACTTACAGGTGCTTGCTGTTGTGTCTGAGTTGGAGGCTTCGTTGGACCTAGCGGCACAGAAGGTGATATCTCTGCTTGACTATCTATACCTGCAAGATGACCATTTGTCTGATAGTTATGTAAGTCTTTTTCATGGCCATGTTGACGATGATGGCGATAATGATGTTCACTCTCAGCATTTTCTTCTTCTTTTTCAACAGGTTCCTCATCATCACTATCCAATTCCTCAATTGTCTTCGAACATGCCCAATCCAGGAATTTGCCCGCATCCGAAACGATAGCTGATGGAGTTCCACGATCAATCATAAATCGTGGTACACTTCCACCAGGATCACTCCTTGTAATCATGATCCACTCAATAGGATTTTGTTCCCATTCATCATCCTCATTCGGAGCAGCTGTATTCTCGTGGTTGCTGACAAGAGCTAGGTTACTATCGGAGCGCGAAGCCTGTCCTTCAATACCTTCCCCTTCCTCTGTGGTAGACTGATCATGCTTCTGATGCGCATTTCTCAAAACGGCCTCTCTTCCTAAATCCGAACCAGATCTATCTCTTGAATGTCCCTTTGTGAGATCTGATGCTGATACTGATCTCTTTGGAGGCGCTTTCTTAGTCGGAATTTCTCGAATAAACTCAACTGATTCATAATTTCCTCTTATATATCCTTCACGTTGTGGAGCATCTGGATGTTGACATGGTTTCGATATTACCATAAAATGGCGGGGTACTTCGTGATCATTTTGTCCCTTCAATGCTTGATCTGAAGAGATGAGCATTGTTACGAAATCTCTCGGGGAAGTTGGTCCTGGAAACTGCGCAGATAGCAGATACACTAATACGCATTAGAATGTCGCCCTTTACTCCAATTTGATAAAAATATACCTTCCATTTTTCCCGTCCCAGGAATATTGTTATACGCCACCCTCTTCTCTCCACCAATACCTCTAATATTACCCTCACCCGGACCACCCTGAACCTTCAGGGTTTCCGGAAATTCCCTCTCTAAACCTCTCTTCCATTTCGTAAATCCTAATCCCTCATGTACACTCCTTCTCGCAAACCAAGTTCCCTTTCCATCCCTTCCCTTGCAAGAATATACACTTATACCCAATGGATTATCAGCCGGCTTCAGTTTCACTTGTTTCCATTCCTTCTGCAGAGATTCGATATCGTGAGGCGGAGGTGGAGATCTGGCATGCGATGCTAAGATTTCGGATGCAGACGAGGCTATTAAAGGTGTTGTATTTGATCGCGGCCGACCGCTGGAAGGTTCGGCAGTGTCGGGTACGGGAATTGAATCAACTATTGTTTGACCACTACTGAAAGCATCTAATAGAAATGGCTTGAGGTTGTCAGTGGGAGTTTCGTCGTAGTTTATGGCGCCCAGTGCTTTGAGCGCATCGTGAAGAGCTGCCATTTCGTGTGCTGTTTGGATTCTTTTTGTTCTATGAAGTGTGCGATCTCTTTGTGAATCTGATGCGAGGCCGTTACGGGCGCCGTCGAGATGAGGGCCAGATATATTTTCCAAGGAGTAAGAAGTGGAGCTCTTTTGATCGTTATCTTGAAGTTTTGAGAGGTATTATGGCGAACTAGGTGCTTGGTCTTTGATTAGTTATCCTGAATGGAATGCATTATGCATTAAGCTCACTAAGCTCATTAAGCAGAAAGGATAGCATACGGGAACAATCTGTGTTTCAAACAGAGTGATGGCATTCAACAAAGGGTATGAATTTGATGAGAGGGAGTAGAGTAAGTAGCTGGAGTATGTACAATTAGCCCCTTTAAGCTAGTATAGACAAGTATGTTATAAAACAAATAGGATATCAATCAATACATCATTCTACACCATTAAGCTATTGCGGGGTTACACTCAGACCGGACAATATGATTGGTCTAGCTTTAACTTTTTTGAGTGGAAACTAGATTTCCAGAACGCTCGACGTCATCTCTCAGCCACAGACACTAACACGCGCACCGAGCTCAAAATCTTCGCATGGGAATTCCGAAGATGGAAACAAATGCATGAAATTTTCCATGGAAAAGGGGAGTGGATTGTAATGAATATTAGATACTGGTTAAGTGATTGGGCTTTACTTAGCCATTCTTCACCCATGAGATTCTTGTTTTGTGTACAAAAATGTTAAAGAATGTTCAATTCGTACCACACATCTTATCAGACATTTACTATTTGAAACCCCTTTTTACATGATTTTATTTCATTAAGAATCTTGAAGCTAGTCGGGGCTAGAGGCAGCTTGTTAAATTTCAGCCCTTATATAGCAAATCCGAATCCGAATCCGAATGGCAATGCGAATCCATATCCGAGTCCGAGTCCGAACCCACATATGCGTCTACTCCGAAGCTAATACCATGTTCAAAATTTCTAAAAAATTTAATTTATTTATTACAAAATGATAAAGATAAAATTATAGGAAAACTTTATTATTATAATAATAATAATAATAGAATATTACTTTGATATATATTTAATTTTATTAATTTTTAAAATATAAAATCTTTATTCTTTTAAATAATATCCTTTATATAATTTTTTTAAATATTATATCAATAAATAATTATTAATATATATACAAGATTCAGTATATCTTTATTAATTTCAAAAAGATTCAAGAAATTAATCTATATAACTTTAAAATTTTGCCGGGTATGCCCAGATAGAGAAATCAACAGAGTATACTAGAAAACCTTTACAATTTATTTAATCATAATAATATATTCACAATCGTGTTCTAAGAGTTTACTCTTAAATGAAGTTGTTGACTTTATACACTAACTACGATAAAACACTTCAAAATCATCCCTAATAGTTCTCCGGGACATCAATACACGATTCACCATTTCGATTCACACGAAATTTGTTTATGTGTAAAATAAAGTCTTGTCCTATCTCCATATGCATAGATATAGATGTCAACTCAACTCAACTCAAGCTAAGTCAAGCATGTTATCCTCATATTCCATCTAAGTCGGTCCACAGTCAAAAAGACCAAAAGCTAATCAAGTCATCGAAATCCCTTTTGTCAAGTATCTTTATCTTTTCATTGTGTAAGATTGATTACCGAAGCAGCATCACACGTTTGACTCATTGTTTTCCCTTCTTGGTGTTTTCGTGAATTAGCAGCGCTGTCAATTTCTGATCTGCTGTATCTAGCCCTCCTTGAATCAAATATGTAAGCCCTAGGTTACAGACTGGAAATCTACATTCCACGAAATCTACATGAACTCCTTTCACAATCTCAAGACATTGCTTGAAAATCTCCGTGGCAAGGGCAACCTTTTGACCATCATACATACGATTCCCATTTGGCTGTGAGCAAAGGCAAGTCTGAGACCTGGCATATTGTTCTTTGCAGCTTCAGCTTTTTGCAATGCAAGATACAAGATGTTATGCTCAGACAGTATTCAGCGTCGTTGGTCTCATTTGCTAATACACCCATCATAAGATGCATATCACTGACCAAAGGCTCTTGAGATACATATATATATTGGCTCGTTAACATAAAGCCAGGGCAAATGTTTGGTAAACTTTTCCCAAGTGAGAGAATCCCCACTCATGAAGATATCTGCCAATAGAAACGTATTAGCATTTATGTATCCGTCGACAGTTCATTAACGCTTACACTGCTGCCTCATTTAAGAGTATAGGGAACCTCAGGTCAACCTCAACCTCTCATACAGATGAGTGCTCACTATAGAGCTGGTAAAGCCCTTTTAAATGCGTCATCATGTCTCCACAAAGCTCTTACATCTCACGTGCCTGGCTGGAAGAATCACCTGGTGGTAAGATGACAACAAGAAATAAAAGCGTCTTTAAACGCTTCGGAACACTTGCTATCATCCATCCGGTCTCGTACTTCCGCTTGAATCACCCGGTGATTCCATAGCTCCCTGCCCATTATTTTCTAACTTAATCTTAAACACCAAATCTATGTATCTTTAAAAAAAAAACTTGCATACCTGCCAAGTTCTCAAATAAAGAACGAAGATAATCTCTACCGAGTATACTACATCTCCAAGCAAGGATAACTTAAAACTTCATTATGCGCAATTCGTACACCAAGAAGGCGCTCTGCAAGTCTGCATTGGAAGATATAATAGCTGCAAGTTACTTGTCGACCAGCAGCCACCTGCAGAGATTGATAAGATGATCGGTAAATACATAGAGCGAATTACCTTCTTTCCCTTTCTCAATAACCTTTTCATGCCGGATCTTTCATCTGTCTTTTCGTGTACCGAAAGAATGGGGACGTTGGCAATTTGTTTGGAAGTAGCGGCTGGGTTGCTAGTTAAAACATATCATGAGCCGGAAGCCTGGAAGACTGCTTTTGCACAGGGATCTTGGTACAATTGTAGAGAAACTGATTGTGAGCAAGTAGGGTATCTTCTCAATCGTGGGAGAGACCTAACATAGCAAAAACAGGACATGCAGTTTGCATTCAAGTGTTATGTATGCTGGCGACATCATTTTAGGCAAAAGCAAACTGTAAGCGATGATTATGCGTGCAAGATATGAAAGATGTTTAGAATATACATGTTTATGATTTTCTTCTATGTAACGTGAGTGCTTCACTATACAGTCACTCAACCGCTGGCCAATGCAAGAAATGATTCTGTCCATCCAGCAAATCCAATAATGTCGTACCCAACGCCTCGCTCAATAGGTATGCTCGCAGTAATCCGAATTAATGATGCTCAAAGTTTTGCAGGGTATACATATTTACTGCCTTTTAACCAAATGTTTCATTTTCCCCTCCCCGTGTGAGTAAATCTTGCTCTGCTTTACAGCTCCCGCAATACTCTTGATGCCATTCTCTAAGTTCGTTCATATTATCTTCCCCTTGAAGAACTTTTTGGCTTGAAAGTCCCTTAATTTTATTAATTGGCAGGGTATTTGCTTGACTGTCTCGCAACATCAGTTGAGCTTGTTTGCACCTCATATTTTCATCCAGGAGCCAATTCTCCCATTCCGCTTCTAGCACGTTTCTCTCGATATTGTTGACTACTCTCATAGCAATCAATAGGTCATATCGGTATGAACCCAGGTTCTGACGCGTTCTCCGAAGTCTCTTAGCTGTCGATTGTGTTGATGTCCTACTGAATGGTGTCCCTGCCATTGCATAAGGAGCGTCAAGATCTGTAACATTTGCAATCTCCATGAATTGTGTGTAGCTATTGAAAGGTATTAGCCTATGTTAATAGTTCTGTGGTAAGGATACATGCCATTTGCTCTGGTGACGATTTGGGAATGTCGATAGATTATTCACGGCCTCGTCGAGATCCTTCATGTAAATCGCTTTGCTCATGCTTGGATTTGGCCCAACTCCCATCCTATTCATGAACCTTGCTGCATTTCGTTCTGTCCACCATTCTGATGTATCGCGGCCGGTAAGGAATGCATTTATCATAATACTCAAAACCAATGCGATCAAGAGAATCGTGTGGGCACTTGAAATTTTCCATATAGATCGGAACACCGCAAAAGTCCACATCATTACAGAAGATATAACACTCTCACCGAACGAGCTGAGTGTCTCAAATAACATGTTTGTGAGTGTACGTTGCTTGATCTGGGGTCGTTTTGACTGGCTTGCGTCGTTGGCCGCGAAAAGTGAGACCGTTGTCTGGTGCCCCACATGTCCGTAAATATGAATAGCTTTCTTCGTCCTACTGTTAGGTCCCAACTTCCGAACTTGATCGGCTATAACGTCGACTAAATCTTCAGCGTCCATTGCACAGTCATCCAAAGCCTGCCTTTCAACAAGACCTTTTCCAATTTTGGGAGACTTGGACCATTCAACTTTTGTAAAGATGGCCAGCTTGCATTTTGATTTGGAGATATGAGTAATAACAATTTTGGAGACCAGCATGAAATCTTGGAAATGCGGTAGATGCCAAGGCGTCTTGAAATCCGTAACAACATAACATACATGATCGTTCATGACATCGATAACCTGATAATCGACAACATTTGCTTGTCTTGATCTTCGCCAGGAATCAAGGTAGTCAGTCTGAAACTCAAAGTCTCGACGCATGTGATTTCCGTCGAGATGAACCCAAGGGCCTTGAGCAATATTTGTTGCTCTTCGTTCATGGTAAAGTAGTTGAAATACTGCGCTTTTGTCGCCGAACATGAGGTGGAAGAGTGCCTTCGGACTAATGCCAAATTCTCGCTCGATTGTCTTTCGTTGCATGTCAGGCGGTTCATAAATAACGGGTTGAGAAGGAAGTTGGAATTTTTGCACTTCCTTCCCTTTTCTGCTGAAATTCAGTGTACGTTCAACATGCAACGAAGCTCTAAGGTCACGATCTCTACGACTGTGGGAATGACCCAGAGTAGTTCCATCATCGGCCGGCGTATTAACATCAACATCTTCCCAACTTTCCATGCTAGGACTTCTAGTAGGGTCTTCGTGCTCCATTTTGATTAAAGCTGTCATGATATCTTCCAAGCTCATTGGATTCTCAGCTTGGTTTATATCAACCAAGAAATTTAACCTCGATTGTAGCAATCGAAGTGGTTCCAGGAATGTTTTGATGGTGATCCTGGTAAATCCTGTATCCAGTGAAGTATCGAGGAGATGAAGAAATAAGAAGTCACAATCTCTGCCCGGAGCCGCTGTAACCTCACTGATACTAGCTAGCTTAACGCCAGTTATTAAAACAAGTCCTAAATGATGGCTATAGAAGTATATGTCTTTTTGAGTGACGTAAACTCTTCCCGGAAAATCATGCTGTTCATTTGGATTCCAAGTCGCACGGAAGACAAGTATGACTTTGTCTTCCCGCGAAACATCCTGAAATAGGATTCTAAATTGTGCATCTTGGGTCTTCAGTTGTATCGGGTAATTACTGGGATATGCTTCTGGTTTAAAAGCAGATTGATTCGCTGCACGCGCCACTTCAATATCGATACTAGCACTGGCGGATTTTCGGTGCATCGCGGTTGAGGGAACTGGTGTTGGTAAAGAATCAGTTGATGGACTAATGGGGCTTTTTGTAGACCCAAGTCCATCGGGTTTCAAATTCTCGTCCGTACCTATCTTAGGAGATGGTTCTAACGGCTTTATGCGTGGACTTCCAGGTGCAGAGCGAGATCCAAAACTTGGCATTCTAACCTCTCCTTTCTCAAGACGATTGATATATCCCCAATTACTACTGCCCCATAGATTGGCCATGATACCACTGGGGACTCCCCCGCTGGCATCGCTTTGACCGACACCAATTCCACGCTCTCCGCTAACAATTACTGCCGATTTGCTCAAATTTGTAGGGGCAGGTGGGTTTATGAGTGTCGACGGTGCTAAAGTACTTGCAGCATAATCTCGAGTTGGTGATTGTAATGTAATTTGTGGATTGGGAAGAGTATTAGTGGTGGTCGTCGAATTTGAAGCCGCAGAAACGGGAAGAATCGCATGACTTGATGATATCAAGCCGGCGATACCACCTGCAGCGGATTGTGGTGCACTTGGAGGTTCATTTGACTGCATGCTTGCCGACTTTCTATGCAAATCCAGTTTTTGCATGATTCTGGCGGCATGCTCTCGACCAGTCTCGCCCTCTTCCCTCGAAGTGACGGAACGACGAGCAGGGACGACATCAGAACTATTCCTTCCTACAAACTCCATGCCAGGCAGAGGTAATGTACCGGACCTTTCGGGCGGATCTTCGCTCCCATATGAAATTTGACCGTCTGCATTTTTGGCAGCAAATTCTGGAATAGAGGGCGGGGTTATAGCAAATGCGGGATCAATTCCTCCAGCGCGGAGAGCTCTGGGGTTCGCACTAGCCTCGAGAGCTTTATTTTTTGCAAGTTCAAAAGCTTCGAGCCATTCCATAAGGATAGCCTGAGTCTCGGCTTGAACCAAAATTGTTTGATTCTTAGTTTTTACTTCAAAGCAAAATCTTCGATCTTCCTGGACAGCTGGTTTCACATTGCAAAGGAGGACGCCAATCTTCTCACTCTCCTCGACTCCTCCTGACTGTATCCCTTGAACTAGCCAACCAAAGATACCATTTTTAACATAAAACCAGCGACGAACCCATACAGTTCTTGCGGGTTTACCAGATATTGTCCTTAAAAACAGCCAGTCTTGTTTCTCAGTTCGATCCGTGTGCTTACTTTGAGGTAGAATATTGACTGTTGAGGGACCTCTCGAGCCAAGATAGGCAACTGTGGAAAGATTATAGTCCTCTAATTCTCTGGAGGGTTTTGTGGCTTGAGATGCAGTCTCCGCAATATCTCGCCTAGCAAGCTGCAATTCACGTCGGAAAGTTGCCTCACCAGCCTCCATTTCTTTGCTCCACCCTCGCACACGATCCATTTCACCATTCCATTTCGCAAGATGTAATGAAGAGACTTCTCTTGTCTTTCTCATCTCCCTCCATTGATCGGTCGATACCCTCACAAGTAATTTATCAATTGTATATCGTAGCTGGGGTGCAAGCAGACAAAAGTCCAAAGATGCTTTCAGATATGCCTTTCTGGTTTCGTGTACTTGAAAAGCATCCTCTCGCAGCGCTGAAGGCTCTTTTGTTTTTGACTGAGCCACGTATCTCGCCAGCGTAGAATCAAATGTCTTCTGCGATTGCTCTAAATATCGTCGGGCGTCTTTGAAGTTTCGTAGCTCAGAAGCCATAAATGCCTTGATGGGCTCGCATATATTCGTGTCAATTTTCCTGGTGCCTGTCATGATCTGCGACCACCATTCTTTGGACCCTTCCCCAAATCTCTGCATTGCCAGCAGAGTATAGTCATGATCGACGACGGCTTCGGAAACGTTCGCAGGAGGAATCGATCGAAAGAGAAAGTTATTGAATGCTTCCTCCAATGACAAAGCATCGTGAACAAGTTTGGTAATAGATTTTACGTAGGCGTCGAGCCATTTTTCAAGTATCTCTACTTGATCAGAGAAATGAACTGCAGTTGCGCGAAAGGTTGGTGAATCGAGGGCTGCTTCCTTTAAGCCTACTGGTATCAAGCTCAATTGCCTATTGAGCTGTGGTATAATGGGGGGCACAAAGTCCGACATGTTGATTAAACTCTACGAAGAGTAATAGATAGAATAAAACCAAACCTCATTATGCAATAAAGCTGCAAATGGATTTTATCATAAAAATTCGAAGTTTCGTTCTAAGAAGCAGCACAGAAGTTGGGGTTGCAGGTGGATTATTTTGGTGATTTGATATGATGCCTGGGGAAAGTGTCAGGGGCTTGTTATCACCCAATACAACTCACAAGGAAACACCCAGTTCCAATAGAGAAGTAAGAACTCTTATATATGTAGTCTGCAATGTTTGCACTGCATCACTTTGAGCTTTTATATATAGAGACAAGATTCTACATAGGGAACTATAATGAATTCATCAAGCTTCCCGATTCCCAATTCCAAAAGTTCCAGAAGGAAATTATTTTTAATATCAATTAATCTTTTCCTTCCCGGCAGCATGTCTCATCAGAACGCATGCATTGATTATTAGTGTTTCCCTTTCCCGGCCCACCACCAAAAACCCAGCATTTGAATCAAGGTTACATCTCCTGATTTGCAGAAATCGTAGTAGGATAATCATTGTTCAAAAACATGTAGACTAGTATCAATTTTGGACCTAAAATGGATGGCGACTCCTAATGTAATTAAAGACTAGAGACATTGCTCAAATTTGGTGCTAAATGTTCCACCTTGGTGAAATCTATTAATACCTAGGTATACACCACAACTCTTCCATTCGTGGTCCTATTCATATAAAATCCATTTATTCTTCAGCTGTAGCCTTTCCGACAGCTCCTTTATTCTTCCTTGACCTCTTCTTCTTCTTCTTTCCTGGTATCTCTACACCTTCCATAGCATCTGCTCCTTCCCCAGCATCAGGACCAATAATAATTTCCGGACCATCCTCGTTACCGAATGTCTCCTTTCTCCACTGCCTTAACCTAGCTTTTTTACCGAGATGTTTCTTATCTTTGCGTTTCTTTTCAGCATCTCTGAAGGTAGCCATCTTCTTTAGGCCAGCAAATTCGTTGAGAGATGAGTCGGGTGCCATTAGAATATCTCTAGCTGTTAAACCAAATGAGGTGGGTGAAGTTTCGCGATATCTGAACACTGATGCCTTCTTGGAAGCCAATGAGAGATCGACGTCAAGTTTACTGTCCACAAGATCCTCAATCTTTTTCCTTTCCAAGCGCGCCGCTTTCTTTGTGGCTTGCTTCTCCAGTTGTCGTTCTTTATTACCTTTCGATTTCCTGGACGATCCCTCCTCTTCGTCTGAGTTCTCTTCTGCGTCATCCTCCAGATCTGATAGCGAAAAATTTGGTTTCGAGGCTTCTTCATCATCAAAATCAGGAATAAGGTCTTTAATGTCGATATCGTCGTCCCATTTTGGCTTCTTAACCTTCTTCTTTTTCCCTTGTGTTTCATCATCACTATCGGATCCTCCTTCCTGTTCAGCGTAATAGCTATCTCCAAAGCGCTTGTTCATCTCAGCCTCCCAATTGTCATCATCCCAGGCCGCATCTAGGAATTGAGCCCATTCTTCATCTTTCAAGGTTTTGCCACTTATTCCTGCAGCCTTCTTGATTTTTTGGAGTCTCTCCTCCATTTCTTCAATCTTTAAGCGCTTCAATCGTGCCCTTTCTTCCTCCCTCTCCTTCTTCTCAACCTCTTTCTTCTCTCTTGCAGCATCTCTTTGCTTTTTCCTGCCGCTGACCTCATCACGACGAACGGATTTTGCGGCGATGACATCTCTGGCATATGATTTTAACATCTCATTGCTTCCTTCGGGATTCTCGAATCGTAAATTGTAAGCTGCCTCAAATTGCTCGGCTCTGTTGTCATCTTCCTCGTCGTCGGACTCCATTGGTTGAAAGCGTGTACCGTCGCTGGGAACCCATGCGCGAGCTGCCATGAAGTTTGATAAAAATGTCTCCGGATCCTTGTCGGCAATAGCGACATCAACTTCAACCTTTGAAGCCCTGGATGGATGGATGCCTTGATTTGAAAGCTCTGGCTTTTTATCCTTCCTCACAAGAAATCCTTCGTCCTCGTCCGAATCGGATCCATCTTCCGCAGCTGCATGCATTTCGCCGACGATCTTCTTTTTTAAAGCCTCTTGTTCTTGAGCGAATGTTTGTGGAACGTTCTCCTCTTCCTCCCCGCCTGCATGACCCGCCAACAAATTCTCTCGATGATAATCTTTCAGATACATAGGCTTCTCCTTCTTTTCTGTCATGGTTCCTTCCTCCGCATCCTCATCAATTGGAGCATAAAATGTGACCTTTTCGTCGTACACTCGAGGGTCCTTCGAACGGAGTGCTTGTAAAGTAGCTGAGATCTCCTTGTCCAAATCCTCGGTCGCTAAAAATCCTTCATCATCTTCGTCTTCATCATCAGATGATGAAGAGTCCTCATCATATTTGTCGCCATATTTCTTCTCGCCATTCTTTCCAATTGTTGGTCCCGGCTTTTTTGTATACTTCTCCTCCACTAAGAAAATGATAAGTTAACCAAATCGACAGCCTTCACAGCCAAATTCACTCACATCTTTGAAGCTCTTCACGTTTTTTGTTATGCTCAAATCTTTTCGCATAGTCTTGATTGACCTTGAATCCAGATCCAAGCGGGGCACCTCCAATGGAATCGTCCTCGCTGCCAGAATCGCTATCATCTAAGATCATTTTCGCATTTTCGACCTTCATGATAGATTCTTGCTTGACCTTTTTTGTGCCATTCTTAGTGACAAATTGATCTTGCGATTCGGCTTTTCTTTTCGCCATTTTGTAAGACTTTATTGTAGTTGTGAAAATGTGATGATGAAACTGTCCAATTAATTCTTCAAGCTTGAAAATCAAAATCAAAATCAAAATCAAAATCAAAAAAATTAAAATATTGATCGGTGAAATGGGAGCAAATGAGTTCCGGCGCTAATCGGCCGCAAAAACTAGCCAGGATCTTGATTTGCTCCATCATCCATCATAGTAGAGTAATCCACCCCATTCCTTCATTCATAATCAGACTTCCTCCGAAAGCAGAGCTACCTACGTACCGAGCGTACCTACCTAATACTTATTTACATCTACCAAGGTATCAACCGCGAAAAGAGGCTCAAAGTCTTTCAAGATATCTTTCAAATATCATCGTATTAAAACAAAGCACTCGCGATAATAATCTGCGATTTTGGAGATACATCTTAGCGTTCAAGAAACACAATCAACAGCCCTCATCTCAGTATCAAACCGGATTTGTGACGTATGGCAGACTCAACCACATCGGCTCCAAAGCCAAGTTCCAGCGTCAAGTTGGTTCTTCTCGGTGAGGCGGCCGTTGGAAAGGTATGTAGAGATTTGGAATACATATATTATGGCTATATTATGGGTCATCATGTTGACTTTTGTTTAGTCTTCCCTTGTATTACGATTCGTGAACAATGATTTTCAGGAAAACAAGGAACCTACCATTGGAGGTATGTATATCTTCATCTGTATTACCCCAGATCTATACGGACCTTACTAATAGTCATTGGCGCAGCTGCTTTTTTGACGCAGAAATGTAACTTACCAACAAGAACGATCAAATTCGAGATTTGGGACACAGCCGGACAAGAACGTTTCGCTTCTCTTGCTCCTATGTACTATAGAAATGCCCAATCCGCTCTTGTCGTTTATGATCTCACAAAACCTACATCACTAATCAAAGCAAAGCATTGGGTTGCGGAGCTTCAAAGACAAGCATCGCCGGGTATCGTGATCGCGCTTGTAGGCAACAAGCTTGATCTAACAAATGAATCCGACGATTCGAGTAATAACTTGGGAGATGAGGAATCAGCCGAAGGCGAGGATTTAGGTGGAGATGCGCGAAAGGTATCAACTGCAGAGGCTAAATCATATGCCGAGGAAGAGGGATTATTGTTCTTCGAGACTTCTGCGAAGCTTGGCACAAATGTGACGGAGGTCTTCACGGCAATCGCAAATGCCATCCCAGAGACATCTTTGAAGGGTGCCAGAGGACCTGGGGGTGTACAAGCAAGTTCAGCAAGAGGGGAAGATCAGTCTAGGGTCAATTTGACAGGACCAAGAGATAATGCTTCGAAGGAGGGTTGTGCTTGTTAATACATCAGTCTCATTTTCACGGGATTTATTCCAATTTTCCCTTTCTTCGCAATCGTTCCGGTCTCTGGGGTTCTAGGAGGTTATTTTTGATATCGTTAGCTGTTTGTTATGGATACGAACAGAACAGTAGGTAGTAACATGAAGCGATTCGGGGCTGAGGGGTCAAGAATAGTATTTCGATTTTCGGAAGTTTTTTCATGGAAGAATATGGCTCAGCTTGTAACAGAAATATGTCACCAATGATCAATAAAGATGTTCCAGATCTTTGAAATTCCCCATTATGATATTGCTTGTTAGGCGAAAAGATAAAACGAGTGAGTCAACCTTTTCCCATCCCGCAATGGCTTTACGCACAGTTGTTTCAAGCCTTCCCACCAAAGCACAGATACTTGCGAAGGACATCATCAGATCTCAAGTGCTCAGATGCTTGTTGCACATCTCCACGTCTCGATCGGTCCTATTTAAGTTCATAGCAACTAGTAATGCTAAGCTTCTTCACTGAGCTATCGCAAAGAGTATAGAGTCCGACAAAAGGTGTTTCCAATGATGCTGTCTCTGTTTGCACATTTGTTTCGCCTGATGAGGAGATATAGACTGTCTGATCTTGAATTTGCCTCATAGAGTGGCATTGGGTGGCTGGTGTTTGAGATATTTTGGAGAATGGGGAAAAGATCGTTACAAATTGCCACATATATATCGCACTTCTCTCCCCAATCTTCATTCCAAAACTATCCCAATATACTTTTATCATCTTTTACTGTTCAACAGCTGGTCTGATTTATTTTCAATTTCAACTTAATTCATTCAATTACTTTCACATTACTTCTTCTATATTCAAGATGCGTTCCTCAACAGCAAGTTTGATTTTGGCCTTCTGCGCCATGTTGGCAGTTCAGGCAGTGCCAATGGATGTTGCTACCAATGTCGCTCGTTCAGTTCCTGGTATCGAGGCAAGAGCTGAGTTCGGGATTGTGGCTCGTGAAAATGGCTACGATGCAGAGGGCAACGAGATCGACTCTACCGGGAACTTGGTTGAGCGTGGTGAGTAGCCTGTCCCAGACACTTCATGCCTGAGTAATCACTAAGAGATCAATAGATACTGGATACAACGCCGCTGGTGACGAAATCGATGAAAATGGAAACGTCATTGAAAAGAGAGCCAAGAAAGGCAAGAAGCGTAAGTTGATACAGCTGCTTTATCACAGATTTCAGATACTGATATCTGTATAGCAAAGAAGCCCCAAGCACGTGCTGAGAGTTCTTATGATGCCGAAGGCAATGAGATTGATGGAAATGGCAACATAGTCCAGCGTGGTGAGTACCAACAAATTTTCATCTCTGAGCCCTAAGACGACTTGCTAATAGTAACAAGATTCAGAATACAATGCTGCCGGCGAAGAGATCGACGCGAATGGAAACGTGATCGAAAAGAGAGCTAAGGATGCTAAGGATGCTAAGGATGCTAAGAAAGGTACATAAAGATCATTTATTTGAGATAATCCCATATTGAAATCTTTTAGGCAAGAAGGGCAAGAAGCCTCAGGCACGCTCTGACAGTTCTTACGATGCCGACGGAAATGAAATTGATGGAAATGGCAACTTGATTGAGCGTGGTGAGTAAACTTCTCAGCTCTCAATGACCAAACCCGTAATTTTCATCTAATATATCTGAAAGATACAGGTTACGATGCCAACGGTAATGAGATTGACGAGAATGGACAATTAATCGATCGTGATACCGAATATGATGCACAGTATGTATTTCCTCTCCTCTCCCCATATGTCTCTACAATGCATCAATACATGATTACTAACTTTTCACCAAGAGGAAACGAACTTGATTCCAACGGAAAAATTGTCCGGCGTCGAAACAAGAAAGACAAGAACGGCAAGGACAACAAAAACGCCCAGAAAACACGTAGAGGTATTTCCTCCCCATTTCTTTCCTATCTGACTACCTACCTCCCTAGACCAAACCAAATAAATCTTTCTATGATGTTACAAAAAAGAAAGAAAGAAACATTCACTAACACCCCATATAGCATACGATGCCTACGATCCCCAATACGACGAAGCAGGCAATGAAATCGACAAGGATGGAAACTTGGTCAACATCTAAACTTCGCTTCATGTTTCATGTTTCCAGTTTCATATCTCATATATCACATCTATCTGGATCATCTGCGGCTTTTCCGATTGCGTGCTTTGGTTAGAATTGGTCAAGCTTCATCTCATATCATGTTATCAATATATAGAATATAGGAATTTAAACTCGTCTATTTCCTTAGAATTATTTAGTTTGCGTCTCTCTCTCTGTGTCTATCCATTCCTATCCTGCCCACATCCATAGATATCTAAATCCATAGCGCATCATATAAATCAATAAATTAGACCTCTCATCTTCTTCCCATCTTCCCATCTTTGAAATTGAAACACTACCCACTAGACACGTAATACCCATCTTTAAACATAATACCCATACAAAAAACCAAAGTCTCAAAAGATGAGAAATATAATACAATACAATGCAATACAATACAAAAACGAACAAAGAACCCAGATACAATTCCATATGGGTATCAATATTATGATGCATTTCGCGAACCGAGCTTCCCCTGAAACACCACACCACCACACATCAAACATCAAACGATACATCGAAAACTTTCGGAATTTCGGAAACGAGGTTTGAAACTCGTTTTGTGTCTACGGAGTAATGAGTTTTGACAAGGTGTATTTATCCGGGTTATTGATTCTAGATGTATATTTGTAAGAATTTATGATTTATCTGTGTCTGATTTGCGCTGTCGAAAGTGTTGATGCGTATGTTTTAAGACTTAATCTTACAGTTTCAACACTGCTTTTCTTATAACATTGTGCTGTCTTACATCTATAGATACAAAACTTCTATTAATCTTATCATGTATCCGTTTCCTTTAATTCATCATCATTAGATCCCCGGCATCCCTAATACCGACCTCACAGCCGGATTCAACCTCGGCAACCAAAATACAACAAACACTCCTCCAAAAGCGACAATCAGTCCCGTGAACTTCTCAAACCATGTATGGAAATATATAGCCGTCATAGCTAACATGAACAAACTCAGTCCCGCCACCCCAAGTATAATCCTCACACTAAGACCTAACCACCCATCTTGATTCAATCGCTCCGCTTCATTCTGCAGAGGCGCTTCCACATCCGCAGATTTGATCGCTCCATCTTCCATCACTATTGTGCGTTCCTCCTTTATTCCCGAGCTGCGTAACACAACATGAAGTACTTCTTGGAATAGAAACATACTCCCAAGAACAAGCAAGAATACATGTCCACTAATATCATGACCACCTCTCCATTTTCCACCCACGGCTTTACAAGCTACCCCCGTAAGAAACTGACGCGTATCATCCATATCTACGTGCCCTCTCTCTGCCGCATCAACCATATCACATTGACCACCCGTTATAATAAATCCGCGATCAATAATTGCCGGGCCAAAAAACCATTGCGTGACAAAGACCCACCAGATCGTAACAGCTGTATATCTTAAAAATCCGCGGACTCGTCTTGGAGTAAGGGTGAGAACGCCAGGAGGACCAGTCGATGGATGCGTTAGGAGAAAGAAAAAATAACTAGCGGTAATCCACGCCCAACCTTTCTTCACGAACCATTGATTGAATATATTGCTTTTCTTTGCGAAATAAGAGGGTGCGGTGCTGGACGGATGGGATTGAAGCGCGGCGCTGTATTCCGATGCTCGGACATCGGGGCTTAGGACCGAGAATATTGAGCCTAGGAGTAATGTTGCGGGATATATTGAGAGGAGTATTGATTCGAAAGGGGTTGGAATGAATGGAGATCTGCGCGGAGTCATTTTGACACTTGTTGATGACGCTTCAATTATGCGCGTCGAGCGTCTTTTGGTCTGGGAGGGCGATTCCATTGTTGGATACGATACTATAACATAGGGGTATGTATTGAACAGAAGATGGAACTCTCCTTTTATATTGAGATTGAAGACGGTGATTAAATACGGAGACAACCGTAGTAATGGTACAATTAATCAGAGGCAAGAAATTTCGAGGAATCAAAATGTAGCCTATGACGTTTGAGTCTTTCCTGTAAATTTTGCCATGTGTGTTCACGAACAGGACAGGGGTCGGAAATAGGAAATCCCGAGAGCTTTCCCCAGATTCGGCTGATTGATTGATTGATTTGATTTAATCGACGGTGATTCGAGAGGAACAATGTGCAACAAGTTTCAGAAGAAGATCTGAACAGATTTATCTATATAAATACTAAATATCTGACAAAACAATCCAATCCGACTATTCACCAAAAACAATCTTCTAAAAAAACACCCAAACAAAAAAAAAAGAAAAACAAAGGAAAATGGTATCAACACGCGGACACCCGCAGGAATTCCCGGAAACACCCACTCGTACACCTACCATCCCCTCTCGCAATCCTCTCCGCAAAGGACCATGGGCGCACACCCCCTCGAACCTCACCATCATCTGGCTCTTCATTTCTCTGCCACTCGTAGCATGGGATGCCGGATATGTTATGCTTCGACCTCTTTCTATGCCGGGCGGATCACTGCATTGGCCCATTTGGGCACCGTATGAATTGTATGGCAAGGTCGATTATATATATGGATGGAAGGCTTATAATGAGCACAATGGATTTACGGCTGCGCAGACATTTTTGAATGTTATTGAGAGCGCCATGTATTATTCCTATTTGTATATCTTATATGCTTATGGGAAACCATCGGCTGCTCAAGGGAGAGGTGCTCCTAAGAATTCGGGGTTTCTTGGAGAGCAAAGGTTTGTGGATGGGAAGATGGGGGCATTGGCTGTGTTGGTGGGTTATAGTGCTGCTGTTATGACTCTGAGCAAGACGTTGTTGTATTGTAAGTCTGAATTGGATATTGGTTTTGGTGATGTTTTTGCTAAGATGATTTTAGGGATGAATGAATATTATTCTGGCTTTGAAAATATTGGTCATAATAGTATTCGTGATCTTTTATTCTTATGGATCATTCCAAAGTAAGTCATTTGAGGTTGTGGAAGGTATGCAAATTCTCTAACTTTCTTTAGTGGTGCATGGCTTGTTGTTCCTTCGTATATTATATATGTGACTGGAAGTGAGATTATTCAAGGTTTAACCATTGCTGCTGGAGGAGCTACGGCTTCGAATGATGATGTTTCTTTGGCAAAGACAGAATGAAGCAATGAGTGAAGGTCTATGATATATGAGAGCCAATTGACTATGGAACGGGATTCAGAGGGATTTTTTCTTGGCTTGGCTTTTGGAAAATCCTGCAAAGACGAGATCCATGAAAGTATAGCACGTATTTACGAAATGAAAGTTGATATATAAAAGCATAATATTACTCGTTGCTTAGGACAAGAAATGATGAAGTGGAGGTGGCATGAGTCTATTAAGATAACTTCATGAATGCACAAGCCCATTGAACGGAACAGACATTGATTAATAACAAAGTTACACGATGGCAGCAAGCTCAATTATCTAGTGCAAACGTCTGTGGCTATTAAAATGAGATGAAGGGGGTTTTAGACACTGATTGCGAAGCAGAGATGGAGTTGTTGAAGATTTCAGGACCAACAAGTTTATTAACTCTTTATATACCAAACTACGGAGGGAGACAGCAACCACTACTAGAAGTTAACTTCTAAGTAAAGCCTGCTTGGCGCAGTGGTAACGCGTAGCACTTGTATGTGATAGCAATGCTAAGATCATTGGTTCGATTCCAGTAGTAGGCACTTGAATTTTTGGTCATTGGGGAGGATTGTTGTGCGAAAAGTTTATTTTTGGTGATGAGGAAGTTCGAAGATTTGTTCGCGTGTTTTCTTTGTCTTGTGTTTTTAGTTTCGAGGATGAAGAGAAAAGAGTATGGTTGATGCTGATTTGTGGGTTAGGCGGCATTGTTTTGGTGGGTCATAGAAGCCCACTACATAAATTCACTTCAATAATTGATTTACTCTTATTCACGCGTTCTACGCTTTTTTGATAACAAGCCCAAAATCTCTATTGATGATGGGTGCTTTTTCTGATTTTCCTTCACGAAGCAAAGTCTAAATAAACAGCCAGGCTGGGAAGATACTCAAAGTTTTAGGTCGACCGCTAGTGCCGTCTGCACCTATCAGTTTGTTTTCAAGTTTTAATACTTGGAAGAGCATCTATTATTCAACACGATTAGTGTGCTGATTTTAAGTATGGTCGAGCACTAAGAATATCTATGTTGAGTCTCTTGGGATTAGTATGCGAAGATTGATAGCTTTGGTCGGAGTACAATTATTCAGTACCTATTCCACTCATTTATCTCATCTTTAACCCCGCGGTCAATTCACCCAGTCAGTCATGTAACTTGGAATTAAACATTTTCGACGACTCTGACGCTAGGCTTCAGTATACCAAATCTTTCAATGGTAGAAGGGATTCGAGTGGATTCAATATTGGTGAATTTTCGAGTACGGCTCAATAATTAATGGATTCAAGTGACATAAGATAGGTATGTTCTTCTCATACCAGATGTTGATACAGAAACATAAATAGCTTTGAACTATGCTCCTCGGATTTTCTAGCGTTTCAATACAAGTCTACCCACTAGAAGCTGTAGATTTGGAGAAAGTCTCCTTGACCTTGAAAAGTGATGGATGCCGCTTAAACTTCCACATTCGATTCTGTGGAAAGTTAAAAGAGGCCTTCGATCCCTGCTTCGGATCAATGACAGATGTGCAACAAATAATATTGTTGCACGTGGGCACCATTTATTATCGAATGAGAAATTTGTCTTACCATTGGAGGTCAAAAGGTTGTGGCTACTCGTCGCCTCAATAGTGTCTCCAATGAATGTGATGACAACCTTAGGATATCATGAACGACTCAAAGGCGGGAAATAGATTTGAACGTGCATGTAAGATCTTACATCATCGCAAGCAAATACTCTTGATATAAACCTCAACAATTCTTAAAAGTCCGCGGTCCCATATGTCAACAACACATGGAAACCATGCGAAACTGGCATCTAAATACCATGGCCGGTGGTCCAGGTATAACACAACATCTACGAATCAATTATCCAAGGAATTTTGTCAAAATTGCTCCTACTGTTAAGAGGTCCGTGAATCTTGCTAACAAGGCAATAGAATTTGAGAATTCCGTAGAATGCACTTGACCCATTAAGGTATGAGCACTTTGAGGTAAAGTGAAGCTAATCGGTACTCCCACATACTTAAAAACAACAATCCAGAGACAATCCAAGAAAAAACATCGAAAGGCCCTCCACGTTGAGACAATATCCAGAATGATCTCGCTGCGGAATGTTTTCGGAAAACTTAGGTTAAACGCTCGAACTGATATCGTTGCTGAAGCAAAAGAGAAGTCAATCGCATCGCCACTATTTCGCCTTCCACCAGAAATAATATCATCGATAGCGAGCATGCTTCCAACACCGTCTGTTGCATGTCTTGCTATCTGTAACCGCCGTATGTATCATACACTTGGGCCCGACTCCTGGAAGTCTTTAAAAAGTGAAGCACCTGATGTCTTGTTCGCATTTCTGTCATTGTTAGCGAAAGACCTTCCTGAGCACTTCGTATGTCAAGATTGTACCTGCATTCATCGAATAAGTGGGATTAAATGGCCCCGCATAATCAAACACCGCTCCGGCCCTCCTTGTACTTGGGATAGTTTAGGCTATGATGTTTTATTTTTTTCGCGGTTTCGAATATATTTTCCTCACATCCAGCTGGCAATAAGGCAACATTTACACGGTACCGATATTGGATTTCCTCTTGAAGCCTTTCGATTCGTAGAGGTTGAACACGATCAGTACAAGCAGAAAGTTGGCTTGTTGTCTGCCGATGCCCAGATTGTCTCGAATGAGTTTTTGATGCGGTCTCAAACATGGATTCTACTCCCACGAACCTCACACGACGAATTCATCGGCAAGTTAGCTGAGGACAGACCTTCCACTGATATATGTATACATACAAGACTAGGCTCTTGTGTGGAAAATCGAGTATCAAATTTGGTGAGATCTAGACTCGACCCGCGAGGAGGGACTCGAGAAAAATGTCTTGCACAAACATTGCAATGTTCTTATTGTTACATGGACTTTGTGTTTCATGTAATAGATTTTGGAGGGCGGGGGCTTGCGGTAGTTATCACAAGATGGGTCAATCTGGGTGCTGGGCTAGACATCAAAGATGCGAAATGGAAAAGCCATATCACCACACGCACGGATAGTGGTGTTCATCACCCACACCATCCAGGAGATATTCGAAAAGCCTTTGAAGGTCAGGAAGATTTGTCCGTAGAAGAGCTCACTCTTGATAATCAAATGAGACTGTTCTCGAGGAGAAAAAATCGATTGATTTATCGAGGGTCGGATGGCCTTGTCTGGAAATGGGATCAATGCCAGCGCTGGTACCTAGCTCCCTCCGGACGACCTGAAATGAGCTTTCTGGAGTTTTTGAGGAGGCCGTAGATGCAGATGGAAGATGATACCTTGCAACTGGTGGCATTTCTAAGAGTGTATACTGCAATTGAGGATGGGATGTGTGTCTAATTTTGGGCACAAATTTATCCTGTATGTAAGATAGGGATGTATTACAAGCTTCTCTTACAGTTTAATGTGTGGAATATGAATCAGATATGAGATGGATAGTATCGTGGAAATCCGGATGTTTAATATTAATATTTGAGGTGATTGCGAGAATTCACACGCTAAACGATATTGTGTGCGGTCAGTTATTGTGTAATGACCATCAAATATACCCTTGTGCAAACGATCAAGGCCAGGTAACGTGAGATCCTGATGATTCAATTGATTCTATATTCCAATCATTCAGATGGGATGGATTTTGAGCTGCACATAGATTGTCGGTACGCACCAGCTGGTGTAGCATAACTATAACTTCTATGCATTTTCTGGAATAAACGAAGTCAAGATTTATTGAAGAGAAGGGATGGCCTTATAGTTTGAAGACACTCCCCTAGCAGGTATCCGAATTTATCAGGTACGTTAACAGTCTCTTGGGGGAATAGAACACAAAACACAAGATCCTATATTCTTGACCGACACAGACACTTGACGATTCCCCTACCAATAAGACCACCCGCTGGAAAATCCAGCGGCGATTCAGAAAATCGTGGACAACCTTACAATTTCTTCTGGAATATGGCACAACTGTAAAAACTAACCACTTGGTTTTCATATATAGTTAGTTGGACTGCCGAAATATCTTTGTACATTACTGCCTCTGGCAACTAAGTCCTTTGGGAACTTGTCTGTCCCTTCTGGGTTTATAGAAGTGGAAGGGGAAACATGGAGATTTGAGGCAAACGTTTATCCGATATCTGCGCTGGTTGCAGGGTGGTTATGGAGTATCTGTGCGCTGGATAGATTTCATGAGTTGATGAATGTTTCCATGGTTCGAGGGAAGTGTAATGGGTGGCCGAGCAGAGCGGTTAAGAAGTTTTATGCGCCGGTAATATACAGATGATAGGACGAGAATGGTGTTACATTGAACTTATTCTTAACATCTGAGAGGGTTTTATCATTGGTGAACGTACTAATGTATTAATGTTTTAATGTATTAAGGTTAGTGGAGATGATGTGACGAAGCTGCGGCCGGTCCTCACCTGTTCCCGTTATTAATATTGTCCTTTGTACGGGTTAATCATTATTAGATCTGGATTGATGTATTAGACCTTGCATTACTGATTGATGTTCATTTCATACGAATAATTCTTCTTGGATTCCTTTTCCGGTCAATTACTATTCAAACAATAGTCCTTCTCCATACATAAAATAAAAGCCTTTATAGATTTCTATAAATGAATAAATGAAGGGTCTCCCTATCTACCTTATAGATGATCCATAATAAATTGAAACGATGATTGATTGATATCAAAGTCAAGTGAAACCATTCATTCACCCACATGTCTCCTCTGTACGGACGACTACTTCTTTCAGGTCAAAGGAGGGGCTAGCTAAACAACAATCCGAATGAAAATACACTAATAGAATCTCAGACTTCACTTCCCTCCAGTGAACAATCAATTCTAAACTTATTAAACCCTAAATAAATCCACCCCTTTATCCCTTCATAGAATTATTGCATGCTAGATAGGGTATATTTTATTGATTTCATATTTCCCTCTCCCTTCATTGTTTGACCAAGTGTTGTTCACTTGCACTGACTTAACCTACCTACTGGCGCATGCACAATCGAGGAAATAAGAATTTATAGTATATATATACATTCATAGGCTATCTACAAGCATAGGTAAGAAAAAGCAACTGAAAACAAGAAAATGCGCCTATCGCCACTAAAATAAATTCATTAGCAAATCAACATCCTTGCTGAAAGCGTCCGTTCATCGTCGAACCATCCACATCCACATCCCAATCCCAGACTTTTACTACCTACCTACCTTTACAAACCACACAAGCAACGGAGTTCTCATTCTCCACCTCAATACAACCACCAACAATACAACCACAAATTTTTTGGCTTTCGCGCTTGATAAGATATCCTTCAAACCTCTCAAGAATTTGTTATTGTTCTACTCCGGCTGGCCGAGAATATCGGGCTGGATTCATATTCGCTATTACCTGGAAACATTAGAGGGAAGCACACAAGGCAGCCAACATTTGAAGGGTGCGATAAGGGTACCGTACAATGATGGAGGACGTCCTGCGGGGGATGCAGCAATCAACTCTCATGACCTCGGTCTTGTCCTCAACGCCAACGTCGATACCCATAATAGCTGGCGCTCAGGAAGCTCTTCGAGATACATTCCAACAACCGACGAGTGTTCAATATGTGCCGGCTGCTGCCGCCAGTAGCCTTAGCGACAATGTTCAACTTCAGTCTAGTAATGATTCGACGCTAAATGGTGTGGTGATAGGATTACTGAGCTCATTTGGCTCGGCCATATTGATAGCTTTAATCTTCTTGATTGTTTATTTCTTCAAATATACAAGCAGTGGAAGGATTTTACTGGACCGGATCGGAAGGCCGGGAGAATATGATGATGAACAGGCTTTTGCAAAGGAAGAGGCGGAAGCCTTGGAGGAAATGGATGATTTACAAAGAACTGAATATTTGAGAGCCAAAGGTGCGTCTCTTCGTCAACTACTCATCTCTTGATATGCTAATCATATTGTCTACATAGCATTCGTACAATCAAACCCACCCGATTCATTACCAACCGACATTTCTTTATCGCAATATTTGGCAATTCAGGAAAAGGGAGTCTCTGCTTGGGAGTTTGAACCAGAGTTAGAGATTGCAAATTGTTTTGTAGAGGCTAGGACGGAAATCGAGTTCTTCGATAGTGAATGTTGCACTCTTACGAATTTACCAGTACCAAAACAGAACGAGGTTTACTACTGGGAGTCTAAGATTTACGATAAGCCGGAAAATACTCTCATTAGCATCGGAGTAGCTACAAAGCCTTACCCTTTGTTCAGATTACCAGGTATGTTGTTTCGGTCATGAATGGTGAAGAAAGTTACTGATACAAGGCAGGATGGCACAAGTATTCTGTGGCTTATACATCTACTGGACATCGAAGATATAATCAACCTTTTAGCGGACCGGTATATGGACCACAATATGTTCAAGGAGATGTTATCGGAGTAGGATATCGACCTCGAACTGGCACAATTTTCTTCACTCGAAATGGAAAGAAGCTCGAAGATGTAGCACACGGTCTGAAATCACAGAATCTTTTCCCAGCTGTTGGAGCAAATGGTCCTTGCACAGTACATGTCAACTTCGGGCAATCCGGATTCGTTTTTATTGAAGCAAATGTTAAGAAATGGGGCTTAGCACCTATGACTGGTAGTCTTGCCCCTCCTCCTCCATATGGTAGTGAACAAGGAAGCATTTTATTAGAGGCTGGACGAGAGGGCGCGCAGAGTAGTCATGGTTATTATCAACCGGATCCACGACATGGACGAACTCGAAGTGGAAATTTTAGGCATGGTCCACCTACAAGTCCCGGACCATTACGATCACCCACAGATATTTCTTTAGCTCAACTTACACACATTCCTTCACATGAAGAGCCCGGCGAGGCATCGAATAGTTCTACACCAGCACCTACAGGAAATACGACAACGCAACCTGGATTAAGCGTACACGATAATGCACAACCTCCTCCAGAATATACAAGTCCTTTACCATCAGAAGCAGGAAGTCCTCGAGGAAGCACAGATGGTGAAAGGACACCAATGCTAAGAAGAAAAACTACACCACCACCTATACCTAGTTATAACGATGCAGTAGCACAACGAAATAGAAGTAATAGTCATCGAGATCGGGTTGGAAGTCGCAGAGAAAGAAGTGATAGTCATCAAGCTCGACACGGAGATGGAAGCCCCTCTCGATCATGATTTAGCATAGTGTGAATACACCAGAAGAATTTGACATGAAGCGAGGAGTTTAAAAGAAAACGGAGGGGGCGATCAAGTTTGAATAAAGGATTTTGATACGTTATGGATCAAGTGCTGGATCGCGGTAACATTTTGGGACGTGGGACTTGGAGTTAAATATGAAAATAGCGTGGTGTGGTATATTTCCTATGTTGTTGAACTGAATGGTGGTCTGGTGCGATTTTTGGTATGGTCTTGCTTGGCTTGGTATGGCAAGGAAGGGTATGGTTGAAGAAGGAATGGAGGAATTGTTATCGGCGTCTTGGGAGTTATATGATGGATGGGTCCTTGAACATAAGATGAGAAGGTTTTGAAAGAAGGATATTGAGATGGCGATTGTAAGAATGGGAGGGTTTTTGGTGACAGAGTGTTTTTCGAGAAGTGAATCGGCGAATGGTGGGATGGGATGAGATGAGATGAGATACATAGGAAGAGAATGGAATGGAGGAAATGAAGCTTGTGCTGATTGCTAGGCTAGGCTAGGTGATTGAGGTGGAAAGCGTCAATCAATTTGACTTGTGCATAAGATAGTAGTTGATGCAATACAAATATATCATGTTCCTTTGTCAATATCAAATAAATATTATTTCGCTTTGTCAGTATCAAATATATATTATTTACTATACGAGTACGCAACACCACACACCGCCAATTAAATCACCTTCACAAACCCCACCTCCACCAACCCCTCAACCGGTAAATCCAAATCCGCCATCTTCCCCCTACTGTTTTCTCTTATCCACAAAAATACCCATAATACAGCTCTCCGAGCCCAATTCCTTAAATTCTTACCTCCGCGTGCAATTTTCATCTGTTCCTTTCCGAGAACGTAGACGATTTGACTAGAAGCCGCGTGTTCGATTTTGTCGAGTTCGGCTTGGATGGTGGGGGTGTGGTGGATGCTGGTTGGGGTTGAGTTTGGGTTTGAATTTGAGTCTGAATTTGAGTTATGGTTTTCGTTTTCGGATGTTCCGAGATGGTTTTGTAGACCGGTGAAGGTGGATGGATCGCGGGTTATGAAGAGGATTAGTTGGGAGATTAACGTTGAGCCGATGGAGGGTGTGATGATATCGTCGGTGTATCCGTGGCGGATTGTGATGCGGTAACAGGATGGGATGGATGTGCGTTGAATGATATAGCGTTCTGTATCTGGAACGTGTGGGATGGAAAGCTGACGCATGTGGAGAAAAATAATGATTTCAGGCGTGGCGCAGAATTTGCGGACGAACTGGGTGAAGACGATGGGTAGTTGGTCGCCTACTTTGTCGAAGAATATACCGATGCTTGGAACGGTAGTGATGAGTGAGGAACCGTAAGCTGGGGTTAGGAAACTGGTGTTTGGGATTCGAGGATCGGATGTTATGAAATCTGAAGGGGGAATTCGATCTTGGGCTTCGGATGTCCATTGTTGTTCTTTGCCGTATCGCCATAGGACGAATATGCATGAGAGGATGAAGGCGAGGAGTAAAGTAAACCATGCGCCTGTTGGTACTTTTATTAAGGCCGAAGAGAGATAGACACCGTCAAGTGTGGCGAAGACTAAGAAGAAGATGAGGACGATGAGGACGTTGATACGCCAGATTATGATGGCGACGAGTGAAACCATGCAGGTTGTTATGAAAGTTACAAAGATTACACAGACACCATATGCATTTCCGAGGCGAGTTGTCTAGATGATATCAATAAAATAGCTCAACTATTGTGAGAGAATTTGCATAGAAAAGCGAAGACATACGTTACTGTAGACTGCTGTCACTATAACAGTACCAATCATAAGCAGCCAATTTGCGAAAGGCATATAAACTTGCCCGTGAAATATTTTCGACGTATGAACGGTTTTGATATGTGGAAAATAGGATAACCGCATAACCTGTGACAGCAGTTGAAAACTAGCTGTAATCATAGCTTGTGAAGCAACAATAGCAGCTAGAACTGCAATTACAAGAGCAAAATCTGTATTTGATTAGCTAATCTCCTTCAAAAGTCGAAAACAAAAACTTTGTCACTTACAGAATGTCCCCGGAGGAACAGTATTGAAGAAAGGATTTGTATAAGCAGTTTTTGTGGTGTCTTGAGAAATATACGCAGCTTGTCCAATGTATGCCAATAATAGACAAGGATAGGTGAGTCCCAGCCAAGAAATTTGCACGGCTCTTTTACTGAAAGCTCCCAGATCAGCAAAGAGTGCCTCTACTCCTGTGAAAGCAAGTAAGAGTCCGCCTAATGATTGCCATCCTTCTTCTTTATTGCGCATGAAGTATGCTCCTGCAAAATAAGGTGAGAATGCTTTTAGGACAGTGTGGTCGTATTGAGCTAGGTTGTAGATGCCGGTGCACATATTGAATAGTAGCCAAATCATGACTATTGGGGCAAATGTGGTTGCGATCTTTGTCGTTCCAAATGGCTGGATAGCAAATAGTAAAATGAGGATAGCGCAAGTTGCACCGACAATTGTGCTGGTACTGATGCCTGGTTGCGCAACTTCAAGTCCTTGAATCGCTCCGAGTACAGATTGTGCGGGAGTTAAAACCCCATCACTGGTTAGGTATGGTTAGCCTAGAATCTCTTATGTGTTCATGTTTGGTCACCTACGACATAACCATACTAACACCTAAGACACCCAAGAATTTCAAAACTACCCTAGCAACTGCGGATCCCTCGATGAAAGTCCGGATATTATTATTCGAAGGCCTCAAATCATTAGTGGCATGCCGTTCCATCTTGACCATTTTTGAAACCTTTGGATCTAGTTGGACGATATGTGCGTAACGAGCTAGTAAACTGTAGAGCGCAAATGTGCCCCCTTCCCCATCGTCATCTGCGGACAAAACGATGAAGACATATTTTACGGAAACCATAAGAGTGAGGGTCCATATTATTATGGAAAGTGCGCCCACTAGATCATCGTATGAAGGGTGGCTTGTAAAGGTGGAGGAGTAGACGTAGAGGGGACTTGTACCTGTAAGATAAACGGTGAGTTATTGTGATGCATTAGAATGGAACTGAAGTCCTACCGATATCTCCATAAATGACACCAACACTTTGGTATGCTAGCCACATAAGCATCCATCCGGTGTATGTCTAGAAGAATTTGAATGAGCGAAGCAACGTGAAAAATTGATCGTTGGATGGAGGGTAAAGAGTCTGAATGACGCGAAAGAAGGATTAGGACGACCATGACAGAAGTCGAATCTCCAAACTACATACTTGTTTCTTCTTCTTATTCAAATCTTCATTAGCAATCTCTAATGCCTTCTCCTCAAAGTCGTGACTAGTGGCCGCCTGCGATACTTTTGATTCTGCCAACACATCACTAAATGCTAATCTATTCGATCTATTTGACCTCATGGGCTTTATTTCGTCCCCGAAGTGGATTTGCTGGGCTGGATCTGCCATCTCAGTACTAGTGCTCGAGAATTATGTTTATTCTCTGGCTCTGGCTCTGGCTCTGGCTTTGAATGCGATGCGGACAAATGCTCAAAAAGGTGACTGTACGAGACACAATAGCACAAGTGAGAACCGCAGCGAAGACACTCTCCTTCAATAGGTAGCAATGGGGATTCAATTCACTTTTAGAGGATGTAGATAGATATAGCAGTATTATCTTCTCTCTTCTCCTACTTCTCAGCCTTATCCCACCTCAGATATTGGAAATAATGGAATCCATTGGTCAATCCCTTTTATTCAAGGGTAGAAAAGAACAATTCCAGGGGTTGTTAAGGGTAGATATCTTTGCGATTAACAGCTCCACTGGTGATATCACTGACATCTGAAATTTATTCATTTGAAAACTCTGACAATGTGATATTTATCACTGGATTTAGATTACTTCTCGAGCAGGCTTCAAGCCATAAGCTTGTCAAGGAGTACAGATGATAAAATTTCTTATCCTCGCCCTCGGATTCGAGCAGGCTAAAATCCCTCATGTTGGACAGAAATGCCTCATTCCCAGCTCGACGGCTTCTGCGGCAGGAACCAACATTGGGGGTTGACATTCCCCGGGGATGCTGCAGGGGTAACCAATGACCTTGGATGATACTTGGTGATCTTTGTGGCGCAGTAGGATGTTTTGATAATGTGATATTGTATCAAATCCTTTTGCATAATGGAGATTCATTTGCGATATACTCACTCGTACGCTTGGGTGTGTTTGAAGATAGTCTTAATCTTATGTATATTGCGCTTCACGTGAATCATCTAGGGTTGTCATGCCGTTGAATCATTCGAATTCAAAACATCGACAGATCGTGATTGAAGGTATGGCAATGACTAACACATAACAAATTGATGAATATATGAAAATTGGAAGAAGAATTCTGTTATTGTATTATCGGATTTCCAATTGCGGAATATAATAAACTTCATGCCCCACCCTAAACTTCATTTGAATAGTGGGGTGGCTAGCGATGATGACTAATTTCACCCCTCGTACATGAGAAAGAAACAACTGTCATGATATATATATGATGATATATATATGTATAAGTGTATATATCTGCGCTATATTCAAGGTAGTTCGATCATCTTACAGGAAATTTGTAAAATCGATAATCTTCGCAAGTCCTTCACTTTTGGCAATTACCTGGTTTCCCTCGACATTCGTGCCCGCGAAGAACAACTTCTGGGGAAAATATTTTCTTCATCGTGAGGAAAAGCGAGAAATGTCTTATCAAAGTTATGGTTTATTAGGCTCCGCAATACACCCATCATTTTCCGTACAAAAGCATTCACATTGTACTTACGTTATGTTATGAGTACAAACCAAATACGCTGATAAAAATTTGTATTTTTGGTTAAAAAATAGCGCTCAGAAGAGGCTGCTAACTACCCGTACGCTTGTAGCTCTGATGCTACTGCTCCGACACTAATTACTCAACATGAAGGAACAAGATCTTTAGTTTGAAGACAAATTGTTAATCAGGTCTCCTTTGGAATACCGGCTCAACGCATCAAGCAATTCTCCCTTGATTCTTATGGCTTTCTTTGACGCCTCCCACTCCTTATGTAACTTCATCAACTCTGCTTTATATTCCTGACCCTCCCGAGTTTCCCACTCGTCTATCTCATCCAACCTTTTCTTCAAACCAGTTGCTATTTCTCCTTCACCATCCACCAAGTTTAGTAACCTCTCACGCGTTTCCTCCTTCAGTTCTTGCGCATTATCCTGTACTGCGTGCCGTTCATTGAGAAACTGCTCGCCTGATGCTTTCCTCAAAGCTCTCAATTCCTCGACCTCCGTCTTGAAGTATTTGTTTCTCTCCTCCTGATCCATTATCATCCCCAGCGGCCCCAACATGTTCATCAATGTTTTCCTTCTGTAAAGGTGCACTCTAAGTTTCTTTTGATAGCTTTTGTACGCCGCCAACCTTTTACCCTTGATCCACTCCTTTCTCTCCGCCAGTTTCAAAGTATGATTCTCTCCCTTCAACATGAAGCTGTTTGACTTGTTTCTGACTTTTCTGGCAGTGAATCCCCTTACTTCTTCGGCGGCGTCTGAAAGGCTGAGCCTCATCTCTTCTTCACTTTGGTGAATTGAGCAGCCAGGAAGGCTTTCGGGCCTTCTGCACTTCATCTCTTCCTCGGTTGGGTGGGTTGAGGGGCCTTCACAGACTGCGAGCCTGTTTATCGTGATTGCAGTTTCTGACTGGGTCGGTCTATCAAGGAAAGCCGGCTCGGTGGCGATGAGGTGTGTGGTCATCTCGTTTGGTATAATTGCAGGGACGGGATGAATAGTCCCAATTGGAAATTCGAAATTTGTGGATAGTTCGACAGTATCTAGTAGGTGACACTGATGAAATGAATAGTCCGTATAGTAAAAGCCCCAGAGGTAGACGAGATCGTTCCGATGGAATGTACGAGAATGAAGTCGCAATGATGAGAGTGGCTAATAGACGATACTAAAGAGGAGATTTTGATCGTCGAGAAACAGATTGTGTAAATGGATGATTTGTATGATAGTTCCGATACAAAATCAGATCCAATTGCGAGGCAAAGTTTCAATGTGGTGATATGAAGAAAGAATAAGGATGAGAAATATTTCCTCTTTCAATTGCGATGGTGCAGGTAACTTTGAGTATAAATTGTTATTATTGATGTAGGACTGAAAGATTCAATGAATTGATTGATAATCCGGCTTCAAATGTGAAGTTGTGGGTTTGAGATGATGGAATTGAGGAAAAGAAATTTCTCAGGAGAAATCCTTGGATGATATAGTTTTTTTGTTTTTTTGCCACTGAACCAGACCACCTAGCATTAGCTGGATTTTGGCTCATTTAGGTTTGTCGTTTTTTAAGGTCATAAAGTTTAATCGGTGCGATAGTTCGTAGCTAGGCCAGAGCAATACTGAGTTCAGTGATAGCATGGCTCTCTTCCATTTTTCTGTGACGCCATTAACTCTAAAAGTTTTTGCGTGTACTCTAAGCCAGCGAGACCGCTTGCTTAGAAAAAGTCAAAATGATGAACTGGAAATATAGTAACGAGTATCATTGTGCGCCATCATTCTCAAAAGCTTTACTGTTCGTAGTGAGGTTAAAACAAAATCAAGCGTCGTCGGCATTTGGAAGTGTTTTCGCTTATTTCGTTAGGGGGATAACCTCAAGGTTGCTCCGGTGTGAGTTAGCACGACGCGGCGCCGGCAGTAGCGATTTAGCGGATTACAGATTTTACCCCTCGGGTCTGAGTCTTTTTATCTTTGCAAAAATTTAGGATTATTATACTCAGAATGTATAATAGGAATGAAGTGTGGGAAACTCTCCAATTCACCGAGGCAAATTTAGCGTAGCCAAACACAATACTGCAGTTTGTTGGCCCATCTGGATATATTTTCGTTGCGCACTTTCCACAATAATAATCTTATATCCGCTCTGGTGCAGGTTTTGTTCCTTCCGGGTTTTCGAGCTCGTTGCTCTTTCCCTTCGTTGTGTATCCTACTTATTCAACCCATCTACCTGCCTCATTCCATCAAACTTATAATTTATTAGCGCGTCCTTGCAAGTTGAGAGAACTACCCAGCTCAGACTTTGAAGTTATAGCTTCGATCCCTCAACTCAGCCTTTAAAGTTACAAGCCTAGTACTCTCTTTTCGGGCCACTTTTAATACAGTTTTTTTAATCAAAAATGATAAAAATCAATGTTTATAACTTTTTTTATTTCTTGGATGATAAAGCCTGATTGGTCAGAATAGACTTTTTAATACTTTTTTAAAGATCTTCTTTTTGATAATTTATTTTGAAATTTATAATATAGAATCATGACAATTATTTACTTGATTTCAAGAAATCCTCATGATCTGACTGGCCAATAAGGTCCGTGTTAAGCGAGGCGCCCTGAGTTGGCATTCTAAGGGATATGTAGTCAGCTCGATACGTGACTGATGCGAATAGTGATTGGCTGTACAGTACGGCTCAGCCACCTACATCTTCTATTACAAAAAACTTTCCAACGACTTATGCGATGTGCATGTTGCAACTTTGCCTGTAATTATGGCTATTGCTGATATCAAATGTCTTACCAACCTTCCTGAAGACATCACAACGTTGATCTTCGCCGAGATTCTCGACATTTTCGGCTTGTGGAAAGCTCTCGGTTTGCGAGTAGTTTGCAGTACGTTCCCAATCCTCGTGTTTTGGTAATCATACTAATTAGTGGCAGAGCTCTTCAAGGAATCAATCACGAAAGCAATTTGCCACGACTACCAAACCAGCTCTCATGGACCTGTCGATGACGCGCTTGAGGTATGTCTTAAGTATCCTCCAAGCAAGTTGCCTCGCATCGTTCCGCTTTTTATACACATAGAGATAAAGCGTAATCCGAAGCAAGCCGTTCTCGCACCCATACATCAAGCATTACAAGCTACAAGATATCGTCGAAGCCACAGTGATGAGGCCGAAACAGAGTTTGAAATTGCCGTTTGCGAAGCTGCCGAGGAAAGCTTGCGGTGGGGCGCGATAGGGATCTAAATGGTAGAAGAAATATACATGTACGTGCACCAAGGCTAACAAAGTCGTCCGCCTCATCTCAAACTACTATTATTGAAAGAGATTTTGTTGATACCAGTCAACTCGCAGAGATACAAAATACCCTGAGCGTGGCCATCATTGCTGACGATGTTGCTTTCATAGAAGACTTGTTTGAAACTTGGAATTTAGATGCTGATTATGACAATCAGTTTTTGGGCGGCCGTTGCATCTCGCAGCAGCGTGTGGGCGAGCCCACATGATTCAGATTCTTCTCGATAATGGAGCTGACTTAAATGCAATTCAACCATACTACGGCCCACATTGGGCACCAAAGTTTGTACTAGAGAAGGAAAAGTTCATCTGCTCTTCTGGATGTGCTTTACGTGTCGCTGCGTTTAACGGTCATCTCGAGTTCATAAAAGTCCTTTTACAGCCCTGTTTTAATTTAGCATTGCCACTTCCTGATGAAGAGCTTCGGAATGTTATTCGCGCCGCAGCTAGATATGGAAATTTTGTTCAGATTCTCGTAGAAGATGGTGCATCGCTACTAGCGTGCGATAGCAGCAACACGGATCCAATAACTATTATCGCATATGCCCATCACCACCACATCGTGCGATTCTTCCTCGAAGAAGTTGCACATCACAGTGAGACGAATGATTGGGTTGATAAGAGGTGTAAACAAGCGTTTAGCTATGCTATTGGAACCGGTGATCTAGAAATGGTACGACTCTTGGTTGAAGCTGGCTGTCCTATCACCACTAAATTCAGCGCGACTTGAAGGTCCAGTTTCTTACGCAATGAAGTACGGATGGACGCACATAGTGAATTTCTTTATCAATGCAGGCGGTGAAGAGATTGATCCTTGGGACCCGGAAACATTCGCATCTGATGATTTCAGAAGTGGGCGTTATCCTTTTCCGCAACGAAAACACCAGAACAAGTTTGGCATGTTCAGGGTAAATACTAGCTGATGGCTCTATCTAGTTGCCGGAACTTTTCACTGGTAGCTGAGGTCTTGCTTGATAGGAGACTTGTAAAACAATGGCATTTTTCATAATTAAGAATTCTGATGCTCTTTTCCTTTGGCAACATTTACTTTTATTTTCTCGAACATCTAATACTGAATAATATCTGATATCATACCACATAGTAGGGGACGTATATGGGTCAATGACGCTGACTGGTTTTCTTTCGGCATATCTAGAAATAGTAGTGAGATTGTGTATTTCGATATGAAAGTCCATCTTAAATGAGAAATATGGTAGAATTGTATTGAATATCGGTAAAATCAAGATATGCCAAGTGGCCTTTAATAACATATTAGGTACTCCTAATGCTGAATTTCACACTCTGTGATAAACCAAGATTAAGATATCTAACTTCTTTGAATGTCCAGAGTTATTTACCATATTAGCTGTATATATACATTGTTCAATTGACATACACAAAAATTCGGAAGGGTCTTTTCTCCCGCGTGAAAGAATATTTGATTATGCTAGTAATAAAATTCGTGATCGAAAGTAGAATTCTGTACCGAACCTTCCTATTTGCCGATTTCCAAAACCATATGCCAACAAGGTCCATCGATCATAAACCCCTCCACATCTTCACATTTCTTGTAAGCATATGTCAAGATTTGGGTAACTTTTTATCCCCCAAGGCACTATGATAATCTTTCAGCATGTATGTCGTAGGTCTTCCGCTATCCGTCCCTAGAAGACTCAGAAAGTCCTCTTCTCTATCGAAATCGTTAGGATCCATGGCGAAATCACCTTTTCCCGAATCTATGCTTAGACCCCGTCTCTGATAGATGTCCTGAAGAAGCTTTCTGGCTCCATCATTCTGGACGTTTTTTTGCACAACCGTGTTTAGTTTTCCAAATTTGTCGCCGGCAACGTGCTGCCATGATTGGAAGGTTACGTCGGATGATTCGAGTCTTCTAGCATCGCTCTTGGGCAAGAGGTCATTTGCTGCTACGACATCGTCGACCACAATCTTTCCTGTTTCCTAGTTGTATCCGCCATAATTGACGATACTATTTTTATCTGTCGGAACGTTGGTGTGCCAATCTAAACGTTAGTTAGCATTAGTCGCAAGGTTAAGATATTTGGAGTATTAGGGAGAGAAGCGTCTAAATGTATAGATCGGGATATAGGTTCGCGTAGAATAAGGTCAAGGAAGGAAAAGAGTCGCTGCATACTCATCCTAGTGAAAACTGATCCTTCTGGAAGAATCTCTGTGAGATCTTCGTACACATGGTTTGTGTCTGTTATATCGTTCTCTGTTAGAAGGCCACCACCATTAACCAATTCATATCCGTCTTTTACGTTGGCAACTGAACTATCTCCTAGAATCACAAATATATCACAATTAGTGATGTGTTTTCAAAAAGCTCGAAAATATCTGCGCGGTGTCTCTTCTCGCAAAGAAAAATGTATGTGTTTCTAGGGAAAGAGTATCAAGTAAAATCCACTCATCAGGCGCTGGAAGTGTTCCATCGGGCTTGATCGTTTTATCATTATCTTTTGCTGCTATAGTACTTGCCAAGTCCTTTTGCACCGTCCGCCCACGAGCTATATACTGATCCTTTGTCAAGATTGTTCCAGAAGTATCGGCTGTTTCTTGCCCAGGCCTGACAATAGGCTCCGGCTCCGGGCTTGCTTGATCTTTTGGGTTGGGTTTCGGTTTCTCGGGTGTCCCTATCGGCTTTGGTTTGATCTTTGGGACCCCACCACGTGGAAGACGAATCCTGGAATGGGCAGGTACCAGGACATCTGGCTGCTGAGGAAGGGTTCTGCCTACCGCTCCTTGAAGGCCAGTGGCTACAGTGACCGTGCACTGCTACTAGCCATAGGCTCTTTTTACACCAAAACTCACTCTTTTCACTTATTAATATTAAAAGAACTCAATATTTTTTAAAGAAATCCTTTAATATGCTTAAAAAGATTCATTTAAAGATTCTATATTTTGATTTTTATAAATTTTAAGAATTAATTGATAAAGTTGTATAACTTTAAATTTTAGATTTTGAAATTTTCCTCATTTTACCGCAAAAATTGAATTAAAATTTCATATGGTCATTTTCAAACTCGATTACATTATTTTGAAAATTTCAAAAAATAATCAACTAATTTTTTATTATATATTCAATTCGAAATAATCTAATTTTTCAATTTCAATTACACTTTTATAATAATTAAAATTGTTTTAATTTTGTAAAATGGTTGAGGTTTGATGTGAAAAGGTCATTCGGCTAGTAGCAGTGCGCTAGTACTGTAATAAGAAGATGATGATTTGAGCGGAAAGACGCATAGCGTTTGTTTGAATGAATTTGAGACAGTGAAGAGTATTACCTTTGGCGGTGTATTAAATGTAGTTGACTTTAAGGAAAGTGAATAAAAAATCGAAATGAACGAGTGGCCAGGTGCTCCTAGGAAGTAACCAAAAAGTAAATGAAACGGGCTGAAGTGCCTGTAAAGTAGTAGTACTTTGTTGGCAATATCTGGATAAATACATCATCACTTCCTCATTTACTGACACATCCACACACAGCACGCACAAATTCAAAAAATCGAGTTGAAAAAATAAATCAAAGTCCAAATATTTCACTATCTAAAACACCCACAATTGTATCTATCCACCATCAATATATGCACATATCAAACACCTTATGTAGGTAGGTACGCATCATAATCTTTCTTCTTAAATCCCAAAAAACGCCAACTACCCTAACCCTATGTGTTGCGCAGCCCCTTCGAGAAAAAAAGGAGGGGGCTGTGCACAAGAAGAAGAAGAAGAAGAAGAAGAAGAAGAAGATGAAGAGAAAATGAAAGAAGAAATGTGAAAGATCCACCAGGTAGGTAGGTATCAATCACCGAGCATCAGGTCCCATTTACCCCAATCCATGCATTCATCCATCCATCAGAAGAAGCCAGTAGTAACCTAGCACTTAACACCCGTACCAGTCTCCTTAAACATAGCAATCGTAGCAGCAAAAGTGTTACGATTATCCTTATCCAAAGCACCACTCTTTCCATCCACCGTGACCATATTCTCAACACCAACAGTTGACAAGCCAACAATATGGATATTGCCCGAACCCTCAATAGAAAGCATGTTACTTTGACAATTTCCCGTCAATAAACAATTTTGACCATAGTTGTCGAAGAAAGAATAGAGACCAGCGCCGGCGATGAAGATATCCTCGGAATTAACGATGCGGAGACCCCATGATTTGTCGGCGAGCGTTCCACCGGTGAAAGAAGGATCGTTATAAGTTGGGTTGACGGTGAAAGGTGCAGAGGCGTCGGGATTGGCTTGGAAGTAAGGAGTTTCGGTTTGGATAGCACCCATGAAGATGTTGGATGCGTTGGTCAATTGGTAGTTGTAAAGAATATTATGTTCACTGGCGGTACCATACATCCAGGCAGGTCCTTCTTCAGAAGCAACTAAAACTCCTCGGCCACTGTAGATGTCAATTTGATTATGATCACCGAGATCAAGTTCATGATCAGCTACCCAGAACCAAGTATTCTCAAGGTAGATTGAAGCTTGTTCAGTGACGTGTAAAAGCATGAAAGCTCCAACACAGGCTGTATTTCCAGTATAAGTTGCGTTTGGATTTTTGGCGCAAGTGTTAGACTGAAGTTGAGTACCAGCACTACCACCGATTCTTGTATGAACATCCCACATTCCAACTGAACCTTGTGAAGCCTCTTTGACATTCCATTCAACGAGTATAGCGCCTGCGGCCGGTCCGATGGTTTGGAAAACCATATCAGAAATCTCGACAGAGCCAGTATCACCAGGTTGACCAACTTGAAAGACTGCCTTTGGATTGCTTTGATCATTGAATCCCTTCGCCATGATCATGGGCCAGATCTCACCAGTAATCTTGATGTTCTTTGGAACTTTGATGGTATCAGTGACAACATATCCACCATGATCAAAGTAAACAACCTGATCAGTGGTAGCCTTGTCGAAAATTGCTTGAATGGCAGCAGTATCATCAGTAACACCATCACCTTTAGCTCCATTAGACTTGACACTCAAAAATGATGAGGCTGGTAAAGTTTCGTATTGTGGTTTGGTGCGTCCAAATAATTTGCCAGTAGAATCCAAAAGAGTTGCGGGTTTAGTGACGACATCTTGAGTGCCTTGGATAGCTTGGCCAGCATTAACACCAGTATAGACCTTTCCTTGTGCCCAGGATGCGATCTTGGTGTTTCCTGCAAGAATGGTGGATTTGGCAGTTGCATCGTAGACGGCGACGGGAACATTTGAGGAGAAGTCGACATTATCGATAACAAGAGTACCGTTGGTTCCGGCTTCTTTGATGTCGTAAACAGTAGATATGCCGATGGGAGTATTTGTAATGGTGCTGTCCATAATTGTGGCTGATCCAGCTGCGCGGCTTGCTGCACCGCCTGCCGACATATCGAGGCCAATACCACAGTTGCTGATCTTAAGATTCTGAAATGTCCAGAGCCAGGCCCAATTCAAATAGATAGCCGTTTGACAGTTGTTGAAGGTCAAATTTCGAGAAGTAAACTGCTGGCTGCCCAAGAAAGCACCATATTTGCCACCATTGAATGTCAAGTCGGCCATGAAACCACCACTACCATTATCCATAAAGATACCTTGTTGTTTGTTTTCGGTTCCACCATCAGTCCTCATGTTAAAAACAAGGTTTTGTAATGATGTAGCTTGAGCAACTTGCCAATGAATACCACTACCAGTTGAGACGGGCATAGCAGTCATATCGATGACAAAGTTCCTAATTTGACGGTAGAAGTTGTTTCTAAACGGTCATTAGTATCCACATTATCAAGATCATTGCATGATTAGAACTCACTGATTGGTGAACCAATTGTATTCAGGATCATATGGGTTTGCATCGAGCAAAGCCATACCAGCAAAGTTTGCAAGACCTTTAATTGTTGGGAGAGTAATAGCATCACCAACGAGTTGAGTGAAGTACTGCTGTCTGATGGGAGCTGAGATGGCATATGTTCCAGGTCTGTGATTAAGTTAGTGATATGCTGTGGAACCAATTGTCGAGGAGTAGAATTTGCAGATGAAGTAGGTAGTTTCAGTAACTTAAGGTATATAAACTTACGGAAAGTAAACAAGAGCAGGAGTAAGAGTGGTTGAATCGCAACCTTTACCACAGCGATTGCCCGCAGAGATTGCAGCATTGATAGCAGCAGTATCATCAGTCACACCTTGATTGTGAGTGTAAGTTTAATACTATCTGTATGGAGAAGGGTAAATTACCATCACCAACAGCACCAAAGTCTTTAACATTTCGGAAAACTTGATATGAAGCATCACCAAAAGCGGGAGCACCTTGTCGTTGAATCTGATGATGTTAGAGATGAATTCCATCTGATGAGAGAAAAGAAAAAAGGATGGTTGGACTTACTGTGGCGATCCAATAATTACTGGAAGCCGATGTTGCTGAAGTCGCTGCACCAGATGGATAGGGAGCGGGTGCACCGGACACGGTGAAAAAGAGGCGTAGAGCCAATAAAATAGAAATAAATGAGAAGGTAACCATCGTGAAGTAGAACCAGCTGCTGCGAGATGTTTTGTTTGTAAAAGAATGTGGATCCTGCCAGAGGGAAAGTTGTATCAGTATTTGTATTTTGTTTGCTGTGTGGTTGTTATGAAGAAGTAAAAGATTCTTGTTCCTCGTTTGCTTCTTGTTACTTTTGTAGGGAGTAGCGATGGTTCAACTTGATACCAGCACCAGCTAGTAAGATTAACTTTGTTGAAAAAATTTCCAGTAAATTTCCAAAGAAAATTTGAAGCAGAGGATGAAATTTGAAGGGGAATGGTTTGATAGGAGTAGGATTGGGTGGCTAATTGTATCTGTTATTGTGACCTTCGCCTAGAAAGGAACAATAAGGATTAAGCGGCGTGATTGTAATTTGCCATGAGAAGGTGAATCGGATTTCTGAAGCTATTCAAGTCATACGACCCCATTCCGTGACGCAAACACAATCAAACGGCCAGATGAACAAACCACCCGACACTTTGGCAAATCACCAAACAAGATGGGAAAGGGAAATTAGCAGATCTATGCCGAGGGAGTACTCACAACGTTCGAATTACGTCGTCGATAAAAAGAGAAAGGGTTGAAGAAAGGAATGTATGGCCCGCCAAAAGCTGTGAACTGATAATGATGATGATTCTTTCCATAGTGGCGGTCCTTGATCTTTATATCTACGGGGCCATAATTCTTCATTTCACCTGGTCCATCGTCCCATACCTCAAACAAATCATCATGGGCACAAAGAGAGGCTTCCTTGGTATTTTCTCCATATTGTCCAAGCGGTGTGCTAATCGGATGGCTCATGATTTGAAGGGAAGCTCTCAAATCCAATTAGAAAGAGATATATAGATCCCAGTGCTTCAGTCTCCCGTGTGCTTAAGGTGGTAATTAAGTGGCGAGTGCCTCAGAAAGGATATACTATCGCTTTGATTGGAAAGGGACACCGAGGTCCTTTACTTTGGGGCGAATTGATTCGACGTTGCTGCTGTATTCTGCTTGTTCAACCCAGTCAGTTTGTTTGTCGCTGCTACAGGGGTACAATTAGTGCTTCATCGATGAGTCGATAACAGGATCTGGATAATTAAGTTAAGGATGCTTGGATAACCCCTTGTCAATCACATCCCGCGGCAGTGCTCAGAGTGTGGAGGGTCAAAGACTGAGTGCAAGCAGAGAAGAGTTGAAACTTGGTGCTTTTGTGATATACGTTGTTGAGAGGACGTGATTGGTTTTTCGGAGATTTGTTGTGGCGGCTGATAGTGTCTAAGCTATCCTTGGATATTTCTGACCTCCGATACTGGATCAAAAGTCTTCACGCGCGGGAACATCTGAAAATAATATGGGGAAAGAATAAAGGGACGAGTGTCATCGCATAAACGCGTCGTCGATCATTCCCCTTCTTTTTAATACTCCGTACCAAAAATTAATTACTCCTAGTCACGTCCTTCCTTTCTATTTTCCGTAGTCGTACAAGCACAACGTACAGCGGACATCCAACATAATCTCATCCCATCGACGGCAGTTCTGATGAAATACTGTAACCTTACAGTGTTTGTGCCGCTGTACCCAGGTTGGTTAATTCGTGCATTTGTTTTCTACGCCGTCAGGCAGCCTGCAGCTCATCAAAGCTCCAGCCAGCATTTAGACATTAGTTTGCAGTTCAATATACGCGCACAATCAATAAATGCATCTTGGTTTGTTTCAACTCAGAATCCTGCTCACAGCGTTCCTGGCTAATAATTATTGGATGTTTCATGGGGCTATAAAAGGGCGCGTTTGTGAAACATGAACTGTAGCAGGATCTTTGTTTGGATGAACCTTGGGGAATTCTCCACCCCTATATATATATATATATATATATAGGTATCATTAATAAAACTACTGTGTCGGCTGCTCATAGCCAGAGAAAAGACTTTCCCAAAAGTCACTCTGGGGAATTTGATTGATGCCACGTGACTGATTGGTTTTCCAAGGTTGAAATGTACGGAGGAGTATATCAAGGAGCACCAGATAAGTCGCTGCTAGTGATCGACCTCAGAATCAATTTCTTTCTTTCGTTAGAATTTAACTTCCTTTTCTCCGATTGCTTGATTGTACGATTTCTGAAGCCGGCTTGTTCTTGCCATCATACCTCGTCCTCCACCCACAGTCTTCAAGTTTGTTTGTTTCGTAGGTAGTTGACATGACACTTGGCCAAAGCGTATGCAGTTCTCCTATGGAAATTCGGTTTGGACTAGACCACTTTGAACTGCCATAAAATAGGAATATCGGGGAGTGCAACTCATTGAGCTCTTCGCTTCCTTGGAATGGAGTATACTCTGGCAGGCATTCTATTCTACTTTTCTTGCCGTGTATGTCGGGCCATCTATAATGCAATCGAAAGTGCGTTATTCACTTTCATGGCAATCTAAGAAGCATGCACTGGGTAGATATTTTGAATGACCGAGCTGGTGAGCTCATCTGGGCAATTGAATTGAATTGACGTAATCTATCTTTCATTGACATCTAGATCTGATGGTAAATTAAGGATTTCAATAGGAATAAGCAATTGTATCGTATCATATCCTGCGCAGAAATTTAACCATCGAAGAGCTAGATCATGCTATTTTTGTTAGAGAGAGCCTCTTCTTAGCTCTGGGAAGATTGGGTATGAATAGACTTAGGTAGGTAAGCATACGCACAGCATATTTGTACCTAAGCAGATGCTGTATCTAGAAGAGGATATCAATTAACGATTGCCTCATCTAGTCAGTTGTCATGACTCCTCAAAGGCCCGAATCTCCTAGCCATGAAACTCAACCAACTTGGACGTCATGAAATATGATATAATCTAGAGAGCTATTATAGAGCCATTGCTATTAAAAAGATAGCCCCATCAATCCCGCCAAGCCATACCTTATACCTTACTTTTTGATAAGGCTAGCCTTTCTTCAGTGGCACTCAAAACCTATTCTGACCTCAATGCCTGAGAGTAAAAGTCTGCCACTCACCGCCCCTGCATTGACCATGCTAAGGATGGGTTGGATAGAAGCATCTCGAATCGAGAACTCAATGGAGCTTTCTGGGTAATAATGAAATCGAAGGAAAGGAGTTGTCAAAAAACAGTCAAACAAAAAAAGAGAGAAAGAAAAAGCTACAGTACATTCTACAACTTACTAGAAGCTTCCGAAGCACGTGATAATTAGCCTCAGAAACAAGCCTCAATTCTAGGGTGAGAGCGGGAGAACTACGGACTGGTCGAAGTGTTTAGTGTTTCCCCGCTGATAAGATGAGCGAACCACTGCGATAAACAAAATATAGAGGGGAAGAAAAAAAACAAAAAAGTGAGAGGAAATGGGAAAATGGGAAAATGTGAAAATGTGAAAATGTGAAAATGTGAAAATATGATCAGTAATTTGATTGAAGGATACTCTGCCAATTCTAAGTGTAAAAGGGAATATAGCTATAATAATTTACCTAAGTAAACCTTCAGTAAGTACTGTATTGATTGATTGTTTGCATTCAGCTAAATAAAATAATTCTAAAAAGTTCCATATACAAACATCGTCTGTATTGCCTTGTGCTGTTTCCATTTCCTTGATTGGTTCATCTAGCAGTGGCGCGTTGCTAGGTGGTCTAAAAAAGGTTAAGCGACGAAGAAGTTCCTTACAATTCTACCATTTTCTACAGCGAAGCCTTCCATAAAATCCCATTGATCTCCAACGAAATTCCAAATCTCTTTTCTTCTCCAGACCATTCTAAGATACCCTTTCCTTCAGCTTTTGTCTATTAGACTGAGATACTTCACCATAATCTTAACGACTTAATCAATACTTTGAATGTAAGTTTGGATCAACCATGTCATTTTGCGTTTGAAGCATCTTTCGACCCAGGATCAGAAACTGTTCTGGGAGCTCAGCCTCGAGGGAAAAGAGCTTCGATCTCTTTTCACACCCGGCTGTATTCTTACGATCGTTACTTGCAAGATCAAGAAGCTTGTATAGCATCAATTTCTTATCAAGAAAACTATGCTGACATACCATCTTCCCATAGTTTCTCCAATTACACATTGTCAATCACAAATATGGCTGGCGAAACTTTCGAGTTCCAAGCTGAGATTTCTCAGTTGCTCTCTCTCATCATCAACACAGTTTACTCAAACAAGGAGATCTTCTTAAGAGAACTTGTTTCTAACTGTTCCGATGCTCTCGACAAGATCCGTTATGAGGCTCTCTCAGATCCCTCCAAGCTCGATAGCGGCAAAGATCTCCGCATCGATATTATCCCAGACAAGGAGAACAAGACCCTTACCATCCGCGATACCGGTATTGGTATGACCAAGGCTGTAAGTGTCTTCACAGTTGAACACTCAAGATGATCTGCTAACAAATGCATAGGATCTCGTCAACAACCTCGGTACGATTGCACGATCTGGTACCAAGCAATTTATGGAAGCTCTCACCGCAGGTGCTGATATCTCTATGATTGGTCAATTCGGTGTTGGTTTCTACTCCGCCTACCTCGTTGCAGACAGAGTTACTGTCGTCTCGAAAAACAACGATGATGAACAATACATTTGGGAATCCAGTGCCGGAGGAACTTTTACCCTTACTCACGATTCCGAGGGTGAGCAACTCGGCCGTGGTACCAAGATCATTCTTCACTTGAAGGATGAGCAATTGGATTACTTGAACGAGTCAAAGATCAAGGAGGTCATTAAGAAGCATTCAGAGTTCATCTCCTACCCAATCTATCTCCACGTTGCCAAGGAGACTGAGACTGAAGTTCCAGATGAGGAGGCTGAAGAGACCAAGGAGGAGGATGATGAGAAGAAGGCCAAGATCGAGGAGGTTGATGATGAGGAAGAGAAGAAGCCAAAGACCAAGAAGGTCAAGGAGACCAAGATCGAGGAGGAAGAGCTCAACAAGCAAAAGCCAATCTGGACCAGAAACCCCGCCGACATCACCCCAGAGGAGTATGGTTCATTCTACAAGTCCCTCTCCAACGACTGGGAAGATCACTTGGCCGTCAAGCACTTCTCTGTTGAGGGTCAACTCGAATTCCGTGCCATCCTTTTTGTTCCAAAGCGTGCTCCTTTCGATCTTTTCGAGACCAAGAAGACCAAGAACAACATCAAGCTTTACGTTCGTCGTGTCTTCATCACTGATGATGCCACTGATCTCATCCCCGAATGGTTGAGCTTCGTTAAGGGTGTTGTTGACTCCGAAGATCTCCCACTTAACTTGTCTCGTGAAACTCTCCAACAAAACAAGATCATGAAGGTTATCAAGAAGAACATCGTCAAGAAGGTTCTTGAGCTCTTCCAAGAAATCTCCGAGGACAAGGAGCAATTCGACAAGTTCTACTCTGCTTTCTCCAAGAACATCAAGCTCGGTATCCATGAGGATTCCCAAAACAGAGGAGTTCTTGCCAAGCTTCTCAGATTCAGCTCCACCAAGTCTGGTGATGACATCACCTCTCTCTCTGACTACGTTACCCGTATGCCAGAGCACCAAAAGAACCTCTACTACATCACTGGCGAGTCCCTCAAGGCTGTTCAAAAGTCACCATTCCTCGACTCCCTCAAGGCCAAGAACTTCGAGGTTCTTTTCTTGGTTGACCCCATTGATGAGTACGCCATGACCCAACTCAAGGAGTTCGAGGGTAAGAAGCTTGTTGATATCACCAAGGACTTCGAGCTCGAGGAGACCGATGAGGAGAAGAAGACACGTGAGGAAGAAGAGAAGGAATTTGAGGGTCTTGCCAAGGCTCTCAAGAACGTTCTCGGTGACAACGTTGAGAAGGTTGTTGTCAGCCACAAGCTTGTCAACGCTCCTTGTGCTATTCGCACCGGTCAATTTGGTTGGTCTGCTAACATGGAGCGTATCATGAAGGCACAAGCTCTCCGCGATACCTCCATGTCATCATATATGTCTTCTAAGAAGACTTTCGAAATCTCTCCTAAATCATCAATCATCAAGGAGTTGAAGAAGAAGGTTGAGGCTGATGGTGAAAATGATCGTACTGTTAAGTCGATCACTCAACTCTTGTTTGAGACTTCCCTTCTCGTTTCTGGTTTCACCATCGAGGAGCCAGCTGGATTCGCTGAGCGTATTCACAAGCTTGTCTCACTCGGGTTGAATGTTGAGGAGGAGCCAGAAACCACCGAAGAGGCCGCCGCCACTGAGACAACTTCGGATGCACCAGTTGAGAGTGCTATGGAGGAGGTCGACTAAATTCAAAAAGTGGCTGGGTTTTCGGGACAGTGGAGTTTTAATGGTTGGGTTTTCGGACATGCATTGAGCCTGTTACTATTTCTCTTTTGATGCTCTTATTTTCTCTCCCACGTGGCCTTCATACATGAGGCATAATCTTAAAAAAGTACTTTGTGATAAACATTGCGCATTAAGATAAAGAGGAAAGAGATAGCAGAATACAAAATATTTCGTGTAACATCTGTGTGTTCAGTTGATTTGCTTTGGAGTGACAATACAATTCTCACATTTTATCGTGAGCGACAATTAATATTCCCATCAGTTTCTCTATGAAATTTTCTCCCGATTTTGCTCAAGTGTACCAAAAATCCTTTTCTGTGTTGAGGCGAGAATCCACTCGGGCCGGATATGGTGTCTTAAGGTTCGAGGCGTTCCTGAAAAGTTACACATGTAAGTTACATATGCACGACATGACATCTAGAATTACTGGGACTCTTGGATCTGTGCGACAGAAAACATGCTCACCATCTACTCTTTCCAGTCTGCTGGGTAGAACATGATTAACATTATGACTTTATTTCCAATAGACTGGCTTGTCTCGGAGACTAATTGGATTGCAATTTGCATTGAATCGATTACGAATGGACTAGATGGACAAATGGGATTGTTTGCACTTTCCTTGGTGATACTCTCGTAGTAATCTACTCGTTTATCTCCGCCAAAATTGGAGCGGAGGGATACATTCTGATCATGGGAGTTCGTCATCCGGGGACTGAGAAGATGTTCTTGCCTTTATTACAATGTTGAATATTGGGAAACGTCGATTGATTTTCGGAGACGGCACAGTTAGCTTGAAATCGTTTGTTGGTTGTGCTATGGATTTGTGTGATGGCATTGAATGGGGAAGGTACGATGGGTTCATTTGTACGCTTTTGATCAACGATATCTACCTTGATGGATCAGAAACAAACTCAATTAAATGATGGAGGGGTATAAAGTGTTGCTGTTCCCTTGATTTTGGTCTTGGAATTTTCTTCTCACCACACACATACACTGAGCTTTTACTTCTTTTCGCTCCTCGCTTTTTATACAGTACTGCACTACTGCTATATATCACAACACAATACAACACATTCGCTGCTTACAATCCATTTGAATCTCAATTTATTTCTCACTCTCAATTCAATTCAATTCAATATCCTCAATCACAATCAATCTTTCACCTCACTAGTTTACACACTTCACCAGAATCTCACATATTCAACCGCAAAAATGCACAACAAACTCCTCCTAACAACCTTCGTCCTCCTCCCAACCCTCTACGCAGCCCCAGCACCTGCCTCAGGTACAGAAAATTATTCTCCTAACTATTCTCCTCCATCTGTCTCCGTCCCGTCGCTTCCTTTCCCCTCCGCTCCAAGTATTCCAACCACTGGAGGAAGTGGTGGCGGCGCTCTTGCGGGACTAGGTAATCTTGGGGGCCTTTTGGGTGGGCTTCTTGGTGGACTTGGTGGTGGTGGTGGTGCTGCTGCTGCTCCTTCTGTGCCAGTCCCTGCTGCGCCAAGTGCACCGGCGTTGCCTTCTAGTAGCTATACTCCTGCACCTGTTCCTCAAGCTTCGGCTACGCTTCCAGCTATTGGTGGTGGTAGTGGAGGTGGATTGTCAATTGGTGGTGCTGCATCAGCTTCGGCTACACTTCCGGCTGTATCTGCCACGCTTCCAGATGTTGGAGGTGGCTCAGGATCGGGCTCGGGATATAATGGTGGTGGAAATGGTGGAAGTGGACCTGGCGTATCTGCTTCGGTTCCAGGCGGTCCAGGTATTTCGGCTGGTGTGGGAACTTCGGATGGAGTCACTGCTACGCTTCCTGGTATTACCGTTTCTGTAACTCAACCTGGTGGACCAGCTCTTCCTACTTCTGTAGATGGTGGCTCAGGTGGTCCTGCCGGATCTGTTTCTGCTGCTTGTCTAGCTAAGGATTTATCGACATATTCGTTGGTGATTGCTACAAACATTCCTCAAACAACTACTATCATCTCGCATTTCACGATTCCAATTGTTCAAACTATTTCCACGCATGTTGTGCAGGCTATTTATCAAACCATTACCGTCCCTACTACTGTTTTGAAGACTATTCAAAGCACTGGAACTACTACGATTGTTGCCACTTCTATCAGTACTAGTGAGTTTTCCCCTCCCCTTTTCCTTCCTGTCCTGTTCTAGTATGGAGATCTTGAATTAATATGCGAGATTAGGTCTTCAAACCTCTCTTACTGCTATTTGTCAAGGTGGTGGTATTGATCCAGCCCCAACTTTTCCAGGTGGTTCCAGTGCCAATGGTGCTGCGAGCTCAAGTGCACCAGGTGCTACGGTTAGTGTTGGACTACCAGGTGGTGGTAGTGGAGGCAGTGGAAGTGGAGGAAGTGGAGATGGAGGAAATGGTGGTGGATATTACTCAAGGATCTGAATTGGTTGACGAGTGACAAGTTTAAGTATATGGGATGGGATATTATGGGTTCAGATTGCTCTAATTTTGACGTCGGATTTTATGTTGCACAAGTTGCTATTGTCATTTTGGGGTCCTAGAGGAGGATACTTTGAAAGAGTTATGGGGGAAAATACATTTGTGACAGGAGCTGAGAGGGCTTCTTCTGGTGGATAGTATAAATTGATTGAAATTCATCACATTTAATGGATTTGAGGTGTGAATGGTTTCAAAGTTGGCGAAAAAGGTCTTTGGCTGTATTCTATCTCAACTCAATTTTCAAATACCCCTGATACAGTGAGATGATCCAGCATTACATCGCACATGTACATGCATTATCATTTATCTTCCATCTAGTACCTAGTTAGTATCCGATTAGAGCCCATCAACTCTATAACTCCATAGTAAGATCAACTCTACAACTCCATACATAGTAAGATCAACACGAAAACCAGACTAAGGTTGAGATTTCAGGTGAATAAGAGGGTGGATGAGTGAAAGAAAGATGGGATGATGTCACGATTCACGGTTTAGATTATAGTAGTATTACTGATGTCGGTGATTTAGATGCCGATTATCGGGGGGTATAATTTAACTGTTGTTTTCAAGGGGCCTAATCGTTTACGAATAGGAACCCAGGATTCATAAGATAAGTATCCTAGACAATTATATTAGAATAGGACAGGTGTTCTAATTAATCGATTGTAATGAGATAATTACCTTAGAGGATATCGTATCCCAAGGCAAAAATCCCTAAAGGAAACCTCCTGGAACAAGTATTCCAGGAAAGGAAAAGCCTCAGGATTGATCATATAATGAGGAATCCTAAGAGCTTGGAAAGCTTTTAAAGCTCTAGAAGCCTTTTGGAGTTTTTAAACTTTACAAAACTCCTTTCTATTCACTAATATATAGTCAGAATAGTTTTATAGTTTAAGAGCTTCGTGTTCAACTTAGTTATCAATTAGTTTACCTACATTCTAATTGATCTAGTAACGAATTCATTTTCAAATGAATAACTAATGATTAATAGCCTTAACCTACAACTACCAACCATACGAACCTCAGGCAGCCGCTGCCTCGACCAGATCGTTACAGATGATATGAGAGAGGACGAGGGAATAATCAAGAAGAGTAATAATTAGAGATGTTGGGATGAAAATGAAAACTCGGGGGTTGATAGACAGGGAGGGTGAGTGAATAAGAGGTAATTTGAGAATTGAGTTTGAGAGAATATTATTATTTTTTTATTTTTATTATTTGATGTTATTATATTATATAGAATGAATAGATAGATAATATAAGAGTAGAATAATTTATTTATATTTATATTTTATTTTTTAATATAAATAAAAGAAAACTCTTTTATTATAATTAATTAATTAATAGATGAGTTATCATCATATCAAAAATATAATCTTATACTCAGTTAAAGTAAAAACTTCTCAAGGAAAGCTTTACTAATTATTGAAAAACCTAAATTAATAACTAAACTACTCAAATATCTAATTTATTATAAATCTTGATATCGTCATTTCTGATTTGAATAATTATACGTCATTTTCTTTATAAAATCCACTCTCAATTTATTCCTTTCAAAAAAACGAAGATATTCTTGGGAATGGAAAAGACAAAAAAGTAAATGTCCCAATTACAGTTTTGATGAAAGACTTCCTCCCTCGTGAAATATACGCCTCGTAGTGAAATAATCAGTCCCTCGGGAAACGTTGATAAGTACTAAGGTAAATAACATCCTCCAGCCATAACCAAATTCATCCTTGTGAACATGACTTTGTAAACTGGTGAGCGCTTGGTCGGGAATGCAGCGATTTGATCAGGGGTGATCATTGTTTCCTTGCCTTTCTTCTTGGAAGAACCAGTGGCTGGATTGACTTGAGCACCGGCAATGGCTCCCGTAACTCGAGTTGCATCTGCTTGTCCGCCTGTACCGACGATTTCTCCATCATTGTTTTTGTATGGATCAGTAGGGACTTCAATATCCCACAGACGAACAGTACCATCAGCACCACCCGAACACAAGACTGTGGATTCGACGCTAAATGATAGAGACCAAATTCCACCTTTTCCATGACCTCTGCAACGCTTGATTTGTGATCCTTTTGCAAGATCCCAAAGAATGATACTTCCACCTGAATCGGCAGATGCTAGAATCTTGCCATTCGGAGCGCATTGGAGAGCACTGATGGTGTCGGTATGACCAGTGAAAACACGAACGCATTCACCAGTTGTGAAAGACCACATACGAACAGTTTTATCAGCTTGATCACTAGCCGAGAAAACATATGCTCCGTTTGGATGCCAGGCGATTTGATTGACGTTAGAATCATGACCAATGAACATTCGAAGGTATGAGATATGATCTTGTCCCCAAATACGAACAGATCGATCATGACCGCAACTTAGAAAGTAATGACCGAATGGTCCCCACTTTACATTCCATACTGGACCTTCATGACCTTTGTATACAACGACGCAGGCCCATGCTTCGAGTGACCAAAGACGGATTGTTCTATCTGAGGAGGAAGAAAGAAGTAATTTAGGAGCAGTAGATGTATCAGTATCATCTGCACCTCGAATTGAAGGAGAGAATGACACAGCATAAACAGGTGCGGAATGACCAATTAGACGACGAGAGTTGGATGGTGGTGGATCATTTGGACCTGCTTTGGTTTCACTTGACAATGGTTCGCCATGTAGATGCCAAACACGAATGTAAGATTCCTCAGTACCAACAGCAACCAAGTTATTGTCGTCGGAAAACTCGATACAGGTAATTCTGGTCAAACATTAGTATTTACTGAAAAATCTCGGCTGTGGCAACTTACGTATCAAGAGTATTATGAAAAGTAAACATGCAAATCGATACTGCAGGACCAACACCACCGCTTCGACTCTCAATCTTGAATCTATCCCGATATTCCTTGATCTTTTGAACTTCCATGGTTACATCCTTAGCACGAGAAGGAGGGTAAGGAATATCGTTGCGGCTAGGTCCTTCACTGCCTTCCTCACGCTTGATACTTTGATCAAACAATTCTACCAAGGATGGCCTACCGGGCTCAGGTGGATTCTTGGCATCTTCTTCATCAAGTTCTGCGCGAACATCTGCAGATAGATCCTCCTCCAATGACAATGGGCCCAGTAACAACCTGGCATTATTGTCTGCAATGTCCTTGTTTGTAACTCCAGTAAAAGCACCGGGAATTCCTTCTTGAAGATCGGACTCTTCTGTCTCAACACCATGTGCTTGATTTATTATAGCCTCGAAACTAAATTGATCAATGGGTCCTCGTTTGGTTTCTTGGATTTCGCAGTATGTCTGTAACAAATAAATGATAACGGATCCTCCTTTCTTGCTGTTTGATTCAAGATGGGTAATGAGGTTGTAGTAAACATGGGTATTGAGAGGTATTCGGTACTTTGAGGATAGATAAAGCTTCGTGATAGAGTTATCATTAATCTGTTGTGGCAAGCTGATTGTCTCAAAGGTAGTGAGCTCATCTGCGTGAACTTGTTGGAACTGATCTTTGAACTCATTCAAAAAAGCTTTTCCATCACTTGCATAGTTACTTGTTATGAGCTCAATGAATGAATAAACAAAGATAGGCCAAAGGAGTCTGCGTAACTCAAACTGTGATAATGGTGTTAAAGTAACCAATGTTGTGAGCTGGAAGAGTTTTTGCTCACCTTGTAAATGTCTAAGTTAGACTCAATCCAATTACTCAATAATCGAAATCCTTTTGCGTATTTTGCCGTACCAAGATCCTCTGCACGTTCTTGAATAGGCTTTCCATCTCTATCAAGATTGGCGGATTCTGAACGTAGCATTTGCTCCGTCCGATTGTATCCCTTCTTGACGAGATACTCGATAACCTGTGGATCGTTGAACAATGGATTAGTAGATGCTAGCAGAATATTCCTGCTCAAAGCAAATGCAATAGGCGCATAACGCGATGAACCAAAAAGAGGAGGATATGGGGAGCCATAAATGAGTGCAGGTGGATGATAGGAAAAATATTATATGTGAAGGTGCTGGTATTTGGTTCATGGCAGGAAGCGGAGGACTTGAAACACCAGCACTTCGAGCAGTGAAACTTGGAACACGAGAAGGCATTGAAATGAGGGAAATGGCAGGGCATGGAGCCGCAGTACTTGGAGGATGAGCAGTTACTGTAAGCTTGGTGGTACCAAGATGTGGAGCACCAGATGGCACTGAACGTGATGTAGAGGGATGTGATGTAGTATGCATGATTTGACCTGAAGGTTCAGACGTAATGACAGAAATCTATTGCAAGAAGTTTGGGATGATGTTTTATAATAAGACTTTGAAGAAAAACTAAGTAAAAAAACAAGCACTGCAAGTAGCAGCAGAAATATATTTGTCAAATGGAAGCGAATGAACAAATTATGATTTAGGATCTTGTTGATTTGACGATAAACAGAATAAGAAACACGGCATAGAAGGCCGCTAGGTCCGAAGAGGGATCGGGCCTTAGATCAAAATGCACTGTTTTAGAAAAAAGAACTTGAAATATTGATCTCCTTCACCGGAGCTTCTTCTCAAACATTTAGTCTTTTTAATGTTGAAACCAACTATAAACATCAATCTTTCAAAAACTATTGCACTATGGTATGCATATGGACATATAGTGCAGAAGATGATTGGACAAGACATCCGTTGCGGTTCTCCTAATTCAACCAAATACAATCAAGTAAACGTCTGTTTGAAGAGGCAGTTGTTGGTATCCTGTGTCCAGTGTCCCGTATCCAATGATGACACGTGACTAATTTGTTCATATTTGGTTTCCATTACAAACTGTGCTAAGGCTACTTGCATTTGCACTGATAGGATCTCAAGAGAAGGTACTTGTTTGTGGAAAAAGATTTGAATAGAACGTGGAATGATTTGATGATAATATTGACAGAGAGTGCTGGAATAAAATGAGAAGGAGGACTTACAATCTGATTTAGATTTTGTTGAGACATCAGTGAACCTGATTGTGAAGGTCCTTGGGAATTTTGTTGTGTGTTTATTCCAGCACTTGGAGGTCCGTTTGGTTGTCCTGAATTAGACATCCTTATTGACTCTGGCTGTCTTTACAGCTCGTTGAATTTATCCTTTGCTACTACTCTGATAATCCTTCTAGGTTTCCTTTATCACTGAATATTACCTCCACCAATCACTGACCATGCCAAAGATTGTGGAATCTTTCAGAAAAAAAGAAAATTCACTCGAAACCTTCAACCTTATGTCTATGTATAGCTGATTACGTTATGGAGAATTTGGATATTATGAAAGAATTAAGATGAAGTTTATCCTGTTCGAGTCTCCTTGTAATAAATTGATCATGTTGATATATCAAGGAGGTTAAGGTTTAGATAATTGGAGTGAAATTTTGGCACTAATGCAGCCGACCCGCAGAGCCGCATCACTAAGGCTGTAACCCTAGACAAAGCAACTTGCACTGTACGCCGTCACTCCTCGAATTTAGAGCTATACCTGCCTACAAAATCAAAATCAAAATCAAAATCATCCTCGCAGCCAGCACATATCAAAGTCAAACAAAGATTCCCAAAGATTCCAAATCTTTCATTCAATCCTTGATAATATCATCATGTCTTCTCCACCCGAGGAAGAAACCTCAACCTTTCGACCATTCACGAAAGCTGAGCGCATTCAACAACTCAATGAAATAGATAAGGTAACACCGACAGATCGCAATTCATTTTTATGCATTATTTAATTATTGGCAGAGTATATTACAACTTGTTCAGACTGCCGGACAAACCCTCAAAATTCTTACTGCATCAAAAGAACCGGGAGAAGCACAATCATCACAAGAGAAACGTCAAGCTTTCGAGAATGCCTCAAATGCTTATTTAAAAACTCTACAATCCGTCGATGTGCGATTACGAAGACAAATACTGGGGTTGGAAGAAGCAGATATTATACCAGCAGAGAAGGTGAAATCGAAAAACAAGGGCAAACCAGCAGCTGAACCTGTGGAAAGACGGCCAGCAGTTCCAGGAAATATGGCGGGGAATAAAGCAGATGATACAATTACAGAAGGAGGGTTGGGAAATCTTGATATTGGTTTCTTGAATAGTCGAAGTGGAAGGGTTGGCAGAGATATGGAGGCTGAATTATGGGCAAAGAGTAGAAGGTTTCTGGAAGATTTGGATAATGGCAATTATAATTCCCAGCCATTATCCCAAAGGAAGGACGAAATTAAGCAATCAGACGGGTAGATGCGGAGTTAGCAGCATACTCTTTGAATTTGGGCAGGCTGCAGGGACATTTTGATACATATTCTTATGGGACTGGTCTCTTCGTCATTTATATTCGCCCCGAAGCTATCCATAAGCTCTCCTTGCTTCATGTACTTGTGCTCCTGCCTGAGATGGTGATAAAAAATAAGCTGTTCAAAGAGAAATGAGCTAACCGATAATTACCCGGCAACCTCAAATTACACTTCGCCTTGATCGCAAGATAATATTAAACTCTCGTGCACCATATTATAGCAACTACTATAATCCATTGAAGGAAGCTTGTGAATATTGTACTTCAGTTGAATTTGTTGCTGTCCGAATAGCTTTGATCCCTGTAACTCTACCACGGTATATTCCGAAGGTTGTCTGTGGCGCCAGCCGATTAGCTATCCATCTCGAAATCCTACAACCATTAACTCAACTTCTTTAGGTGCCATATATACTTCGTTATGGATTTAGAAGACGGGGGAGGCTCGCCTTGGGGAGGTACGTTTTTCTAAACTGAAATGCGCACACTGTGAGAAGCCGGTGTTGACAACTATATCAGATGTTCCTTCTCAAGCTCAATCGACACCGAGCTTACCCAAACCGGCGGAGTCTGCTACAGAAGGAGGTCAGTCATCATCATACTGAGAGTGTTCGAATCTAATATTTCTTGTTAAAGAGTCCTCGGAAACCGCATCACAGACCCTGGCCCCGCCAGCTACTCAAGGCAAAACATCTGGAGGACGCACGATACGTACCCCTCGACGCGCTGGAGCACAACCCGTTCGACTTCAAGCTTTAGATGATTCTTTAGGACCATTAGGGCCTTTGGGTGATAATGCGCCAACACCGAAAGCCGACGAGCCTCCTGCGCCGCCCCAAAAAGAACAAACTGTCACACACAATCCGCGGCAACCAACAGCTTCAGCGCAAAGCCCTACTGTTAGCCGGAGTATGTTGGGTTCAGTGGATTTGAATGAGGATGTTGAGTCTAGTGCTGGACCTCGTATACCACCTCCTGTTGAACCATCCCAGGGAGGCCCCGTTCGAAGAGATACAACACCTAGTGTGAGCATCGAACAAGCTGCCAAGCCTACTTTCTACATCACAGTCGGGGATCCACACAAAGTTGGGGATTTGACTAGCTCTCATATCGTGTATTCAGTTGAAACAAAGGTAGGAAGGATATGTCACTTCATCAAAAGTGTCGCTTAACTGATCATGAATTAGACTTCTTCCAAAGCATATCGTCAACCAGAATTTACTGTCACTCGAAGATATAGGGATTTTTTATGGCTCTACAACACTTTACATGCAAACAATCCTGGTGTTGTTGTACCTCCACCTCCTGAGAAGCAAGCTGTAGGAAGATTTGATACCAATTTTGTCGAATCTAGACGTGCAGCATTGGAAAGAATGCTTAATAAGACAGCTGCCCATCCAACCCTTCAACATGATGGAGATTTGAAGTTGTTCTTGGAGAGTGAGGCTTTCAATGTTGATGTTAAACATAAAGAACGAAAAGAACCCGGACTTGGTGAAAGTAAAGGCATGTTTAGTGGACTAGGTATTTCTGTTGGTGGAGGAGGGAAGTTTGTTGAACATGATGATGTGAGTACGTGATATGGCTAGAGATTTGCATTAGCTGACATTATTAGTGGTTCCATGAACGACGAATTTATCTGGATGCCTTGGAGAATCAACTTAAAGCTTTGTTAAAAGCCATGGATGTTGTGATTAGTCAACGTAAAGGTCTTGCTGAAGCTGCGGGTGACTTTTCCGGTTCCCTCAGAGCACTCTCAGCAGTTGAACTCTCCGCGTCATTATCCGGTCCTCTTGAAAGTCTTGCAGATTTGCAAGTTAGAATCAGAGAACTTTATGATAGACAGGCACAACAAGATGTATTGACCTTGGGTATCACTATTGATGAGTATATTCGTTTGATCGGAAGTATCAAGCAAGCATTTGGTTCACGTCAAAAAGCATGGCACTCATGGCATGCCGCGGAAGGTGATTTACAAAAGCGTAAGACTACTCAGGAGAAACTATTACGCCAAGGGAAATCACAACAAGATCGTTTGAATCAAATGCAAGGAGAAGTGGCTGATTCTGAACGTAAAGTCCACCAAGCAAGATTGTTATTTGAGGATATGGGACGCCTCATGAAGGCGGAACTCGACAGATTTGAACGTGAAAAGGTTGAGGACTTCAAGAGTGCTGTTGAAACATTCTTGGAGAGTGCTGTGGAAGCTCAAAAGGAGGTTAGTTATTGCAACTTAAAGCCAGAGATTTTGTACTAATATTCCTTAGCTTATTGAGCTTTGGGAAACTTTCCTTATGCAAGTTGATGCTGAAGAGGACGAACAAGTATTTTACAAACCTCCTGTAGAGCCCGCAGCACGCCCTTCTTCGGAAACCGGACTTTCAGGTGAAACTGCTACCGAATCACAAGCTGCAGCCGTGGTAACCGCAGAAGAAGAAGAGTAATGAATGACACAATGATATCACGTTTTGAAAAGTAAATTGGGAGAGCGAACGAAAAATGGAGAGATGAACCAATTACCAGATCATGAGTGATGGTGATATGCTGGTTGTAGTATCTTTTACATAGAATAATATTTCAATTCTGAATGCACCCCCACCCCTGGTTAGAATGCATTTTTCGTACCTTAATGGTATGTATGCATTGCGAGGTGAGACCATGTTTCTTCGTTCATCGTACAATTCGACTCGGTGGGTCTCTAATAACCTCTGCTTTGGAAAGCTCTTGGAGGAGAATATCTTTTCAACAGCTTCATACCAACCAAAGCTCCTTCATCCTAATAATTATCATACTACCCCTCACTTACTACCGTCACTCACGCCCCCCACTCACACTCTTTCCAATCTACTTTTTCTCCTTCCCACTTTTCGTCCTAACAGCTCCCTTCATACTCGCACTATCCCTTTGGGTACCCCCACTAATCAAATCCATCAAATTATCCATATCTCCCATCTCCTCTCCGTTCCCACTCTCTCCCGCTGACTTCTTCCCTCCTTCTCCCTCCCCCTTCTCCATATCCCCGTCCCATCCCCGTCCAAACCTCTCTCTAAATGCGCTCAGTCGCCCCGCCTCATCATTCTCAACATTCCGTAACGAATCTAACGATGGCTGCCATAAAGGATGATTGCGTGTATCTTTTGTACTGCGGTAAATTGGTGCGGGGGAGGTGGAGCGCGTGAGGTAGGTTGAGCCATCGGATAGGGTAACGAGTTGCGTGAAGGTGTAGGGACGGAGTGGACGCTTTAAGAGGGTTGCATGTCGGATTTGGTGGGTGATGGTGGAGGTTATTGGGAGGGTTGTGTTGGTGAGGGAGGTGGTGCGGCGGAGGGCGAGGGTTGGGAGGGACATTTTTTGGGTGCTTTTTTATAAAAAAGCCTGTGATATGGAAGGGTGTTAATTCGAGAGAATAAAACCTCCGGTATAAGTTGTTGGAAGATTGAATTGGCTTCGCAGACAAGAAATCAGTGTCCTCGTCGCAGTTGACGAGGCTTGAATCGATATTTGTTTTCTGAGAACTTTTCTACGGTAGCCGCAAGGACCAATGACGAATCCAATATAATTTCAGCCTTGTGAAACCTTGCGTGGATACATACAGAACGTCTTGCAAAGTCTAAATATTTTTTGACTCAATTGACGACGGAATCAATTTAGAATTCTGTGTCGATTAATCTGTATGAATTTTAATACTGTGTAAGACTGGAAAATATGATAGCTGCTCGAAATCCTCGGAGTTTGCTTTATACAAGCCAATCTACTCTTGCAAGAAGCTTTCACGAATTGTTCTGGAGATGGAGTTCATTGGAAAAGACTTCTAAGAAATGTATAGTATCCTTTTCATTCAAGTTCAAATTCTTGTATATTTATCTTACTGACAATATTTCCTGGATCCCTAAGACCATACTCGTTCTTTTCGACAAAATGCATTTTCAAAATGCATTCATCAGCATTCAAGAAAAAACAGCAGCTTGTCTGATCCATCTCCTTCACTACCCACCGGCGCAATCGAACCAACAAACATCCCCAAAGATACCCCAGCAGATAGTCAGCCTAGACCACCCGAACTGGAAAACCTCGCACTTGAGCTCCGCCAAGTAATGCGCCATGTCGTACACTCCGTTGTAGTCCTCACTACTCCACACCGAACTACTGCCTCCGGAGGATCAATACAAGCAGCAGCTATGACATTATCTTCTTTTACAACCCTCACACTCTCACCAGAACCCATTGTTACATTCAACATCAAGCGTCCTTCCCGAACACTTGATGCGCTAAAAGCAATAGTACATCCAGATACACTTCCAACAAAACACCCAAAAGATAATTATTTTCATATCCACATTTTAGAATGCAGCACTCCTGCCGCCCAAATCGCCACCCATTTCTCCCGTGGTGGTCCTATTTCCTCCGAGGATCTCGCATTGATATATCCTAAAACTAGAACCGCCGACCATACCTCAAGAGGAATCAAAAGAACACTCGAATGTGAGATTTTGCAAGATGGGAATGGTGGGTTTATTGATGTGGGTGATCATACCTTGGTTTTTGGGAAGGTGATCAACATTGGTCGGGACCAAGCGAACCCTCATAGGAAGAAACACCCGTGGGGAGGTTTGTGTTATATGCACGGGGATTATCGTATAGCAGCTCCAATGATGTCTCTTAGAGCGAAAAAAGATGCAATTGTGCAAGAAGATAAAGTTGGAGATAAGAAGGCATTGAGTGTAGAGAAGGATGGAGAGCTTGCCGAGGATTCAATTTTGATTAGTGAAGAAAAGAATCCGGAATCATGAGCTCTGGTTCATGGTATGTATAAAGAATCTTCGTGTTCCCATCTTTGCATTCTTGGTTTTACAATTTATTGTATTGTATTGTATTGTGTTGTATTGTGTTGTATCTTTTTCCAGCCCCAAAAACTCCCAAAATACCACAGTCAAGTACCTAAGTAGACCTAGGCCCAAAAGTTACTCATCAGTCTATCTGTCCATCTATCCATCTATCCATCTATCCATCTATCCATCTATCCATCTATCTAATCATTCCGTCGTAAAGCTCGTCGTTGCTGGTTTTGTGGTATGTAATCCTAGCTGCTCGTTAGATGTCTTTCCTCACCATATTTACTAGCATTTAAACATACCCAAAGCAGCCGACTGTATCTCTCTCTCTCACACACACTTAGACTCTCACTCTTTCTCTTAATTGCCATATACAACTTTCTAGTTGCTGATAAGCAAATGTATTTCTATACTCTATTTACTGGTAAATGAACATACAAAAAACAGCTGCGCTGCATGGAGATCATCTGTCTCCTCCATCTCTGACAATGCCTTGCCGTGGAGGCAGAGGTTATCACGCATACCGGCACCGTGTCCTCGGTATAATGCTTGCACGTGTCCGTGGAGGCTAACGGCAGTCTGTGTATCACGCAACGGGGACTTGAGTCTAGGTTCGCTTTTGTTTGAATGCCTGCATTAATATTGGTATTATCCCTATAAAGAGGGATGTGTATTACTTTATTGTTTAGTGCATGTAGTGCATAGACGAGCATGGCGAATTTACTATTATAAGATCTTACATGCACGGGCATTTATTTATCCTGATCATCTTATAACAACAAAATCAAGTTTGTGGTGGCTACGACTATGTTCTTAGTGCTATTTTGCTGATTTTTTGCTTAAATAGTGTGATAAGGAGGGGTTGTAAGGAGGATTGGTATGTAGATCGATGAGAGATTTGTTGTATATCTTATATCTTTTTTGTCAATTTATGGCTGCTAGTGTTTAAAGTTGGAAGTTGGAAGTTGGTGCAGGAATTTTATCTGTTGTGTTGTTGTTAAGCGAGGGGGTTCGGGGTTTCGAGGGTTGGAATGGTGAAGTGAGCTATTGAGATGAATCTCTTGTGGTTGTTATCTGATGTACGGTTTATTGTTTTATCTTGGGTGGAAGTTTCAAATTTGGGAATATTCCCATCACGTGTTTTTATATCTGGGTTTGAAAAATATTAGAGTTAAAGTCTTGATTTTGGAAGTTAAATTAGTAGATGATGTAGGGAAGGGAAGGGAAGGTTTATAGTTTAAGGAGTGTTGAGCTGGGAACTGCTCAGTTTGGATTAGAGATTATATGTATTGCTTCAAGATATACTCTCGAATACCTGAGTATTGAAAGGAGATAAATTGTCTGAGTTTGGATTTGTAGTTTTAACGGCATCTTCTTGTATACTAAATGAATAATTAGAAAGTGCTTTTGATCCAAGTAAAAATATATAATTGAGACTATTGTATCAAGTGATTATAATTTGAAAATAATCATTAATTATTTAAAATATAAAGTTTCCAACAAGTTTACAGATGCCAAAGAGATAACCTTTTATAAATATATTTCTTAAATAAAGTCTCTGATACTACACTATCGAATGTCCTGGATTATTTCGTAATTAATTTTAAAATATAATTCGAAAGCTGAAGGATTGTTTGCTTATATCTACAAGGAGTGTACTTAAATGAGAGTGAGAAATCTGTCACATTAACTCGCTTAATTCATTCATTCATCTCGTTTCTCCACTCATTTCTCCACTCATCCGTCCCCTCTCACCATTTTCTCGTTCCTGATTCTCGCTTCCGCAAAATTCTAAAATAAAAGATTAGCTCTATTGCCACCGCAAATTTCCTGTCTACACGTATGGACTCGCTAGCGGCAGTATTCAACTTTATACTCCTCAACAACTGCTGTCGCAGTCTTTATACTCTTTGTTTAGGGCAGTGAGTGTTCAAAAGGCTACTCCTTCAGAGGAGAGCAGAACCAAAACCCTCATAATCTTGAGTGCCATCGTGGAGGCTCGAGTTCTGGACGTGCTAGCTCAGCCTCCTCGAATATATGTGAATTCTCCATTGGTACGACGATTGACGGAAGCATTATGTTTCTAGCAAATCGCAATGTAGTAGTGGGTATAAAACCTACTCTTGGTTTGATTTCTATGCTTGACGTGATTCCAAAGTCTCCAGCATGGATAAAACTGGACCCTTTTGACCTTGTTTTAAGGATGCTGCCATAGCCTTGGATGTTATCCGAGAAAAACGACTGTCATCATTGACTGGCGACAGTTCTCTAGTCTTTATCTTCCCGAATGAAGTTATTTCTAATTTTTACACATCGTGGTTGAGCAAGAAGGATGCCTTGAATGCTGCGAGATATGGGCTGCCTTGGAAGGGAGCATTGAATCGAAAAGCAACTGTGTCGACCGGAGACCGGAGTACGAGTCTCCAATGTGGTTGACCAAGGAGATAGGGCGTGCAGGCGCACACGTTCTCAAAATCGATTTCCAAGCGCCAAAGAGATCATCCCTTCTACTGGCTGGGATTGGGAATATGGCAATGGAGAAACAAGATTCAAGCTTTTGCAACTCCACATTGTGAGAATTGAGTTCTGCAATAGTCTGCGACTGTATGATAAACTCGCGAAAAAAAATAAGAAAATGAGATCTGTATTGCTTTTGTGAATGACATCGAGTTTTATTGAACAATACCAAAACTAATCAATGTTTAAATAATCTATATCCTTAACTAATAATGATAATAATAATTCTAAAATCTTGAAAATTTTTCTAGTTAATAATTATATAATTACCTATGTATAACTATCTTCTTTTAGTGTATAGATGCGTCGTCAAGACTATCAAAGACACGTGCAATCGATTTCCGCACGGACCATTGCCGGGAATTGGGTGGAAGGCGACGCGAACAGGGGACTTTGGGACCAACAAGATTGACTCATGTTCCTGAAGTTATGAGAGATATATGAACGCCACCAATAATGTGGCACAATAGCTTAGAAGAATCTTTCGAGAAATCCCAGTACCGCGACAACTTACAACCTCAATTTTTTTTCTTCTGGTACTACGCAAACACCACAATAGACATTCGCATAGTTTAATCATGTCGACCCCCGTACTTGAAGCTCCTTCACCCCCTAGTGCACGCTAGGCATCATACGATTGTTGGAATTACAATGGTATGAAAGAGCGCCTTGAAAAATTCATGAGTGTTATCAATAAGTCCTCTCTCATGACACATACCGAACTCATCATTGGTCAACCGGTCTCCATGAGTGACGCCTTCTCTGCTGGGCAATTTTGGTGCTGCTTCGAACTTCGAGTAAATGACGGGCGCATTGTCATTGCACGCGTGCGGCTTCCCAGGCATCCAGATAGCACTGATGGCGTCGATGAGGATTCTGAGTTGTATTCAATCAGATGTGAGGTTGAGACAATGAAGTTCCTTCAGGAATGCGTCACGGGCGTCCCTTTCCCCAAACTATTCGCTTATGAAGGCCCAGGATCGCAAATGGCAGCAAATGTTGGCGCGGCTTACATGCTCATTGAAGGGTTTTACGGCAACACTCTACAAGATATGCAATTTAATATTTGCGAACTTCCGGTGACACCTTCTTCTTATTCCTCTCGTATTGTTTTTCCTAATCTCGGTGGGGCAGATTTCAACACAGGAGCACATCATCACACAGTGGACTTCAGTCCAAGCCGAATTAGCCACTTTCAAATTCCCTCAAATTGGTTTAATCTCCCATTTCTCCAAAGAAGCTGGTGTTACCATTGGCAAACTGTCTACAGCCGTAGCAGAAGGGCTTTCGAACGAAGGCCCGTTCACAGAGGCATGGGACTATTTTGCTACTATTGCAGATGCTAGATTTCGTGACGCATGCAAAGAAGATGCTATTAACAGCAATATTTTTACAAGACTGGGTCCTTTCGTGTTTAAAGAAATTGTGCAAAATACAGACATTTTCAAAACTGGTGGGCGTCCATTCCACTTCAACCATATGGACATGGGGACACAAAACATTCTTGTGGACCAGGAATTCAATTTCCTCGCCATAATTGATTGGGAATTTGCTCAAATAGCGCCTCTAGGGATCAATCACTACCCCATGCCCTTTCCACTCATCTCTGCTGACGCAGAGATCGACTCCATTTTACAAAACCCGGATCATATCGCACACCGAAATATATCTCGCCAAGTGGCGGCACAGAAAATGTACAGACAGAAGTTTCGAGATGCGGAGCAGGCACGCGAGAGTAGAGTGAGATCCCTACAGAAGTCAATAGCCGATGTGCTCCATGGGACTGCATCCAGGATTTACGCCATACTCGAAAAGTTAAAGGTTTTCGAAGGTATGGAAGAAGAACTTACGTACGAAATGGTACGATTAGCGTATGGATTTGGTCATGACGAGGCCAAAAGATATGTCGATGAGATGGAAACCAAAATGATCGAGTTGATGACTCCAAGGTAGGGGAACAACATCTGGACCGCGTAACGAATGCCTGATAGAAATTATTGCAGAAGTGACAAGTTTAAAAGAATTCGAGGAAGTAACGATAACAGCGGCCGAAGAAGAACAGTTTAGTTTTCCAGGGTTATAGGTAACGAGAGTCAGTTGTTTTATACGATTTACAAGGCCTGAGTGTCTATCTCACGGTATGTGCCACAGAACAATAGGAAAACCTATCATGTGTTGCCTTGAGCGCTTAGATTTCACAAAAATAAGCAGGAATTCTCAAAAGCTGCCGATGTCCGTCCGGACGGAGCTTCCATTTAAGGCCTGCAGAGCCGCTTCACTATCATGTGATGTCCCTTCAGTATGGGGGAAGTATAATACATGCTAATAGAAGGCATTTCAAAGCCCCTCACTCCCACATGAGCCTCCCCATGAGAGGCCTTGATTGGTAGGATTGAGTGTCTGTCCTATGAGATTGTTGACTGTCTCCCCGCACTAAAATGGGTGAGATCTGACTAAGTATGTATGGTCCAGGAACGTACCATGAGACTTTGTGGTCAGCTAGCCTGTATCAAGAATGTTAGTGATATTTAAGCCCGTTTATAAGGTAGACGGTATGATCTTGCAGTATAAAATTGCCCCAGCACAGTAGAGCTCATCAACGACTTGACTCTCGACATTGTGGATTTTGTCTGGGTCCCGATTCCCCTTGAAATATCAATCCATCCAATGTAGCCCATTGTTTATTTCAATAATCTTGATATTTAAGGCTTACAGGGAGTCCATGCAGGGCTCCTATGTTCCGCATGCTACCACCAGTCTGAATGAGCGGTGCCAGCCTTAAGTAAGCACATGCATAACCGTCTGTCTCTACTCCTATCACATAGGCCGAGGTAAAGAAATGCGCATCTAGGTCTAATGCATGTTCTAGGAAGAAATTACTAGCTCAGAACCGACTCGATCCTGTCTAGCTCAAATTACAAACCTCCTTGCCAAACTTCCAATGCCAGCGCTAACACATTTACCGGCGTAATATCTACCAATGCTCGGCTTCCGCGCTCTGAATTACGTATGGGCAGCCATAAGTACTACCAGCGTTCTTGTTGGCGCTATTTCTGTGTTGGCCGAGCGCGATGCTTATTGTAGTTCCTTCTCGACGCTGCTCTACGCTGCTCAAACTTTACAGGTTGACGCCGAATATCATTGAGTGACACGAGTGGTACTGATCTGCTGCCTGGGTATCTGATGCATATGATCATCCTATTCCCACTCGACGGTATACTAGCGGCAGAGGACTGAGAAGAGGATAGCAAGAGCGGCAGTAGTGGTAGGAAGAGGAAAGCGATGTTTTGATAAGCGTGGATATACAAAGAGAAAGATATTAAATTTAAATAATAATTTGTAAAGTTGTTTGATTAGCTCAATCAGGGGCACCATGAACTCTTTGGCTGAGCCAGATTAGTCCATTATGCTAAAGTTTGCATCCAGTAAATCAACTTCAGCATCAAGTTTCAGAGACCTCCTTCTCCTTGCTGACATTCTTCTTTTGCCTCCAATGGCCCACTCAAATCGTCTAATCCTCGGTTCCATCTATGAACGGAGGTCTTACATACATGTCATCCCAGCCCCGCTCGTGGAAACTCTCATACTTATCCATGTAATACACAAGAGGCATGTACATCCAGCCCACATCTTCGTCCTTAAACTTAGTGATACCATCATGAAATGGCGGGGGCACCATCTGAAGCTTTTCCTCTTGACTCCAGGGGCACTTCCAGTCTCGACAGACCAGCTTGACCACAGGGCCCAGACATTCCGGATGTTCCAGTGACTCCAGGCATATCTCGTCTACGACGAGACAGTATTTGTATCGAGGTGTGATATCTACGCTTAGATAGCTTACATCAGAAATCGTACACTTAGTGTCTGGACAAAGCCTAGCCTCCAGAATTTTCGGCACCCAGGCTTAGAAATAGGCTCTAACTTCATCAATCGATGCCCCGCTAATGACTTGTCGTTAGAATACGGATTATTGGGAAGTCTAAATTCGTTATGGCTTACTAGAGCGACTTGTCCTCAATGACTTTTGAATCATGAAATGTTAAGAGGTCCTCGCATTGCTCATTCTCGAGATCCTCTCGGATGTGGTCACGAAGTTGCTCCAGAATGGTGTTCCACGCAGCATCGTTGCCCCCCACACAGCGATGGATCATACGCCTATCGAGCAGGTATTTCATTCGTGCCAAGACCTCTCAATTTAGTCAAGAAAACAGTGTTGATGCGCCATTCACCACTTGAGCGAGTCCCACCAGGTTCTTGCCCTTGCTCGACAAGGTGACCAAAAATGGCGATGAATCTGCCCTGAAGCAAATTCTCGGATCCATGCAATTAGTAAGCGCTCTTTCCTGCTCTATGACCTTGCCCGTTCTTTGCTGATATCGAAAACCACAGCTGGTTGCAGTCTTCAACTACCTCAACGAGGCAACCCTAAATAAGGGCTCACACAGGCGGGGCTGAAACTAGCCAAAGAGATGTCTTATGCCAGTCAATATATCCCCGAGCCCAAGAATATTGACCTGGCATGGGCGGAATGGGAACTGGATTTCTATGCTGCAGCTGTGTCACATGCGACTAATTGGCTGGCAAATCGCTCAAGACTGATTCTGGAGAAGTTTTCTAGTACTGAATCATTGGCGAACCCTGCTGCCGTGAGACTCGTGTCCGACACTATTTTATTGGTTGCCCAGTCTCATAGAATCAAGTCTCCTTTGGCGCCATAGATAGAAACTTGAAGCGTTTTATTTCTCTTGTATATTGTTCCGTCGAATGTCACATCTTAGTGAGGCTTTAAGGCCTTAGGCTCAGTTTAATTATGTTTGATTGTTTTTATTTTCCGCCGTAGCATATAGGGGGGCACATGTCTGGAGGCAAAGGAGACTAGAGAAGAAATCTAGTTTTCTCATTAGGCTAATCTAAGTCTAGCTTTACAGATGTATTTTATTGATATCAATAAGGTTTACTTGAATTAGGAGGCTGGTGTTCTACGATATCTTAGGGCTCTTTGTTAGTTTTTCATGATTATATAACTACAAAGTTGATTTTATTATATTAGACTAAGTAATATAAGAGTAGATTAGTTTTAATTTTTGTGGTATAAGATTAATTTACCGTTAAATAAGTTTACAAAAGAAGAATTTCGTTCCATTGAATTATTGAAGTATCAATTAGATTGTGATGCGGCGGTCGGTTCACAATTTTCAAAACTAGCAAATATAACCGAACTACTAACCGTCCTTAGCGCTCAATTTGACGGCATCCATCCAAGGCAAGAAGAAATATGGCATAAAATTTGTGATCGAGGAAACTACCAGTTATGATATTGCATCACCTCACTAGATGGGGTGAATAAGGAGTGCATTTTGAATACTACCAAAGATTCCTTGGTTCGGACTTCTGCAGGTAAAAGTACAATAAATTACTTACAAAATCAAAATTTTATCACAGTTAATTAGGTCACACAACAGGCACAAAGGAAAATTTATCTACAAAGGAATGTTTTTGTATTTTTCTGAAAGAGGAAAGACAATAGAACTAAGAAAAGTTTCTTGACCTACCTGTGAAACAAAGGAAAATCTGTCTACGAAGGAATGTTTTTGTATGATTTGAAAGAGGAAAGACAAAAGAAGTAAGAAAAGTTACTTGACCTACCTATGAAATTAAGGAAAATCAGTACGAAACCAGCTCAACAACGCTTTACTTACCCGTTCACCAAGCCCTCATTTCTAGATCCGTTCATACACAACTACAAGGCAATCATGCATTCAAATCACCATCAATGATTCTCTGAATGAGTTGGAAAAGTTCATTGCTCTTCTCCTGCAACTCACCTTTTCCAGTCCAACGATCTGGATGCCACCTCAATCGTTCCTTCTTGATCATCTTCTCATCAAAGCAACCACTCCCTCTGAGTGTCAACTCGACTTCATGATGGCAAACCCCGAGGATGTTCCCCTTGACACAGTTTTGTCGCTCACAACCGTGTTTCTTGAGTCGAGGAAATCCCTTCGTGTTGTCTCTGATGAATTCGTTCGCTGATGAGGCAAAATCGTCGAATGCTTGTCCGTGAGCTTTACGATCTTTGTTACCCCACAAAATAACGTATTCCCACTTATCCATGTCGTCGAGACTTTTCTTTTCTTTTCGGGCGGCGTCTTCGGCTTCTTGGCGAGCTTTCTGGCGTCGTTCCTTGGCCTCGGCTTTCTGTTGCTGCTTTTTTTGCTTGGTGCTCTTCGAACGATCTGCACCTTGGAAGAACTCAGAATTGCCAGAGGCTGGTGGAGAAACTGGTGAAGCAGCTCGATGGCGTGTTCCAGGTTCTGGTATGTTCACCTCCACCCATTCGTCGTAGTCTCGATATTCGGCTTCACGTTCTTTCTCAGCAGGGACGTCTCGTCCATGTCGTTCTTCCCTGGATCTCCGACGGGGTCGACGTTCTCTCTCCCTTCGTTGATTTATCTCTTCGTCGCTGAGGGGAGATTTGGTCCAAAATCTTGAAGAAGACATTTTGGCTGTTGCTGATTTGTCTGATTGAGATCTGGATTTCGATGTGTTTGAAGTTATTCTGAAGATAGATTGAATTTTATGTTAATGTTAATGTGATGTAGTGAGTAGATGAATGGTGATAATGGTGAATGCAGAGAAGAAATCATGTCGATGTTTATACTCAACATATTGGAATTGTTCACCCTAAGTTTCAATATTGAAAACAATGGAACTGTTTAATATAGTGTATAATAAAGGTCCTTGTTTAAGCAATTATTGATTAAATTAGATCAGAACAATGCAGAATCAATTTTAAAATAGTATTGCGTTTATGCTAGCGAATCATAGACTAAAAGAACGGGGTTTAACGTTATTTCTCCAGTAATATATGTGATGTGCCCCATTTTAATTTTACAGCTCCCTTTCCTTCTCAACCATATTATTTCAGTACCTAGTCAGTATTGCTTTTCATCTATCCGACTTCCCTTTACATAGTATAAACAGTAAGAATTACCCATTCGCTACACATACAGAACCCCACTCGGGGATAGCGTTCATGTGGAATACTCTCTAGATTCCCACGATTTCAGCTACATCATAAGGCCTATTCTTGATCTGTGCTACCCAAATTCAAATATATTGAAAAGCCTTGCGTCCCTTAAAGTGGTGAATGAACAACAAAACAATACTTCGAGGGCATGTGAAATTCTATTTGCAAGATAATCTAATCGTAATTAGATTATTACAACCCTAAAAGCTTTCAAAATGGCAGACATTCACTAATAATTGAGTCATAGTCTTGTTACGTACTAAGTAAGACCTAGACACCAAATAACCGCACCCTACATCCGTTCAAAAGAATGTCCATCTTTAGCGAAAATTACTCAATGGAGCTAATCAATAGCTATTCTCGCGATTAAGTAGAATGTTAGAACATAAACATACAAAATCGCAATATCCCCTATCTGCTCGTGCAAATATATTGCAAGTATATTCCAGTATTAATAACGTCCAAGTAGGATTTCAAAGAAAATGGCACACCACAAGGGACAGAATCGTTAGCTAACCATTTAACCTGAATATATGCCAAAGATTTTTAGAGTCAATAGATGAGGCTTGGAGGTCATACGATTACGATATCAGAGCATCTATCAAGAGAAATATGCTAAGAACATACAGACTGTGTTTTCAGGTAGAGCTTGATCATGCTAAAATTGTACAATGGAGACATTATTTTTACTCTGTGAATGAAAATAGAGCTGGAGTATCAAGCTTTGATAGTGTAAGCGTACAATATTATTGAGTTGACACATTGCGAAACACACTTTATGGGACACTGTCCACTCTACTCTGGACGCTAATCCTCCAAGGAAAAAAGGGCTCAGGTTATCGTTACGACACCTGGACCAGCTAGTTGTAAAAAAACAAAATAGTGACATAACATCTTCGATTATCGGTAGGTATAACAGCAAGTTACTCCATCATACTGACCAGAATAGACTCCAACTCCATTTTCCGTTCTCAATCAAAGACTCTTTTCCAACAACACAATGGTATTTAACTATCAAGCACCTTTACTCCTCTTCACTCGCCAGGAGAAACGCACTGCTAGAACTATCCCAGCTGACCATCAACCTCCATTAGAAACATTCACACCCGTGGAAATGGACAATTAATACTTAGTCCAGTGTCGAAATTGTAGGCTAACCCAGCTACCTCGTCCATGTTCAGTCCCAATTATCACTTTATAATTAAATGACAACCGCAGAAGAAGATGATTCAACAGGCATATCAACTATTGAGAGGAACCTACGCCGTAAGCGATGTCACACATGTTTCTTTTGCCTTTAGCAATAACAATATGTATACTTCAGGTATAGACACCCTACCTGCACCCTAACCCTAAACTTACCTGCGCACCGGTTATTTGGCCTCTTGGGTTATCTACCCTCTCTTATAGAATATAGCAGGTATTACCCGAATCTTCAATTTTTGACGGTCTTTACACCAACAAATCCATAAAACAGCAGCGCAATAACCATCCTCAACATCTGCATCCATACCCCTATCACAAATCCCAACAAAGCTGTTAACATCCAAAACACAGTAAGATGGCACTACCATCCTGACCAAAAAGCCACACATTCTGCGTGCTGACTCTCTCTTCCGGGTGTATTTACCGCACCAACACCCTTCCTTCCCGATCCCTCGCGATCAATATCGTATCACACCTTATAAGAGTATCCCTTAATTTCACCAACTATAGCTTAGTCCACCCTACAACACAGGTAAAAGTAAGAGCAAGAGCAACGGTATCCGCATACATAAGAATTCCTAAAACCTCACTAATGCAAGATAAGTAATATTGTAAAAGTAGTAGGTCGAGATATGTGCGTCCCGATAGCACACTGTAAGAGGGGAATTAAAAGAGAAAGCTGAATTAGATCATATTATAATATATCATTTATGAAGAAAACGGGGTTCACAATGGTTTTGGGGTTGATATTATGGGTTCAAATGTATATATATAGAAGGTTGATTATTATGGAAAGGAGAGGCAAAAGCTTTTTTATATCTAATTATAGGAGGTCATGTGATTGACTGGTTAAAAACCTCTATATATTTGGCCTATAATTCCAACTTTCTCACAATATCAACGCAAAAGATAATTCCAACCACATTGACAAGGACATGGATATCGATATCCATATCGATGTAAACTTATACCACTAGGTATGATAACTTTACGATTGACGATGAAAAAGGATATATATCACCCATCCCATCCCATCCCACACCATCATCAGAAAACGAACATTAACCTACAAACAACAACTATAAATAAATACCTAGGTATTAACAGCCAGTAGCTAATAACCGCGCGCAGTGCTTGCCAGAACTAAAACTAAAACTAAAACTAAAACTAAAACTAAAACTAAAACCAATAAAATAACAAAGACAGTCTCAATTATTCAAACTTCTAAATCTCCATTGATCAACCAATTCTAATTAATAGACGCGCCGCAGCACTGTAGGCTAACAATCCACTCACTTACAGTCTATAATTGGCCGTCCTCTCGATCGCGCTCCCTGCATATCCCCAGATCCATAGATCCATAAATCCAAATACCATACATATACCCGACAACCTCAACCTCAACCTCAACCTCAACCTCAACCTCAACCTCAACCTCAACCCCAACCTCAAGAGATATAATCCCCCTACCCTCCGCTAACCTACAATAACATATAAGATTATAAACTATAAACTATAAACTAATAACCAACACACACAAACGGACGCACGGCACTGAAGCCCAAGCTCAGATCGGTACCTATCATGTATTCAGCACTCATTCAGCATTCAGCATTCATTCAGCATTCATTCAGCATTCATTCAGCATTCATATAAAGTTCAAAAGGCAAAATTTCTGCCCAAAGCGGTAGGGTTAAAGCGCACAGCACAATCACGTGGTAGCCCAGCCCAGCCTCCTCGCTCCACCCCTTTTAAATCTTGTTATGGAAAACATTCATTCCATATGGTATCGATATCGTGTATTTAAAAGATTTATCATTTTGATATTTATCTATTTTTTCTCGAAAAATTATTTATCTGCATGCCTGCCTGCACAAACTAATTACCTAGGTAGTATTCATTCTCCAAACAAATCTCCATTCATCCCCTTTCAACCACAACCACAATCAAGCTCACCTCTAACAGCACCACGGTATAAAATACAAAAAAGTTCCAATCGCGATAGCTGCATCAATGACTACTAGGTATTCTAGAACAGGTAGCTATGCACAAGCATAAGGTATCAATTCAAAATCATCCATTCTTAGTCTTCTCTCTCTCTCTCTCTCTCACTCTCTCTCTCCCTCGCTGTGTGCCTCTCCATCTGTATTTCCCTTCATCTCACGCCCTATAACACTTGCATCCTCCACCCTCCATCCCCCACTTGAAACCAAAGCCTCCCACCAACTTCTCACACTTCTACCAACCAATATCTATCCCTCTTGTCCCTCTCGCATATGCACCGCCCATCAACTCACCAACCCAACATCGCATCTCGAAAATCGCTGTGGGGAATCAAAAACACAAAATAAAAGCATACCACCGCTGCCACAGTAAAGGCACAAAAATATTAGGGAAAATTACTCGTTGAGAGCGTGTATTAAAATCATAAAATTCGTCAATTTTTCTTTTCACCTCCATTTCTCTGGCCTATCTCCCCCGTCTTCGCTCAACCTTCTTTGTCCCTTCCACCATATCGAAACCAAGGAAATTTAATTTTGCATCGCGTGCCTAGCACACACTGAGGATCTTAATAAAGAATTAGTGCAGATGAAAGTTTCAACAAGTATGAATTTCTTTGGTGGGTTTTTTTTTCAACGATTAAATGAAAAGATTGGCGATCGCTCAGACCTAGTCTTAATTCAAGTATGAATCCTTTCGCTCCGTAACGCCGTAATACTTGCTTGCTTGCATGCTTAGCTCAATTTACACACAAATGAAAAGAAACTACTCCGTATGATAGAGAGAACGTATTCTTGATCCGTCCTCAAAAATTACATAATAACGCAACACCCACCACCTTTCTTCGATTCAGGGGAATCTTGAACACGAATTGGTGGTTTAGGGTCTGGGATATTTACACCTTGTGGTTTTCCAGTTGCAATTTTTGGCATCGTGCTGTAACTTCCAGTTCTCTCTGGTGATCGTGGGTTTGCACTTAACGCTGGTGATCGTGGAATTGCACTTAACGCTGGTGATCTAGGAGTCATGGCAGAAACGGGTGAGACTCGCGAAACTGGAGACGTAGGTGCTGCAGGTTCTGTAGGTGCTGTCGGTGATTGTGGACCGGTTAATGGCCATTCTGGAGCTGATTCTTCCAGACTTGGTTCCTCCGGCGCATCTGGTGCATCTGGTGGTGGCGAAAAAGACGTCGGGGGTGGTCTGAGTTCCTGTTGATTCAATGGCCTAAAGGATGTATCATAAACATTTCCATATTTACCCTCCTTCTCCCATTGTTCTTGTTGTATGCGTTTCGCATGAGTCGGAATTACTTGTTGATCGGGTGGTAACCGGGGATCTGGTTTATACATAGTAGCCAACCAAGGTGGATCACCTTCGGGTCGTTTCGATGTATCGCCTGAACGAGTTTTCGGTCGTATTTCTGGCGCATTTGTTCCACCAGGCTTTTGTTTTTGTCTTTGTGCTGACGTCTGTCGACCTCCAGGAAGTGCAGCGTTTGCACCAATAGATCCTTTTCTTCCTGGTGGCTTTTTGGTAGGAGATCGTTCGGTCGGGGACGCACGAGCTGGCGTGGGTGATACTCTAGCAGGAGTAGGCATGGGTACATTCGAACTCGTTGCAGCTTCATCAAGTACAAGAGAACTTTTAACACTATGACTTCGACTCCTTGCTTGCTTGAATGATAATGGGTCCTCCTCATCATTCCAGTTACCCGTTTTCCGAGCTATAGGTGTGTCTCGTTCAAGATAATCGATGGGTATTGGTAAAGGGCTCGATTTCGAAATTGGTATCTTCGATATACCCTTGGTACCAAGGTCTCCCGCTGACTCTTCAGGTAATCGCAATTCCCAGACAGTAGATCCCTCTCCATCACTATTTGCTATCATCTTCTGCCGCTTCTGTCCCTCACTTTTGATGCCATGATCTTGACTACGATCCCGACGGCTAGATCTGCTTCCTGTCCGTGGACGAGGTATCGGTATTCCGGCCGCTTGTAATTCTTCATTCTCTATCCGAGCCAATTTATCTCTGTGAATCCATCTAGATTGTTCCACCTCCCCCATCTCATAGTTTCCACCATTCATACCTCTCTTCTCCCCAGAATCCATACCTGGGCCACTTTTATTATTCCCATATAAGTCCAATAAACTATCAGGAGCGCTCGGAGTGTCGCTGATATCACTATTTTGCCGATTCAATTCATTTGCGCGAATGGGGGCTAGATGATTATAATCGTGAGTAACGTGAGGACCGAAGCTGTCTGTACTTGGATGTAATGCGTGACCATTGGTTTGAGAGATTTGTCGATTGTGATTATGATAATCTGCCGCTGCAGAAGGTGAGGTCGGCTAGGAAAGTTTAATTAGCATGGCAACCCATGAAAATTAGGGTAAATTACAAGATGGATTACCTCTACTTCAGCTGGTACCGAGTAACTCCAAGAATCCTGACCGTGAGAACTACTTGGTGGTGTCAAGCTGGTATGTGCTTGGGTTGTAGAGATTGTTGCCATCTTGATTAATACCTTTGCTCAAAATCTACCTGGAAACAACCTCCCACCTAGCAGCAATTCGCTTCTTCCCTACCAAATCTTCCAATCAATTATCACAATCTTTTGTCGGAATTGCCTGATTATAATTGGTATCTTTGGAAGGTTCCTCAATCTCTCGAATTGGCGGAGATAAGTTCTTGTCGTATCCTTTCAGGTATGACAAGTCCAAATTACCACGCCTTGTCCGAAAGAATTGTTAAATGAAGAATAAATCGGTTGAGAACATTGGGGTTGGTCGATAGGAAAATAGGAGAGAGTTTCTGTAGGCAGGCAGGCAGGCAGGCAGGCAGGCAGTGAATGAATGTAGTGGACTTATTATGAACGTGCGTCTGCAGTGCGGCAGTGCCAAACAGAGACACAACGACGATTATAGCGACCAATTAATTTATTATTGAAGTAAAACCGAACGAAGATAATTGAAACTGCTGGTGAATGACCGCACTGAGACTGATGACCATTGAAGGTCCAACACAGTTCGTTTCTTTGTTTTTTGTTTTGTTTTTTTGGTCCGTTGAATGAAGTTGGACGCAGACGGGGAAATTGGAAATGGAGATGAAGATGATGATGGAAATGCGGTGAATGGAATGGCTGACGGTTCGAAGCAACAAGAATCAAAAAGGGAAGCTATTAAACTATACACGGAATACGAAGTGCCTTGAACAAGGAATTCAGGAATAAATAATCTTAAGCCTTGCGAAAGGAGAGTAGCTCGATGTTCATATCATTCAGATCGTTCATATCGCTCATACCGAAGGCGATTAATGTGTGGATCAGCGAATGAAATGAGAGAAGCTCTTGACGCGAGAGTTTATGAAGCTTATGGATACATACGGGCAACTGGATTAGAGTAGACAGACCAGCGTGACCCAGTTGCTGCTTGAAAAGCGGATCACTAACGGGGATTTGTATTGGCTGACATTTTGTTTGGTGGTCGAGAAGGTATCCGACCGGTAATTTGATCTGTGTTCAATAAAATATAACCTTCTTGGTTTCCAATCTTTTTCTCCGATTTTCCAATGCAAGAGGGAGAAGGGAAAGAGAACGAATGAAGATGTTTATGGATGTGATGAGTCTCAGATATCATGACAAGTATTAATAAGGACTGCACTTCGGTCCCTCGTAGCGTATGTATCGGGCGATAAACTAATCCATGGACGTGTGATTTGCACGAATCAAATTGATGCATTTCTCTTCTCGCTCCCTTTTCAGCCTTGTCTAAAATGTCCTTCCTTTTCTGTCCAGCCAATAACTGCAAGTTATTAACTGGTAGCCAAAGTGTGAGGCTGCATATAGTATACATTACCTTCGTGCTTTCTCTTCATATGTATATTCCTCAGACTCCTACATTGTCGTCGTTATCGCATCGTTATTAAAATCATACAGGATACAATCTTTCGCCATGGCAGACCCTTCATATGAACTCGATCGTATGAATTATGACTACTCTCACCACTCCCAAGACTCGTGTGATACTTCATCATCACAGGCACTTCAATACCCATATACTATTCCGTCATCTCGAGAAACTCACATACCTAGAATAACTCGCACCTCCCTTACTCGCAAGACCCGTGTCGTTTGTATTTCCGATACTCATAATGGTACCGCCAATGGATCGTTCAAACTCCCACAAGGCGATGTCCTCATTCATGCAGGAGATTTAACAAACCAAGGAAATTATTCAGAGCTAGAGAAAACCATTAAATGGATTGAAGATGCCAATTTTGAAGCCAAAATCATTATTGCAGGTATGCATGACACCAACTTACTAGGGACCCCTTCATCACCCCATAAATATTCTATTTCCATCCATCTCATTTATTCCGAACCAGAAAAAAATAACTACGAGTAATCATTAACCTTATGCAAGGTAACCATGATATAACACTCGATCCATCCTTCTACTCTCAATATGGACTTTACTTTCATAATCAAAATCCACAGGACGTCAAAAAATGTCAAGAATTATTGGATCGTTCCCCCTCAATTCTATACCTTAATCATGAAGCGGCAGAAGTTTCTTTAGCATCACCCACAGGCCCACACACCACGTTCCGCATTTTCGGTTCTCCTTTTTCCCCAGCAAAAGGAATGTGGGCATTCGGCTATCCACAACCGGAAGCATCAGAGAGATGGAATGATATTCCACTAGATGTTGATATAGTACTTACTCACACACCACCTAAATATCATTGCGATGAAAGAAATGATCGTGTAGCTGCCGGTTGTGAGTATCTCCGTCAAGCATTATGGAGAATTCGTCCACGATTAGCGATATGTGGTCATGTACACGAAGGAAGAGGTGCTGAGATAATACAATGGGATCTTGGAGCATCGAATATTAAATTCAAGGAAAATGGTGTGATTCGCTGGGAAGATCCGGGTAAAGATAATAAGAAGATGTCCCATATCGAGTTAACTTCGAAAGGAAGAGTAGGAGACAATTCTTTCAAAAATGATGGATCTTTTGGCGATTGGGAGAATATGACTAGTGCATCAATTGCCAGTTCCAATAACCTAACACCAACCGGAAGTGGTTTGCCCTTTTTACCTGAAAACATCACAACCGATCGAGAAAAATGGCGCCGGAAGAATCCAATGGCTAAAATGGCAATGTCAAATGTTGCAAAAAGTCTGCTCGCCATACCGGAGGAAATACTCTCACCAGCTCGAGGACAAGGTGGAATACCACCATCATTACGTTGTGATGTAGAAGCTCTATCTGGACGGATGGGACGACAGGAAACCTGTGTGGTTAATGCGGCGATGATGGCTTCTAGTTGGCCTCATGGCAAAGGAAGAGGAGGAAAGAAATTCAATAAACCAATTGTGGTAGATATTGATTTGCCTGTTTGGGAAGAGGTAGGATCGTGATGCTAGTAGATGAGTTGTGATAATACCTAAGTATACATAGGTTTATGATTCTGTCTGTGGTGAGTGGATGGCCTTTATTATACTTGTGTTCTTTTCTATTCATTATTTACTATATTGAACTATTCGTGTTATGCTTCGGGGACTTGCTCAAATAATGTCGATTATTCCACCTAATATTCCCCCATACGATATATTTACCCTCCACTTTGGCCATTCATGTACATTTTTATTCTTCTCCCCATTCATTTTTTCTCTCCCTAAAGCTTCAAAACAGCATGTTATCCAAACACCACTCCAAAATACTGTGTTGACAAATATCACACAGATCCTCCACATTGTCCCATTCCCATGCTCCAGCTAGATCCATAATTTCAAAAGAGTGCTCGTTCAAGAGATATTCTCGGTATCTGATCTGGACTCGCCATCCCCCACGAACGAACATCTACATAAAATTAGACGAGCAAATGTGATTTGTCGTGTATTCCGAGCTTCGAGCACTCTATTCTCAGATCCAAGAAGTCACACTCTCCCAGATATCTTAAAGTCTCCTCGACAGCCTCGAGGCACTTTCCAAATTCATCCCAGTTGCAGTTGATTAGCGCGGGAAAGATACGAAGTTCCTTCTCTTCGATTTTATTCAAAATTTGATGGAAAGTATAATCTTACCTTTCCGATTTCTTTTGATTCTGATTCTGATTTTGATTGTGCAGAAGAGATATGTAATACGTCAGGTAGCGCAGAATCGTCGGGGTGAAATATATGTGTATTGATTTATAACGCTTACGAACTTCCAAGCAAGCATCATCAGGGAAATCTATTCGGTGATTGATTCATTTCTTTGTATTGGTGGTAGAACTCAATGCAGGTCTTTTGTCGGTCTTGCAATCTATCCTACACTTCCAGTTTCTAATCTCTAGCTCATTTCTTCTGTAATAATTTTCTTCATTGTTATTTATCTCATCTTTTCTATTTGTATAAAGATCATTCATTTATGTATAATTATTTTATAACGAAAAGAAAAATCTTTGATGGGAGGGAAATGTACAGAAGTATCGGCATAAGCATCAGTATCTAAGCTAAGCCAAACCAATGCTTTATTAAATATCTAAGAGAAGAAGATTCTTAATATTAATTTGAAAAATTGTAATTATCAAAATGTATTTTACTTTACGATGGATATCTGAAGCCCTATTATCATCGACCACAAGTTCAGAGATGAGATGAGATGAGATGAGATGAGACGATATTGTGCTAGTGTATTTGTTGAGATTTAGGTTGTGATTGTATATCTATTTTCGGCATTTTGCTTTTGAAGTCGGTGTTGGGTGATGGTGATGGTGATGATGATGGTGAGAAAGAGGAGGGACGGAGGAAGGAGGGAGTTTTGAGTTTTGTGCCTCTGGTGTGTTTCTTTTTTTTTCTATTTGATGGGTTTGGTTGAATAGATAGATCAAATATTTAGAATTATTCTTCATAATCTACCATCTGTAAATATTCTGATAATATCACATTAACATTACTTGAATAGAATCCGAAAATATCAGATACAGAGAGATTGAGATTGAGATTGAGATTGAGATTGAGATTGAGATTGAGATTGAGATTGGAAATGTTTCTAGATATTTAATAAATATTCTGATTTTTCTCTTTTTGTCTAGATGTTATATACATGTATGTATTCAAGGGATCGAGGATGCTTTAAGGAGATTTGGAATAATAGTATAAGAAAGTTGGAATTATAGACCAAATACTTAAAGGTTTTTAACTAATCAATTATATAACCTTTTATAATTAGATATAAAAGGAAAACTTTTGTTTTTTCTTTTGAGAATAATCAACCTTTTACATATATTTGAACCCACACAACATCAATCCCAAAATCATTATAAACCCTGTTTTCTTTATAAATGATATATTATAATATAATCTAATTCAGCTTTCTCTTCCAATTCCCTCCTTACAACATGCTATCGAGACGCACGTATCTCGACCTACCACTTTTACAATAGCTGGACGTTCTTTTGGGGGGATGGAGGGGGAGATAAGCTGGCCGTACTTAGCAGTTGTAGTCTAAATCGAGTAATCTGTAATGTGTGATAATTTAACTGGCTTGATCTTACTCTTCCTTGAGAAAGTATTCCGGAGGGTGGTCATCTAAGAAATGGTGGTGCCATGAAAAAGGTAACCGAGTACCTCCATAATTTCATATGCATTTTTTGACTTCCGCTTCAATCCTCTCAATTCATGATCTTGAAGTACACCCACATCTTTAAAATTTGATCACGTCCCACATCCTGGAAAGAGGTTATATGTTCAGAAATTTCCCAAAAAAACACCACATTACAAATTATCAATACCGTTCAAGAGCATAGATTCATCAGGTGGCCAAGCTGGATGAGCCAGGATATAGCGACTGAGAAAGATATTCCTCTCGAAAGATGCAACGTGCCATTTTGTCATATCGTTTATTGAGACACGACATCAAACCAGCACTTGAGAAATTCAAATTCTGTATCTGCTATCCGTAGACTTAATGGACTTGGATATCCTCAATTTATCGCATGTGATTGACAAGTAGACTGTACGCAGCAATAAAACGTGGACGCAGAGGAAACAAAAACATAAATAACCCCTCACAATTTCACCACATTGCAAGTCCCCAAGATCGAGAACACATGTATAAGACACCGTGGCATATCCCCATATAGGTATACGGCCCACCCAGACAAAACCTTACGACTCAATCTCCTTTCCCAAATCAACTGCGGAGTATATCCTCAAGAATTGAGATCCGATTTAATTCTGACGATCATGGTTCGCGGATGGGAATTTTTCACAATTCTGATACGTCCAAAGATTAAAAAAAAGAACATGTTCTAGATTCCTGACGATCTCACCCCACTCGGGGCCCCCTTTACCACCACCACATGGCATATGCACTTGCGCCCACATCCGTCAAAAGTGCATCTTTAAGGAGACATGAAAAATTCTAGACTTCTGATCTCGTAAATCACGGAGCTATGTCTTGTCTACCTCATTTACTAGAGACTCTGGAAGCCAGATAGAAGTTCACCCTTAATTCTTCGTTCCCCGCTAATTGATAGATTGTCTCTCTGTAGTAAAAAGGAAAACATGGGTATCTAATGTAAATCTAGACTTCTAGAACGATTTCATCTGAGAAGAAATCGAGAAATCTCGACCTCAGAAACCAAGGATCTTTATTTTAAGAAACCTCGTTTCTTTAATGATCTCCTTTTCCTTTCTTGTTTTGTGGTGATCGAAAACAAGAACAGGGGAGCTAAGAAAAACTGGAACTTTTTGGTTTCGTCCTCACATGGCTCGTACCGAGGTGTCTCCACAATTTTACAAGAAAAAGAAAGGTCTAGAGCTAAGTCACTTGACTTCTAATTCAGCCATATGGATGGGTGTATTCATCACTGTGTATGAAATTGTGAATTAAGGGTTCTTTTTCATTTTTGAATCGATATTTGAAGAGGTGTACACTGGAGTAATATCATGAATGGTCTAGAATTTTGAGATATTGTCCTCACTGCAGAGCAAGAGTCTGATGGAAAAATGGTGATCGAGTAGACCTTAAGCAGGCGCCGCAAGAGCTCTGGATTCTTTGATATCATGCTACTATTTATCATCAATAAACATTTGAAAACACAGGAAGCTCTAGGTCGTTGGCCAATAAAATCGAACACGCCATTACCGGGACAAATACCGAGATAGTGGTTGGCATGTGAAACTATTGATGTCAAGCTCCGATGCACAGAATTTCATCGAACGTTGAGGTCGGTCGAAGCTCGAAGAAGCCACAAAGGAAATACCGAGGGAAAAAAACAAAATATAAATCCAACTACTGGATGTCACGGCCCACCAGTGGATAAGGGCCGTTGGGGAAAACTACGGCCGGAGATATTTTATAGTTTGTCATCACATTGTAGTATGACGAGCCTCTAAGAACTGGGTGACTGGAAGTACAGCGTAAGTGCCGTCATTAAGAAAGGGATTGCGGAAGTCATAGCTCCTAGCTTCAACTTCCAAGTTATAGTGAAGTTCAAACCGTCAAGGAACATGAAGTTTGAACGAACCACCAGCACGAACCACAAGCTTCAAGTCCAGACCCTTTTGAAAAATTGCTATGTATTTGCAGAAAAAGAAACTGACACGATATTATTGGCGGTCATATGGATTAGAACCTAGTCTATCTATGATCTAGGTAGAATAGGAAACACGAAGCTGTCATTAACCTCGACACCTCAACTGCCATGAAACCAACAAAACAAAACAAAACAAAACAAAACAAATCAAATCAAATCAATGGTGTTCGGTTCCTTTCCGTGGGATAACACTCAAGAGGAATTGGTGGCGGTAAGCAACTTAGCCACTTCCAGCCACTTTCTAGCCAAGAATAAGTTTTGGTGTACCTAAGTGATCAGCAGGTTCGTGAAAACCCCAAGGTCGTTTTTGGCATACCAGTAAGTACCGAAGCTATCCAATTCCATGACAAAGCATGCTGTTATCAAACCTAGTCGGCACATAAGCTAAAGCAGTATGCAGCACAACATGCTCAGTAATCACTCTCCATCGTACTCGCATTCAAGATATGAGATGGGGCAGTGAGTAAGCCCAAGTATTACAACACTGCACAGCCTTATGAGGAGGACGCGTACAATTTGTAATACATAAATGGGAATCCCAGGCAACCATGAACAAACTATCCCCTTAGCCATATGACCATCACACCACCAAACTCAGTCTGCCAAAGATACCTCTTCATTGGTATTTGGCACTGTTTGACATGAAACTTAAATCCAAATTGATACTGCGGTGATTGCGGAGTCCGCGGGGTAGAGACAGACAGAATAAGGTTATGCGGAAAGAGAAGAAGATAGCTTGATCGCATGGCCTTAGAATCAGGTAATCAGGTAATCCAATCACATTTGATAGTTTACTCAATACCTACCTACCTACCTACCTACAATAGATAAGATATCCCGATCGAGGAGCATGCGATATGTGGATTGGCAAGTTGATTGATGCAAGTGTACCACGTGCTTTGGTGATTATTGAATATCGAAACATACAAAGCGGATAGTTTTGATGCAGATTAATTAAATGCCATGCCATGCCATGCCAAACAAGCCTTGGGGTAGGGAGTTATGGTTTGCACGGCATCGAATATCTTCATGGCAAAAGGAGGATTATCTCCGCCCAAATGTTTCTAGTGTATCTGTACATTTCCGAAACTAAAACTAGGTAACGTCTGTTGTACTACCTAATGACCCTATGAATGCAGATACTAGGCAAGCCATCTGTTGATTGTGGCTTTTACAACGTCGAACTTATTCTTTCTTCACATGTGAATTTTTCAAATCAAGGCGAGAGGCAAATAATAATAGTTTCCTATAAAAGTGCAGTGGACGGAAGGATTCTTCCGCCACGCATGGTACCTCAGATCTCAGTCTTTCGACTAGCTCCGATCAGACGTCCCCTACTGTCTGACAAATCTATGTCGATCCCAAGTTTTCGATAGTTTCAGCGGATCGATCCATCAATTCGATAGAATCATCTCGACATTTCCATATATAAAATTGCAATATCGATCCCTCGTCTTTCTTCGATCGCCCTAGGGATAAAAAGATGAGTTCTGAACTTCTGATACACAACATTTATACGGAGTACATGATAAAAAGGCTATTTCTGTGAGGTTACACCACGATTTGGACGCACAGGTACATGACAAGCTCTTAGAGTTCATCGACAAGCCCTATGCTCGAGGGACGAGTAGGTAGCGTCTCGAGAGACCACGGATCTTCGAAAGTTTCTCGATGCGAGGCGGACATGTATTGCGGGTTCTTTTGTATGCATAGTAAGCTTGTACCGATACGATCATGTCCAAGAGACCCGTGGACATTATTTTCCTGAGTCACTTGATGACTTTATTTTTCCTCTTTCTTTTTTTAAATGGAGATTGATTGTTTTTCGGGCATTTCCTTTTTGTTTGGCTCTGTTTGGGTCGGAGAATTAATTTTTTTTGGCAAGAACGAGAGGATACCTTAGGACGTTAGGTTTAAGAAAAGAGGAGTTGGATAAGGGTGCGCAACCAATGGTTGTAGCTCCCATGAATTGTCTTCGTTTGGCCATCAAATTAAGGACCAGTAGATGGCCGAACCCTGGGGATCTTGGGATTGTTGAAAGGGGAAAAGGAGATAAGGTTGGTTTAAACTTTGGGTCGGTATTTCAAGTTGGATTATCGGGACTGACATTGTTCCCGAAAACCGCTCTCTCCAAACCTAGGAGATTTCGATCTTCTGCTGATGCATGCCTCTCTCGTTCCCAAGACGGTTGGGCACTGTAAAACTTTAGGAGGTTGTCTGGTTGATTATAGTTGAAAGTTTAATATATTAGGAGTGATTCTTTGGGGCATTCTGGTTACCAGTTGTGCTCACAACCTTGAACCTTCAGTGGAGACATGTTCACTTCTCCGTAATGGTGAGCGACTTGGCCCCGAGTGAAGGGGATTTTCCGGCAACGATTCTGAGTATTGAGGAAACCGAATGCCGACATGTAACTGGTGTGCTGTTCACTGATGGATGTTGCTGCCTGCTAGCCTAGAAAGCAAAAGTCAAGTCTCTGATCTGGGGTAGGTGGTAGGTGGTAGGTGGTAGGTGGTAGGCACAGTCTACGCTACAGACTAGGTAGGCGTAAAGGAGACAGGGGATGGTGATGCTTACATGATATGTGGTTTGTTTGATCGACCATATTTCGAAGCTACAGGTAACAGGCTACAGTAAGAATATACTTTGACCAGTTCCCCGGTTTCCTGCATACATTTAACTGGAAAAAGTAGAAGATCTGTCCATAATTCAACACTCTGCCAATAACTCCCCACAACTCACGGGTGATTCCCATTCGATCTCCAGGATACAGTTTGATTTTCACACTGCCGCAGGGACTCAACTACACTATTCTGCTTTACTCGTACTGTCTAAAATACAATGCTTTAGCCCCTAGCCCCTAGCCCTCAGCCCTCAGCCCTCAGCCCTCAGCCCTTCATCAAAATATCCTTTCCATCAATATCGCCGTCGGACACGCACTCCAATTTCCAGCTATCCGTGTGCACAACTCCGTGCATCCGACGATACCGATTTATACAGCCTACAGCCTACAGCCTACAAGCACAAACCGCCAACTCCGTATGAGCACAAGTCTCCCGAGGTCATCAATCATAACAATTAATTCCCTCAAAAGTGGTGACTTATGACACTCCGAAATCCACATTCACAGTCAAAAGGAATCCACAGTCGAAGAATCAAAGTACACCTGCACATCCGACTGCTTTGGGATCTTATTTCCAGCTCATTCCCGCACAATCTACAAGACACCTTAGACACCTTAGACACCTTAGACACCTTAGACACCTTAGACACCTTAGACATCTTGGACAAACTTAGACAAGGTTAGACCAATCAGTTAGACAACTTAGACACTTCGACAGCTTATAGACCAGACCCCATTTTCATTTGCATCAGACCACACAATCACCTGTCCTGCTCTTATCATCACCCAAGAGAAATAGGTACGTATCATTGGGTACTTATCAATCGTTTCAGAGACATAACAAACTTTTTACACGTACCTCCGACAAAGAATTGGAGAAGACTGTTTCCCATTACTTTTTTTCACCTTCCCCGCTTTACCTCATTGAACATAACTTTAAGATCAATCAATCAATCAATCAATCAATCAATTCTTCTTTCCGCATTACTGGTTTTCTCCTTCTTCATATCAAAAGCTACCCAAGGTTCTAAACAAGCGCACGCCGCACGCCGCACACCCTTCAACATCATATATCCCCGTCGCTGATCTACATTCTCAATACCCTCTTCAGAATGGCTTAACTCCTTGTTCCATACCCTTGGAGTAGCCTTGAGATCGAAAACTAATATTTCGATCGGTCTTTTGCGGAAAAGTCTTTGGTCCTTGTTGGGTAAAATTAACACAATAATTCAAAGAAATCTTGAGACGACTTCCTTCCCCGCCTTGATTTCGACTACTTGAATAAGGCTCCTCATTGGCATTGGCATTGGCATTTTTCATTTAACGAAATCATTTCATTACACACTCTTATCAATTTGGATATTTTAATGTCAAAGTCCGAAAAGCCGCTTCGCATTCGAAAGTTGTAAAAAAAACTTCTTTTCCAGTTTTTGATCCACCGAGTCACCTCGTGCGTAGACATTGCGCAGCCCAGCACTTTAACATTCTTATATCCTTATATACATATCATATTGCTACCGTTGCATCTGCCCGCACTTCAAGCCAAGGATCTGTCGCTTTTTCTATTTTGGTGAACGAAGGTACATATCAAGTACAATCTTTTCGAAACACATTATATCTTGTGTAGGGGTCTTCTGAGATATATCATATACTCGATAACTCATCACACCTGCAACTATCAACCATCAACGACACAAAAGATTATACAAAAGACACAACACCTACCTACCTACCTCACTGCTTCGACATCTCTTCGCTCGCACATTACCATACCTCACCATAATACGATACACATATACACAATGTCGTCTTTCGCATTCTCCAGAGTCTCCTCAGATTCTTCATCCTCCTCCTCCTCCTCCTCTTCCTCCTCATACTCCGTCGAACCAAGGGTAGAAGTTATGCGTTGTTCACGATGTGCCAAAACTGTCGAAACCATCAGCACAATGCAATATCACGGCAACGAGTTACGAAGAGTCAGCACGGATGATGCAAGTGCCAGTGGAATGGTACGATTTGGTCACAACTTGTATTATTGCGATCGTTGTGCAAAAATGGTTGGTTACAAGTGAAGTGAGGATTGATGAAAGGGTTTCGAAGAGAGCATACAGTGCGACAATCACAACTTAACAACAACAATGTAAGAAAGGATCAGGGGATGGAGGATGGAGAGATGGATACCATGGAGTCAATTGGAGTTGAGGGAATACTTCCTCTAGAGAAGGGCATGGGAAGGGGAATGGGATCTGGAGTACGGAGTTACGATTTGATGGCACGATTGGACCTATTAACGATACCGAATTGTTACAATACAGTACTACTGCTTCCGATATTTTACCATACATTGGCATTACTTTTTGGTGAAAGATCAATGTACACATCTGTTACAGGATACCGCAACGCAGAAGTGTTTACATGTGTGATTGTGTTCACGTCACATCACCTCACCATCAGTACATTTACCCCGCCAAACAACTGCATTACGACGTACACGGCCAAATTCAATACAACCTCACTCTACACCATGATCTCGTTCTTTACTATCACTATCGACTCGAGCCATCACGAGTCAGAAATACCGAAAATATCTTCCACTCAAATTCTTTCCAGAAAACACGACTTATTAAAAAGAATAATATATCCTCAAAAAACGCATGCACACAGCCTCTCTTCCTCATCAATCCGCCAAGAAAAAAGATTACATGGTTTATAATCTTTTTATCCTTGCGTTTTATCCGACTTTCAAATACCCCACAGAGCGTGGAAGCTTATGATTGGTTTGGTAATCAATGGGGCTTGAAAAATTTCTCGAGAAGGAAATGAGCTTGCGTAGCTTGAATGGTTTTGGGGGAAGAACGCCAGGTGATGTCACTGATGCATATCATGAGGGTTTTTCTTGTCCTTGGTTCACTTTCTTTCACCTTGAGACTACTGAATGTAGGTGGACATTCATAGTTAGAGGAGGATATTTTTAGGTCTTCGGGCAAGAGTCCAAGGGGATATCTTGATGCTTGGGGACGGGAGCTACAATGCATACATATGCATGAAGGGAGCAGGCGATGATGGCAGTGTACTTCATGTACCTTTATGAGATATGACCTCATTTGTTTTATTTACTGTGTAAATATTTATTAGCTGGACTGAACCAGATGTACAAGATACAAAGGAAATACAAATAAACCACTATCAAATCAAGCAATAAACATGACTGACTCCTTATCGTGGTGCATCTTTCATTGAACCCTTAAAATTGCAACATGATTGATTTACGTACTATTGTACATTACACTACCCCATACTTGTATCTAGGGCTTACGAAAGCCACGAATCTGATAACGATTTACGGTACCGTACGGTTTCCGGTCCGCCTTACCAATCAGTGAGTAAGTACGGGGTAGGAGTAGGAGTACGAGTACGAGTAAATGTAATTTCGGGATACAGATACCCTGATTTTCAATTTTCATCTGTTTCGGTTATGGTTATGGTTATGGTTATGTTTAGGGTGAGGGTAAGGGTAAGGGGCATGGTGCGTAGGAGGCTTTTTGGAACTGGGTGTGGTGTGTGGTGTGGAGATGGAGAGTGGTATGGTATGGAGTATGAGTATGGTTTGGATGGGTTTGGGATGGATTGATATTGGACTTGGACTTGGGATGAATGGTGTGGAGTGAGGTGAGTGATGAAAGTGAGGGGACGGATTGAGGGATTGTGAGAGGAATGGGTGAGTTGATGGGGGGTGATGATGGAGTGCAAATATTGAATTCTGTATGGGACTGGATTGGATAGTTATTTATTTTATTAGGTAATTAGGTATTGGTTGATTGATTTATGGATTGATTGATTGGATTGATTTATGGCTTGTGAATTGGTTTATGGATTGAGATTGTGAGGTTGATAATTTGGAGATTGAAAGGTTGAGATTATTGAGATTGTTTGAAGATAAGGGGGTAGGTAAAGAAGTGTACCTAGGTAAGTGTAGATAAGATAACAGTGATTAAAACTTGACGTCTATCCTTAGCGAAGGTACGGGAGAGAAAATCATCTCACGTGATTAAAACGATGCGGTGAGTAGGTATCGTTTAATATTATCATATGGATAAAGTACCCAGTGGAGTTCAGGGCGTTTAAAATATGAGGAGAAATAGGAAGGATAATGGATACCAGCCACGGCTTTTTGCTTTTTCTTTACTTTTCCTTCTTTCTACTTCTACTTCTACGTATATGGAGCACCAGGAGTATATTATATTATCTAATCTAATAATATATCATAAGGTTATGTCACCCTATACGTAGTCTACAAAATATCTAACTAGGTTAAACCCTAATCCGTACGCAGTATACAGTACAGTAATCCGTCGGGCAATGCATACAAGGGACAAAGGTACATAGGTACCTATGCAGAGTGGAGTAGTGGATGATCAACGTGGGTGCATGGGAGTCTGCGAGTGGAAGGGAAGGAATGGGATGGGGAGGGGACAGTGGAGTTTGTGGATGGCTGCCATGGGTATCAATAGATAGATTCGCGGATAGATGGATAGAGAAGGGTGAGTGCCTGGGCGGGTGGATTAGGGTTAAAGTTTAAATTTTGAGTTTATATTTTGAGTTTGAATTTTGAGTTTCAATTTACTTGTAGTTGGGCTGAGTTGTTTGTTGGGTTGGAGCCTTGAGGATTGGAAGAGGGATGTTGGGAGGTGAGAAGAGAAGAGGTGAGAGGTGAGAGGTGAGAGGTATGGAGCGATGGAGATGATATGAGATGAGGTGATGATTGTAAGGTAGAGCGGTATGTCTGTATTTGGAAGGAAGTAAAGACAATTTACGATTAGAAATGTGGTTCATGAGGCGCCTGGAGATATCTGACTGATTACTAGTAGCTATACTCCGTAGAATTTGTTGGGTTAGATAATATTTGGAGGTATGCTAACCTATGTACATCACGTGTTGTCTAGGTATGCAGGAAGGGTGGATGTTCAGACATGCAACAAAAGCTGAGATAGCACAGAAGGGTCCACCGGTCAGATGGACCCTTCTATCACGTGTGAGGTTGTTCTGCTGGAATTTGAGAATATTAGGTTATATACGGATGGCATGGGTATGTTCATATGGAAGCGCAGGCGTGGCTGTGAGGGAAATCTCTTTAAACCGCGCTGCTTGCTGTCAGTGTTAAGAAGTTTCCTGCATCGATAGGTTATCGGCTTTCATGCCGATTTTATATTTTATGGGGTAGCTACCAGTGAGGCAAGTGCTTGTGGAGGGGAGATAAGTAAAGTGAGGAGTACAGAGTACTGTAGATGCCAGGTGTTGGGTTGAAGGGGTGGATACTACATCGTGGTACTTTTCTATTGGTCAGCATAGAATTTGAAGGGAAGGGGAAAAAGGAAGATGAGTGATGCATGTGGTGAATTGAGGATGGAGTAAAGCAGGTAGGGTACATGCGGAGGTACAGAGGTGGAGTAAATCGGAGCGGTGGGGGAGAATGAAATGGTTGGGCTAATATGTATAAAGGGTTGGGTGAGAGTGCAGATGAGAATGGGGCAACGAATAGTATCGGGCTTTTGGAAAAGTGGAAAGATGGGGATGGAAAATTGATAGTGGAGAATTGGGTAGTGTGAGCATTGTGAGGGTATTCTTATCTCAAGTGAGACTTTATGGTGGATTGGGTTCTTGGTCCTCGAATTATATCCTTGTGGTTATGTTTCCCCGCAACATCGGTCCTGCAATGGGTTCCTGATAGAATTACGCTCCGTTTTGAGGGATTCATCAATTTGGAATAAGGACTTGGAGTGAGTTGAGCGATTTAATCTGGAATTGGTGAGGAGAAGAAGTTACGACTTCTCATTGTTGTGGATGTTGCTGCATGAGAAGATATTTGAATAATAGTCATTGTAACAGTCACTTCGGGAGCCGAGCTTAAAACCAGTGTAATTAAGCGCGGCAAGTATAGCGCGGGGGTTTATATACCTGATGAGCTTCAGGCTGAGTATCAAAATGAAAGATGGAATTTGAAAGTCCTGTGTGAAACCTGTCTTGAAATTTGTAGAGGCAATAGCTGCGGGAAAATTTCTAGCAAGTAAGCTAGGCTCAAGCCAAACTCAACGGTGATATGGAGTATAGAAAAACATATCCCGAAGTTGTATTTCTTTACTATGTTATGATTAAACACATCTAAGACTTTTCAAGCCTTCATTCCGTCAGAAAGCTTGAGACAGAGATATGGTACCAAATGTCTTTGCATAACTTCCCATCCGAGTTACAAGAGGAGCTCACGAACATTTTTCAAACCACTTCCTCACTTATCATTACGTTATTATTGAGCAATTTGCTGAAAATTTCTGAGTGGCCACAGTATTAATATAACTCGCTTAAATGGCATAATAGTTCTTATAGAAAGGAAGTAACTGCTCTGATTCTATTTCTATTTCTATTGCCTTGCTATGTTCTGCTATCGTTATTATTATCAACACTGCACAGTTTATCCTCGTTCTCTGGATGGTCATCACCCAGGTTCTCCGAACTTCTTCCCATCTTCATTTTATCTCCGATACACGCTGAGGTTGATCTTAGAGTGCCCCCAACGATCTCCCACAAGTCTCTTCTTATAATACATTACTCTTTAATTCTGACACAAAATTCGTGATGCAAAACTTCTCGATCGAATATTTTACATCCACATGATTTGGTTAGACCGGAATACTTCGTGGTGGTTGGAAGTTGATCTTGGGCACTCTGTTATTCTCGAGAATTAAAATCAGGATTCATAAAAGCCAGTGAGCCGGATAACACCTAGGGTCGTAAAAATTATAATTATAATCCGGGGTATGATTATATCATTTTATATTATTATGCTTTTTGAGTGTGATGAAATATTATATTAAGATTATATATATATTTTTATAATCAATAAAATCAATATAATAAATAAAAATATAATTATCGGCTTGCCGACTCTATAATCTTGCTGTACGCGAGGTTTACCCGGTGGGGTGATGGAAAATGAGGTTCGCTTAAGGTTGCGATATGATTGTGTCACGAAATCATTTTATAGAATGTCACGAGGTAACAGTCAACCTGTCTCTATGAGCTTTGATCTTGTTGAAAAGCAAAGCAACTTGTATACAAATTTGTATGGCAACCGCTTCGTATAGTCTCCCCACCTTCAGCAAGCTCGGACATATAGTCTGATCCTAATCACGTAATGAAGCCTTCAGGAGTGTAGGCTCCCGTAGACTCTTTGAAGCCCTTAGAAGTGTAAGCTTTTGAAGGCTCCCAAAATGGATTAGTATATAATCAGAATAGTTTTATAGTTTAGAAGTTTTGTATTCAATTTAGTTATCAATTAGTTTATTTATATTCTAATTGATTTAATAATATATTTATCTTCGAATGAATAATCAATGATTATTAATCTTAATTTATAATTATTAATTATACGAAAATCTAAGACAATTATTATCTCAATTAGATCGTTACATTTTGAGTATTGTTATAATTAAATTATATATAATACAATAACTTTCAATCAATAATCTATTGAATCGTTTTTATTCAATTTAATCAAAACTCTTGTTTAGATTATTATTATTATAGAATATAGATGAGTAATTCAAATATCTATCTTTGATCTATTTTATAAAGATTATAATAAATATCAAACTTTTGTTGTACAAACTGATCTTTATTATATTTTTAACAAACAACTTTTCTTGATTTTTATATAAAAGATCTTATAATTAATCTCCTTTTTTTGAAGAATCATATTCAATTGGATTGAATCATTCTTCAATGATCTAATAATTAAGATTATTGATAATCAATTGAACAAAAGTATGAAATCTGAGATTCATTATCTATTCCTCAATTATAAATCATTCAAATAGGGATTCGATAAAGTATTCAAGGAAGTAGATTCTGATTATATAATTGAAAGAGTATTGTAATAATTCAAATAGATCGAATCAGTTATAATTTATATTATCAAGTTTCAATAATATATTGAATATATTATATAGAATGATGATTATCTAAAATTATAATTCTATAAAGGATTGAAAGATATTATCAAGAATAAGTTAACAAAAACTTCGAAACTATTCAACCTTTTCGAATTAATCGAAACCTTCATTTTCATTGATAATCGATTCTATGAATAATAAATAAAAAAGAAAGGAATTATTTAGAAAAATAGAAAGTTCCAA